CGGCGGCGACTCTCGCCTCAGTTTTTTAGTCTCAGAACATAAACGAACCGAACCGAGCCGGCCGAGATAGGCAGCTGCTGCAGATGCAGATACTCTGCCGCGGCTATAGCGTTATCTCCAAGAACAATAAACGCGTCTTGTTTATTCTGGCCATAAAGTAAACCGAAAAAATCAGCTTATACTCCGCTCATAAAAAAGTGAAATAGTGTATGTTGGCTTTTATGCTGGGCTTGTCACGGACATTAGTTACAGACCTAAAACTCGGAATATCTAGTTTACCAGCGGGAGACAGTTCTATTGTCTTTATTAAGGGCAGCTCCACTTTGAGCCAGGTTCAGTTCAATTGTCTTAATGTCTTTTTCACAGGCAGAAAGAGATTAATATATATAAGCCACTCCCACATGCGCCCCCCTCAAGTCAGGGCTTGAACCATAGACTTACAGTTTTAGAGTCACATAGACAAAAATTAAAGAAGAGCCTTAACAAATTTTTACTTTATTTATGCCCTACACTCTGTGCAGAGTATTGCGCAGTCGTCTGCAGTCGATGGCAACGTTCTTATTTATTAATTTTTATTTTTTGCTTGCAGTACAAAATGTTTCGTAAAGGCAAACACACGAGCTGTAGTGAAATTCTCTAACCCCCCACTCGCCAGGCCCGCGCCCATCCGAAATTTAAAATTTGTATATCGCTTCAGCTGATAAGCCCCAAATGGGCCCTGGTAAGAGGCCAAAAACAATGGCCAAAACGGGCGCGTAATTAACAACAAAATGCGCGCAGAGCGACAAGTGAATGCAAATAGCAGGAGAAAATAACAACAAAATACGGGAAAAAAAGTGTGTAAAATAGTGTTGAGAAGTGCGCGAGAATTCCCATTGACTGCTGAACTTGGCAGCGCAGCAGAGGCGCTGACGGCCGCTTCCCAGGCACTCGATTTGCATGTTTGCAACTGGCGCTACATCTACTCTACTCTACGTGTATGTGTGTGTGTGTGCGTGCGGAAATAGCTTAGCGCAAAAATTTTGTGATTAAAAGTGAACGTTTGTGTGTCAAGCGGGTTCAAGTGAAGCGAAAGCGCCAAATACCAAAAGCGAACAGCAACAAAAGCAAAAACAACAATAACAAAATGGCCGCCGACGCAACTGCAGTCAGCGCAGCAGCAACAACAGCAACAACAACAGCAGCGGGCGACAGCCCGCAGAGCAGCCCTGGACAGCAGCTGAACAGCAGCGTCGACAGCGGCATTGTCGTCCCAGAGATGGACACGCAAGCGTTGAAGCTGCGCCAGCGTCTGCAGCAATGCCAGCGCATTCTGCAGCTACTGCAACGGGATCAACCCACATACCAGCAGCTGCGCGATAGATTAAGGTTAGTTCCGTTTTTATCTATCGCAAATTACACGATTTCTTAATTGATTTGAACTGATTATTATCAATAGTAATAATTATTGATATTATTATTGATTATTTTTATTATTATTCTTATTATCATTTTTATATTATTATTATTTTGATTATTATCATTACTATTATTATTATTATTATTATTATTGTTATTATTATTATTAATATTATTATTATTATTATTATTATTATTATTATTATTATTATTATTATTATTATTGTTATTATTATTATTATTATTATTATTATTATTATTATTATTATTATTATTATTATTAAAATAGTATTATTATTATCATTATTATTACTATAATTATTATTATTATTGCTAAATGATGTTTATAATTATTATACTTTTTTATTATTATAATTATCACAATTAGTTTTTTAATCGCACTGGTTTCTATTTCATTTGGCTAAGATAATACCATATGTATACACGAGTCTGGGATTTGCGCCCGTTTTCCTGGAAAAAAAAGGATTGAATTTCTGATTATAGCTAAGAGACAGAAATAAGAGTTATGTCATATGATCTTACTGGAAACTTCTGAAAGTATCTATAATTAGTGTTATAGTAAATAAATTCATTGATCTTATCTTTTTCACTTTAAAGTCTTTTTTTAGTCGACTACCTCCTATGGGATCTTTTATGAAATTTTTCTTAAAGATGAAGACTTTAAGTAAAACCCACAAATATTTACGACTTTTACAACCCGAAACGCCAACATTTGCTTAAACTCAATCTGTTATATAAAGTTTTATTCGAATGAATTATGATTATTTTCATGGAAATTTCCCAATTACTTTGTCAGATATCCGACGCATACGACGCATAATTGTAAATTTATGATGGCCCGTGGCAAGGTATATTAAAAAATGCACAAGCTTGGGGGCAGCGGCCGTTGACGGATGTTGTTGATGATGGGCTTGGCAAACATCTTGTGGATCTTTCAATCTTTACATGCCACAACTGCCACAACTGCAGCTGCTGCTGTTTAGTCAGTTGTTTATTTGATTAGCATTTTGTTTGGGCGCGTTTCGAGTGCTTTTTATAGCCAACACACACACGCACACACAAAGTGCGACAAACTGCATCCATTAACGATTGTTATTGTTATTGTGGCAGGCGACTCTTGAGATTTGCAGTTTTTCAATTATTAATGCAAATTGTCGACCTCAATTGCGGCGAGAGGAAATTACACGAAATGACAAAATTCACAGGTGCAGTCAGCAATAAAATAATGCCAGCCGCATCTGAATGAGCTCTTCTGGGAATACATATGTTCCCACTCGACAGCCAACACAATAATGCATTAAAAAAAATCCGAAAAAAAAAAATAGATGAAAAATAAGCGAGAAAACTCTTTTCATTACTCATCTTCAAAATGCTTTTTATTGCCAAGTCAGACAGACTCCGCGATGAACACATCGTTAACAATTTTGTTAGCTGTATATGCTTACAGCTTGTGTAATATCGTCATTAACTTTAGCTCTTGCTTCTTGGCCAAGAATAACCCAAGCTATTATCAATATATGTATGTGCTACCTTTTGGATTCCTGTACGAACATCCACTCAAATACTATGTCTAATGAGTCTATACGAAATTGCTTGAATTCGCTTGAGTTGAATATATTAATAATAATATGATAATGTTATAAGTTTTATTTTACAAAGATTTTTCATTTTAGAGAACTTAAACGACTTTCAGTAACCTTTCTTTAGGCTTCATTTAGCATCTTTCGGTTAGATCTCAGAAATTATCTTGAGAGTTAAATCTTAATAGTTTTCTTCTAGCTTCTCTTTTGTCTCTGGGAGTCTCTTGAGAGTTAAAGCCTAATATTTCTTCTTCTAGATCTCTCTTTCTCTCTCTCTCTCCTTCGCTCTCCCTCTCTCTGAATGGTTCTTCTTCTATCTCTACCTTTTTCCTCAACTATCTGCCTGTCTCTCTTACCCTCTTCTCTTGTAGCGCACAAGATATTCGGCTTAAATTAAACTTTTGCTTTTTTTTTTTTTGAATATTTACGCCAACTTCCAGCACATACTTAATTCACCTTGCGTCTTATCAGTGATAAAAGCGTGCTCGACTTGTGTCTATCTTATCACGAAAATCGTAATTAATTTGATGAATGCCAATTAATTGGCCTGCCAAATCGACAGCAGACCCAATTGGAATGTGTTCAGCTCGTTTTGTTGATTCGTTTGCAAGTCTCTCATCGATTTTCAGATTTGTTTGGCCAAGTTCAGCGGCACATGCCACAAAGCGCGGCCCCAACTGGCGGTTGCTTTGTGGCAGCCACAATTTGCATAATGCCAAGAGCTGGCTAATGAGAAAGTCATTGAGCTGTCCCTTTAGCCTATTTTGTCTCTACCTTTGTTGTCCATTTGTCGCTCTTTCCCTCCGCTTTTGATTCTTTGTTATCTTCGCGGCAAACGCGATTTATTTTTTCCTCACGGCCAGAAACTATGACTAACTAAGTCCAGTTCCACTTTGGATACTCGCCACAACGCACACAAAAATAAAATAAAACAATACAAATTCCCATAAATAATATAAATTCAAAATTTATAATTATATTAAAAATCCAGCCCAATTTTCTGTATAAAATTGTTGCTCTTGAACAAATGTCCCAATTATAAGGCGCTTGTGATATAACCTCAAAAATCTTGACACTTATCTGTGAAATTTTTCGTAACGTTCGTTGCTTCTTCTTTCTTTTTTTTTTTTGAATTTTTGTTGTTGTCCCTTTATTATTATTATTATTATGATTATTTATTTATCATTGTGCTGGCGGCGCGTTGTTATCAAATCAAAAGCCGCAAAAAGCGAATACCTGACTTTTTTTTTTAAAACAAAAACAAACAAAACGCAAGACTATATAATACCCCTCCGTATATATCTACAACAATAATAAATAGCGTCAAACTGCAAAAAAAAAAATAAATGGGGAAAAAAAGTAAAAAGTAAACCCAACAACGCAGTGGCAGTCGCAGTCTTGAGTTTTCTACCTTTGCGTTAAGATCGGCGAGATCTTGGCCAAGTCAGTTAGTTAGTAGCTGGCGGGAAAAGTAGGTAAATGGCCAAGAGCAAAAGAAGTGCACGCAATTTCTTATGAGCAGATACGACTGGAGACTCTGCCACGTGATTGTAATCAGCCGGAGGTTGAGATTGGCCCGGGGCCAATCAACTTCGGCTCAATTAACGAGCGCCGCGTTCGCAAAAAATGTTTATAAAAATATCGAAGGCAAAAAAAAAAAAAGTGATTGATAATCGCTGTAAAAATACTTGAATGCAAAGCAAAAAGTTCTCAGCTCGGTTAATTATTTATTCAAAGCTGACGCCGTGAAGTTTACTTAAGCGCAAGACGAAAATTCATAGTTGAAGAGACAACAATTATTAAAAACTATTAATATAAGCGACTTTGATGTCCGCCCAAGTGAATAAAACATTTGTCATGTTTTTGCATTGAAGCACACACAATTGACGCTGACCAGTGTTAGACAACGTGCCAAAGCATCTTGATATAAAACCTTTGATCACGCCCCGAAAACTTTAACATATATTCTCGACAAGACAGGAAACTTCTTTGCATTAATCAGTTATGTTTAATCTCCAAACGACTCAGAAGTAAACAAGTAAACAAATACATTCGTGATTGATAGTGATTAAAAATAACTCTGAGAGCACACGCTGAGCGTGTTTTATCACCTGATAAGCAGGTACACGGGTTATGAGTTTGTACCCCGTCCAAGCTTCAATTTGTGAAAAGCTGTTTGGTATTTTGATAAAAAACTGCAGTGCAGGAAGATATCTGACAACAATTTATGCTGTCAATTACAGTGAAACCGACTTAAAAGTACATATGTATTTCCGATTAATCATGCAGTTGCTTTACTTGCTTTGTTTGGCATTCAAATCTTACAATTAATCACGCTCTCCTTTCTAAAAAGTACCGCTATTAATCAGGATTAATCACGAATACAATAATCATAATCGAAAATTTTTCATATATTGATTTATATTTAACAAGCTTTAAGCTTCAAGTCACTTGATTTCGATTGCAGTCTTGCAATGATTGATTTGTTGAAGCTTTCAAAAGCTTTTAGAGATTTATGTGCTGTAAAGCGCAATAAACTGATTTAGGCTTCCAGTGTTTAATCAGTCTCAGAAAATACCCGAATTTAGTCATTCATTTTAAACAGTTGTGCATTTAATTTGCTAAAACATTAAAAAGTGTTTCGTAAGTGAATGTGTAAAAGTTCTAAAAACATAACCCAACGATTTATCATTTATTTCTTGCAAGCAATACAGCTTGCAAATGCTTTAAGTTAATGTTTAATCATTGCAACAAGTCAGTTATATATAAAAGTGGGATAAAAGTAGAATTCTCGGAGCTGTCACAAGTCGACACTTAAAACTCAACTACCCTGCGTAGAGCATGCCATTTAGCACCTGAAAGCTGAAAGCTTGAGGCAAATGTATATATATACTTATTACTTAACGCAGTTACGTGTATTCACGTTTATGTGGCATTGAGATAAGAAATGTACAGCAACAATGTCAAAGGCAGTGATAGCCATATCTCTTACCATTCGAGACTGATAATCCGGCCAAGAACTATTGCCAGATTGAGTTCGTGTTTGGGTTTTTGTTGGGCCAGCAAACGTGTTGTGTGCTTCAATGTTTGAACATCGGATTCAATGACAAACGACAAATGACAAATACATTTTCGCAGTGTTGCAAGCGTCTGGCGCGACCCTACATCTGCCTCATGGAGCTGCCAATGTATCGTGGCAACAACAATCTCTTCCTGGGCCTGACCAGCGTGCTGGGCTTGATTGGAGGCGCCTATCTGCTGCAATGTGGCGCCCAACATTTGCTCAGGTGAGTGCCAGCCAGACGTTTAGCCCACCAACTAGCTGAACCTGCTACGTGATACGCACAATTAAATGCCACTTGTCGCACGTGCAGCGCATTTCTGTGCGCCAACTTGGAGTTGGCCATTTGCTCTGGCATCCGAAATGGACCGCAGCTTAACAGCTTCATTTTCATTTCGGATTTTCATTTTCAGTTCAGTTACGTGTTGATTACGTTTGCGTGTGTTAGCAAAAAAAGAGTATTTAAAAAATTGCACAAACTAACTGAATTGATATAATTGATGTCGAGCCGTGTTTGGGTTGGATACCCTGTACTAAATAATAACAGGGTTTAACCGTGGTTGTAGATGTATGTAACAGGCAGAAAATAAGCATCGAATAATATAGAGATCTGCCAAGCGTCTGCCCGCCAAAGGATTTCAGATTGGCCAATTTTCGATTGCGTTCCACGAAATCGATAAATATCGATTGGCAGCCTAGCTTAGCTTGTTGGAGCATATGTCGAATAATATAGAGATCTGCTATGCGTGTATCCGCCACGGGCTTAAAGATTGGCAAATCAACGATAGGTGTACACGAAATCGATAAATATCGATTGGCAGTCTAGCTTGTTGAGCATAACTCGGGAATTAAAAGGCCTAGAGACACCAAATTTGGTATCTCGGTTCTTTCAGCTGCATGCCGTGCTTCAAAGAAAGTTCAAGCATTTGCTACAGCAACTCGCTGTTGGGTGCAGGGTATCTCCTAGTCTTTCAGGCTCGATTAGAGTACTCTTGGTTTTTTGTTTCGGCTCTGGTTTGTCTTATTCGGCAGGTGGCGGCAGCGCTCAATTTGATTTCCTCAGCAGCTTGTGTAATAATTTGATTCGCCAATGTCTTTAATTGGTCAGCGGCAGCTGTTGCCAATTTCGATTGTCTATCGATTATTGTTTACCGTTGTACATTTCATAACAATGTGCCACAAATTGGCAAACGCCCCGAAGCGGAAATCGTTAAGAACCCTTGGCTAACGGTAGCTGTGTCTATATGGCATATATATATATATATATATATATAAGTACAACACGAATTGACAATACCAATTAGCTGGAAATATTCTCTTGTTGTCTGCCCAGGCTAATTAAGCGCTTGTTTATGGTACCATGCATATATTGAGTATTAGTAATACTTGGAAAAACATTGCTTCTTTTTTTTCTCCATATTTCAATTGTGTAAACAATCATCGGCTGGCATTTTACACTGTACCAAGCTCACTTTCTGTACAATGGGTGCTGTGACTGGCACTGAAAAAGCTGAAATAGCTGAAAACTGAAAACGAGAGACGCTTCATGCATAAATGGAAAGTCAGTCAGCCAGTTTATGGCTTAATAATTACAATTAACGCCTGTCAACGTCAGTTGGCCAAAGTATTTAATGCACAAGTCCGTTACACTAGCAGAAAATGGGCACTAAACAAGTCAGCAGTTAAAAAACTTTAAAATATGTTTAAAAAACCTTTAACCAAATAAGTTTTTAAGTTTAGTTGCGCAATTGACACTTAAAGCTTTAATGTGTTCAGATTTGCTTGCAAATACAAAGCATAAAACAGCTTTAAAAGCACATGAAAGCTTTAAGTGATATAATAGATAGACAGTACAGACTCATTTAAAGTTAAGAAAAACTAATTGTTCTATTATACAGTTAAGTCAGCTTAACTCAAATTAAAAGCAAATGAAAGTAATGTGGGTTATTTTTTTTTTCTTAAATATTTGTCCAAATTCCTAAATGCCTTAACCTGCTTTTGCTGCGTTAAATTCTTTAATGTGACTCGAAATGGGAATCAAAACTGGTTGAATTTAGATTCAAGTCACAAACGCAGCAAGTGAAAAGCCACAAAAAAAATGTGTAACAAATGTGACAGAGAATTCATTTTTCTGTGACTACGAAAGTGGTTAAAAAGCAGTCAAAGCGAGTTTTTGGCAGTTGAAAAATGCACAATTTCTAAAGATATTAAAAAAGAATCAAGTGTTGCCAAACAAGTGTTGCATATCGTCAAAGCGCATGAAATATTTTTGTAGCATGCTTTCAGGCGAAAGCTAATTGAGAGCTGATCCAAACTCACAACTCAGTTTTGTGCATTAAAAACGTGTGCAAATTGTAAAGCTACATGTTTGCGGTTAATGTTAGTATAAACACAATGAATACCTGTAAATTGCTTTTGTTTTTATTGTTTTGCCACACGGCAGCAGCAAATTAGCAATTGAGGCATTGACACTGGCAATGAGTCTGAAAGTCAAGTGCATAAAACGTATTGCACAACAATCATTGAGAAGATGTAGATACATATATATTATTTATAGCATGTTTTGTTTTGATGTTGTTTTTAAATGTTTCTTAAAAAATAGAAACCCGTTTAATTTTGGGCGCCATTTATTAGTCAGCGCATCATTGGACAGTCCAATAAATTCACAAATTCCAATAGCGACAATTTTCAAAATAAAAAAATTAATATGCATAAATAACATTTTATTGAAATCAAAACCCGTTTGCGGAATCTTGTATATTCTACAACAATCTCAATTTGCAATGAATAATGAAGTCGCAGATTAAGAAAAGAAAATGCTAGACAACAAACAATTAATCAACATTAAAAACGAATTTCGAGTGTGGTAGCTGGCAGCATCAGCTGTCCCGGTCTCGGTCCCGGTTGTCCAACACTGTTCCAGTGCTGCCTGTAAGCCGTCAGCCGTCAGCCTTGCCAAGCTTTTCTCTTGCCAGCTGTAAATGGCACTTTTTAATTTTATGGGCCTCTGGCAACGCGTGAATTACTCAAAAAGAAATAGAAAAAAACTTTAAAGCTCTTACGTCATCAACGAGCTTGTCTGGCTCTGTCTATCCGCATGTCTAGCTTTTATGTTTGTTTGCTTGCCTCACTCTCTCACCCGCCCGCTCTCCCGCTCTCTCGCTCTCGCACGCTGTTTCGTCGCTCTGCTTTCTATGCAAAAAAACCGGCATAAGCTGCGTGCGTCGACGTCGCTGCCTGGCGCTCAGCTGTTGGCCGCACAAGGCGCGCTCGAAGCGAACTGCGCATAACAAAACCAAAGCTGGTGCGAGAAAGTTGTCGGCGCGCGCTTTGCAAAAACTGTGAATAAAAAGAAACACGACTCGCAATCGATTCAAACTTGAACATAGAACAAAAAGAAGAAGAAGAAAAATAACAACAATTTTGCTGCCATGCACCAAAGCAACAGCAAACACAGTGCCAAAAATTTACAGTACGAAATCAGAAAACAATCCATGAGATAAACAACAACATTCAGAGAAAAAGCACACAAAACAAATTGAAACATAGCAACAACAACAACAACAACAACAGCAACAACAATCACAATCGTCCAGCGCCAGAAACCGAAATAGCGACATTTAACCAGCATAATCCAGCAGCATGTTGATTACGTCCGTTGTGGTATGCCAGGTGGAGAAATTGCTCTGCACGCCCATCAGCTTTGCGGTATTCGCCTTTCTGTTCATGGCCTGCACCATGGAGGTGGTCCTGCTCAAGCTGACAACCAGTGCACACATCTTTGGCCGTCCGCCCAACCACGATGACTGGGACGAGGGCAGCGAGCACGAGGAGGATATCTACTATGAGAATTTGGAGAACAACTACGAGCATTGGGCGCGCAGGCGCATGCGATATCATCAGCGGCAACAGCAGCTGCTACAACAACAACAACAGCAACAACAACAACTTCTATAGGGATTTGCCCGTTTTCTAATGTATATACGACTGAGTTTTCTCCAATTTAGGCTAAGCCAAATTTCTACAAAGTTGACGCCTTTATTTTTTTATCATTTTCGGTTTCGTTTGCGTGTAAACAATTGCAAAATTTTCTGCCAATTCATTGAAACCAAAAGAGAAAAGCGAAAAAAGAATAAGAGAAAAATAAAAACAAATTTGTGGATTAGTTGATATTTTGTGCACGTTGTTAACAAACCAATATATACAAATATATACAAAAAAAAAACTGAAAAAAAAATTAAATAAAATATATTTATACATATATATAAATACATATACACATATAATTTCGAGTATTCGGTTTCTATTACGTGCATTTGTTTTGTATAGAAATTTGCATAAATTGTAAATGACTGACATAATCATAATATTATCTACATATTACATCAATACATACAATCAATATGCAAACAGCACATGTATCATACTATACAGTACTGTATATATATATATATATATATAATCCCCATAAAATAAGCAATAAATGTAATTTAAGTTTTGCGTGTGATGTTACCAAAATGGTTTTCCGTTATACTCTTTTGCTATGTTCTGATTAATAAATTAATACAAGTAGCTTGTAAATAAACTGCAAGTCATCTTAAAGAATTTCTTTTTTCACTGATCAAACTGGTTTTACTTTGGTTCTTCTTACTCAATGAATGTGATGTGGTGTTCCCAATATGGTTTTCTTACAAAAACATACTTTCAATACCGTTATACTATGTCCAGTGTTGTAAGCTTTCTTAACTTATAGTTCAATATATACAAGTAGCTTGTTAGCAAACTGCAAGTCATTTTATGGAATTTTTACTTTAATCGAATCAAACTGGTTGAACTGCGGCTTTTCTTTCTCATTTTCCCTTATGCAATCGATGATATGTGCTTTAACATGGTTTTCCAACGTATGCAAGCTGTTATACAATGTCCAGTGTTGTAAGCTCTCTCAAGCATGTGCAAGTAGCTTGTAAATGAATTGTGATAAATTTTTCTTTTTTTTTTTACTCGTCAAACTGGTCCATGTGGTTTTTCTTCCGCATTTCCACTGATGCAATGGATAAAAAAATAATTAAGAGAGTGTGAAAATGGTAAAGTTTAATTGAAGTCTCGATTTAACTACGGAACTTGTTTTCAATATATAGAAACATGAAATATAGAATCGCTTATGAATGTTGTTTTCTGTTTCGTTAACTAATTATACATATTGTGGCAAAAAAACAAAAAATCTGAAATTAAACAGAAATTAGCAAAACGTAACCTTCACAGAGTTGTTTAACCTTTTGGCAACAATTCGGATCTTTCTTGGCTAATTTGAAAATTGGTTCTGCGTCACAAGCCGAAACCAAATCGATGCAAATTGATGCTAAAAGGAAAAAGTATACAAAAGAGAGACTTGAAATTGTGTCAAGAATCGGTGCTTGAATATCCAGAGATAAAGCTAAGCAAACAGTTATAATTCATTTGCATAAGTTGATTAGCCTTAAAATAGCTATTTTTATCGAGCTTTTTTAATTGAATTTATGCCTGTTTCTTTTGATTTGCAGCAAAATAGCTGTTAAGAAGAAGAAGGCGAATGCCAGCGCGGAGCAGCACAGCTGCAATGTCTGCTGTGCGGACCTGGATCTAAGCAGTGCCAAAAAGTAAGCAACAAATCACCAGCCACGCCTCCTCAGGCCCTCTCTAACACCGTGCACCTAATTCACAGCTACGTCACATGTTGCACGTGTGGCAAGCACGTGTGCCGCGGCATCAAGTGCGCCGATTGGCTGCCAAAGGCGGCGCAATGGGTATGCGAACTGTGCCACAGCTCGAAGCAGTCGCTGGAGCAGACCTCCTCCTGGGTGGCCGAACAAATGTCCTTCAATCAGCAAAAGTTCGTTTATCCTTTGCGCGCACGCAGCGAAATTTATATTCCCATCAGTGCCGAAATGGCCGACAGCTCGATGCGTAAGTAAAATGCCGCCCAAAACTAGCCAATTTACAGCTAAGTCCTGCCTCGCATTTCCCGCAGACTTCGAGAGCGTCAGCCAAGTCGGCGCCAACAGCGTGACCCTAATGAATATGGACGAGCGCAGCCGCATCCGCGAATACGTCGAGGAAATTGTGGCGGAAATGCTCGGCGGCAATCTCGATCACATCAAAGTCGGTCAATTGTCCAAAAGCGAGAACTGTAAGTAAAAACATAAAACATGGTCTCAGATTGGCTTAGATTTGATTAGTGCAAATGCAATTGTCGGAGCACTCGGGAGTGCAAATTCGCTCAATTGTTGCGAATTAAAAGAGCAGCTGGATAATATAGTAAACCCGCTTGTATATATAACTATATACCGTCTGGTCTACCCTAGGCATACAGTCTAAAGTTCTAGCTACGCACCTATATATGCTCTGCTTTTTATGCAGTCTTAATTAGGGCAATGAACCAAGTCAGTTTGCCTGGTTCCCAATTCCAGAAACGCTGCAATTTCGCAAGAAAAGAAATATATATTTCTCTAAAGCACCCAAAAGTATGCAGCAGAAAATAGTCCAAGCCAAGCTCAAATAAAGTCGTTCAATTCTCTCTTTAGCAAAGTTATTTGATAGCAATAGGTATTTAAAGAAAACATTTTTTCAGAGCTATCATAACAATATTTTAAAGGTTTTTTATCCAAATTTTAATACTCAAAGAATCTAGCTTCTTTAAAAAATAGCGCTATTAGATTTAAATGCAAGCCATAAGCCTTTTCTATTTTGTCTGAAAAAAACCTTCTTTAAACAAACTAGATACGATATAATCTAACTGAAGAGCTCAAAGAAGCTTTGGGGATTAAATAACTGTTGTTTTCTAAGAAATAAATCTCTTACTCCTCCATCAAAGTAAAAGCTTTTAAAGCTCTTTGAGTAAAAGCACGCGCTCACAAGAAACTATTGCATACCTGCTGTTGCTTTTCGAGCTAAAGCTTTGGCTCTACTGACAGCTGAAGCTTTTGGCAATGTTCATTGCATACTTAATGTTAAATTTTATCAACATACACATACACACACTCACACACACACATTTACAATCACACTGCACACAGACCTGCAGCTGTTTGATAAATATCATGCGAAACTGAGCAACCTGTTTATCAACGTGGAGAACGCTTTGTGCGCTCGTCCGTTCAAGGGAGGTAAGTCGTAGCGAGTCCTGTCTAATGTACTATGTATGTGGCATGTGCCACGCCCTAACATGATGTAGTGCTGCCTGCTATCTGCTATCTAAATTGAATGCTGTATAACCTGCTCGTATCTGGGCATGAATCATGGCCATCAAATCGTATATCGTATTTATAATGCACGTAGATAGCTGTATGTATATGTATATGTCTGGATGACTCTCAGTTTGTCGTATACGTGATGTTGTAATAATGCTGACCAAAAAACTGAGGCAATCGTTGATTATGTAGCGAAAATTCTATATGACTATCAGTAAATAATAAAGACCAACTAAAATAAACAAAACTAAACTAAAATCGCGGTCAACACTCATTGATAACAGCGACACACACACACACACACACACACACACACACACGCACACACAGAGACACAGACACACTTGATAAGGCAAAGCATATGGAGCTGATAAGGGATTTGTGTCTGGTCTATTGAAATACCGACAAGTACAACACTTTGTAAGCACATTTAAGCACATTGTAGCGACAGTTGGCCTTAACCAGATGACAAGCCGAGATACACGCGCATTAATCATACGCAACGTGCGCCGACATCGCTCACCAACTGGTTCCAGCAGCTGCAAATTGACAATTTACACGGCTAGTCGAGGCAACTTCAACGAGTTTCCATTTTGGAGTTTAGAGTTTAGAGTTTGAGTGCCTTAAAATGCCCCATCATTCAAATTACAAAGTCAAACATGTTCGTCTCTCGAGGGTGTAATAACTTAGAGACATGCTAACTCGTCGATTGCAAATAAACATGTCAATCACTTCAAGCCGTTGGCACTAACAAAAACCTATATATACATTTCTGCTACGAAAACAGGAAACTAGCTATTTCTGAAATTTCTGAAATATACTTTTTTTAATTGTGTTAACGTTTTATCGCACGCAACACATTCCATTCCTGCGTATGTCAAATATAATGCAATCAATTTAGTCGACTTTTACGAATCCAGAAAGACATTTCTTGTCAAGATCGAGCATTATTTACCCGAGCTATGATTAAGTGTTTTGTTTTTTAATAAAGTTACCTAAAGTCAAATCTTGATAATCTATTAAAATCCTGCGGATCACGACTATCAATCAGGCAGTTTTCTGATTTCCACATACGCTGGGATACTTTTTCACGACTCACATCACATTAGAAGCAACAATAAAAATTTCATCAAGCTAGCTTTAACGGTTTGGGCTCTGCGTTGATCATCAATCAGTCAGGCAGTCAGTCAGTCAGTCAATCAATCAATAGGAACAAACTATTCTAAAACTCAGCAATAAAAACAATAAAAAACTGAGCATTCTAGCTTCTTCGACATGTTGATTAGCAATCAGTCAGTCAGTCAATCACTGACTCAGCCAATCAATCAGAATAAACTGTAGTTTCAAGCATATTAAGGCTTTCCTTAGATATAATTTCAAGCTGGTTTCAGGCTTATTTATAAGTCTAAAATTGTATTTTAAATATTCAAAAATTAATCATGTCTTAAAATATGCTCTAAGCCGGACTCTTACAGACAAAATACTAATAATATCTATATAGCACAAAGTAATTTTTTTTTTGAATATGGCAAAGTTTAAAGACTTAAAATTTTGTGCTCAATTCTCATAGAGAGAATCCGAGCACAATGCTCGCGAATATCGAAATACCTTAATAAACAAAAGCGAACTGTTTGTATGCCATTACAAAGCTATAGATATGTCTATAACTGTGTGTGTGAGAGTGTGTGTGTGTGTGTGTGTTGGCACACTCACACGTTGTTAGCTGCTGCTGCTGCTGCTGCGGCTGCTTGCGGCAGTTGCCAGACGCAACGCGCGCTGATCGCAACGTTTTGGCCGCGCGCCGAGCAGCTAAAAGCCGGGTGAAAAATTATAAAAAAAATAAAATCACATAAAATAACGTTTTTTACGTCAAAGCGTGCAAAGTAAAAGCAAAAAAAGAAAAAAGCAAGTGCCCAAAAGTGATAATGATAACATAGAAAAGCAACAAGAAAATAAAAGAAAGACGCATAGTAAAAAGTAAAGTAAAGAAACCAAATAGACTGCGAACAAATACATATATATGTGTATATATATATGCTGTGCAGATAACAGATAACACACACACACACACACACACACAGTTACTCAGCTCTTGATCTTATGTATATGCCAACCTTGACCCTCTGAATAAAGTGTACATATTAGTTAGCAAAAAAATAAACAACAAAACTCCAAACGTGGCCTAAAGAGCAAAACCAGGAAAAAATATTTAATCAATGTTAATAAATATTAATGATGGCTTCGAGCGCACAAGATTATGCGCCAAAATATGCTAAATTAATCTCACGACTTTAAACACATTTTATAAATGTGCAAATGTGTGTGTGTGTGTGTTTATAGATAAATTAAACAAGTTAAGAGCTATATTTAAACGTGTAAAAGTTAATAACTAAATGCTTAAGTAGTAGAAGCAGGAACTTTGAACTGAACTTGACTTGTGCACCTTGCACAGCACACTTAGACTATATATATATAGGGTATACTTAGCTATGATCTGTGCCGGTTGAGGTTCAGCTTGTCTAGTTCAGGTTCAGCTCTGCTTCATTAATGACAGCCGTATGCAAAAAGCGCCAGATACATTTCAATCTTTGACATTTTGTCAATGACTAACGGCACTCAAGCGATACACACACACACTCACTCACACACACAAGCACACTCGCACACACACAATAGACATGTCAGCGAGGCGATAAAGAAATTTAGTGGCTTTTGTAAAGGCAAAATAGATAACTTGAGGTTATTAATTATGTTTTTACCGCTAAAAAGAAAAACAAGATATTAGCACAAAAGCGGCTCAAAAGATACATTTATTTTGCGCTTTGTTTTGTTTTGTTTACAATGCGTGGAGATACAAATACATACATACAAATATATTTATCCATTTATATTTATTTTCTTTGAGCCTGGACTTTGGGTTTGCGAACTGCTCAAGCGTTTAGCTCAGCTTTAAATATACAAATTTATGGTTGAAAGGGGGCTGGTTAATGCGGCGTATGCGTAATTTGCCACTCAAAGAGTGTATTACATGTGTCAGTGTGTGTGTCTTAATTAAAACCGGAACATAAATAAATATTTACACAGGCCAAATACAAATAAATACAAATACGGCATTAGCGACAGTTAAATAAAAAACAAATACAATAAATAAAAACAATAAACAAATACGGCAACTAATTCATATTGATGTTGGCCCAAAGTGAATACTCAACCTATTCATATATGTAACTGAATAGCTGAATAGTCGCGTCGTCGAATACCCGTTTTTTCTGTGTGTGCATGCAGCATGGACTTTACATTGGGCCTGATAACTGGCATGTATGCCGTCGTAGCTGTAATTGTATTTTACGTTGTTTACGTCATTGAGGTGAAATTAGGTATGCCTTCTCCTCAATCAGCTCACACGCACTCACACACTCACTTTCTACACTCACACAACTTGCGTCTTTTCACTTTTCCATTCGTTTTGTTCGTTTTTTAACTGACTTTCGTGCTAACCATGCCCATGCCATGATATTCTAAGACTTCCAAATGCTTTCTTGACCAATTCGCCTGCTTACAGATTTGCCAGCCATTGTCAATGGCAACAACAATAACAACAACAGCAACAACAACAACAACAACATCAACAATGATCAACTGGCGGACATATCGCAGACGCGTCTGCGCAGTCTCATTGAGACAATCATCGCCGAAACGCTGCGCAGCGGCAGCAACAGCCTCCTCCTGAATCCCAGCGGCGCCGTCTCCGAGATTAGCCTGGACACGCGCTCCAATGGGCAGCTGTCGGGCTTCAGCAATGGCGGCAGCAGCAGCAAGCGACGCCATCGCACCGAGCACTATTTTGAGCCCAAAATCTATCAGGATCTGTTGGCCACAGCGGTGCTCAATAAGGTAAGAACAACTGAAACACCGACTATTAGATACCCTGCAGCCAGGCATAAATAACATGCAGAGACACAAAAAAAAAAAAAAAAAAAGGAACAAATTTGATCTTAAATAATCCGATTGTTATTAAAGAGAGCTCTAAGATGACATTCGTGTGTGTCTACCTAAAGATAGAATGAAAATAGATACTGAAATTGGAAGACTTGTCAAAAAAAAAACACTTCTTCTTATAATGTGCAAGCATCTACTTTTTAAATTCAAAGTAGAATGATAATAGATACTGATTTATAATACAAGCATCTCCTTTTGTAGTCCTTAGTTATGATATTTTTTGAGACGAACAGTTACATAGAATTGCTCTAATCGAACATACCCCTCTTTTAGTCAATGGTTAGAGGGTATAGGAAACTGACCTCCCAGAACAACTGTTGCATCTGGGGCAGCAACGTGTTGACCTCGCTTGTAATCCTCGGCACATTCTGGCAATTTCCTCAAACGTCAGCTTCGTTCAGTTTTCGCTTTCGTTTGGGCCGCACTTTGCGGGCTTCCCAATCGGCCCAAAGCCACCACAGTTGCATGCCCCACTAATTAGTTGCTGCCCATTGTTGCAAGCGCGCGGACGCCCGAAAGAACTGTGAACGGCAAAAGGCATCAACCAGCCCCACACGCTAATTGGATCATTGACTTTTCAGTCAGAGGAAAAACTCGATTTTCCCTAGCCAAAAATCGTATTTAATTGGTTTTATTCTGGATTTCGTCATGGCAGAGCCAGCCCAGCATGTAAATACTTCAACTAAAACATAAAGACGCAACTTGTTTTATATAAAACGCAATCCAATTGGACTAAGGTTCCATATCTTATCAGCCAGTCATATTTTTGCCTGGTTTAACATAGGTTTCATAAGTGATTGATTAATCTGTTTTAGTTCTACGGAAATCTCAACCCGTTTCACGCTGCGTCACGCTGAAATCGAACTAGTTTTAGGTACAATCATGACGACAAAAGTCTTGATTTTCAACACAGCGTTGTTCAACACAGCTGACAAGTGTTGCCGGTTGCAAGCAGTTTAAGTGTTGCACAGTCCCTAAAATAATCAAAACCCGTCTAACTCAAATAAAACTCCAACTTTTTTATAGATTGCGGACAAGGAGGGCAATAACAGGCTCATTTCGGAGAGTACGCCGGACCTGAGTGCTCACAACATTGATGAGAATTACAATGCCGAAGCGTTGAGCACTACATCTGGAAGTTCAATAGAGCCGCGCAGCGATTGCAGCCTAACGGATCATGAACTGGTACTCAATATTAGTTAGGATCTCTTATAATCTCTTTATCTATAAATACTCCATTTTTGCAGACTGGCAAAGAAGAAGCACAGCTGGACGTGGAACGTGAGTCGGTCCTGAGTGACTATATAGCCGCTCACATGGTGCCGCTGCCGGATTTCTCAGCATCCGTTACCGAATCGGAGGATGGTGAGTACCTAACCCTAAGATCTAACCCTACCATAAATATATCTTCTTAACTCCTTCCAGATGTTGTCTCAATGTCGTCGAGCATGGTCGGTGACGGCACCTGGGAGGACAATTGGCTATTCAAGAAGAAGCGCAGCACCTTGCAGAGCTCGGCCACACCGAGCAGCATTGGCATGCTGGTGCCCGCGCCCAAGGAGAATGTACGCGCTCAGATTGGCGATCGGACCGCCGATGAGGTCAGCGATCTGTCCGAAATGGGCTCCGACGCAGAGGAATCTTCCCTGGATTTGCTGCGTTGCAATGAGCTAAATGATCGCCTCTTAAGCAAACACCTAATTGGTGGACAGAACACAAAACTAGTGCTAGACGAACTGGTGGATCGCACAAGTTTGACCTCAAATACTTTGCCAGCGGAGCACGAGCCGGCTTTTACCGAGACCACAAATCCGCTCGTCCAACAGCCCACGGCGGCCACAGCGTCACAGCCAGAAGAACAGAAAACGTCTACTTTAATGGCGCCGCCGCCACCCATGATTTTCCAAGATGATGAAAATACTGAGGAACCCGCTCAGACACTGATTGCAGGTAATTGCAAAATTATTTTTCCTCTTACAAGTCCACAATTCATCCTTTAAGCTAACCACTTATATTCACATATACTATACATCCTGCCTTAAGTTTGATTAGTTTGGGAGTGTTAGTCCCTTAGACCTTGCCGTAGTTTTAGCGGAACCCACCTGTATTGAACCTCAGCGTATCTGTGCATAGTTTTAAAGCAGCGGCATTCAGCAGTCGTTATGTGTTACAGCAGCCCAATGTGATTCAGATGATCTCTGCGATCTCGAGGGCTTGACAGGCTTCGGGGACGTTGAATACCTAGATGACAGCAAGCTACATGAAAACATACCTTCGGTTATTGAAATACTAGCAGCCATTGCTCTGGGACCCATGCTCGCCATCCCAGCATCTGAACAACCTCCTATTATGACTGCCACAGAAATTCATACACTCAAGGAACTAAGTGATTTGGCTCTGGCTGAAATCAACGCTCGCACAATGGAGCTAGCTCAACACTCTCTGGACATTATTGAGGAAGAGTTCACGGAAGCACAATCCACAGACCAAGACGACAAACCTCAAACTGCTGAAGAACACAAGCACAGGTCACCTATTAATGCGAGTGAGATTCCATCCTCCATTACCGAAGAAATATCTCAACCAAAGGAGGGGAATGTTGAAGTTTTAGGACAAACGGAACTCGCTCCTAATAAACAACCTATATCTGGAGAAACACCAACTGCAGCACCATTATTTGATGAGATTGTTAGGGCTGGGATTAATTCAGAAACAAAACTTGTTCCTCAGGAAGATTTGGCACAATTAGTTACTCAAGCAGAAATAATTGTAGAGCCACAGACTGCTGCACCAGCTCCAACTCTATCGCCAGCCGTTGAGAAAGTTACTTTAACTGCTGCATCCACACAAGCAACAACGCAACAACATGAAGAACTTAGTCCTCTAGCAAAAGCAACTGCAGCTCCCGAAGAAGCTTCAATACCGACAGCTGAGATAGTTGCTCTAAATGCTACCGAAGAAGTTCCTACGTTAACAGGAGAAGCTGCTGCTCCTGTAGAAATTCCAGGGCCAGTAATTGACCTATTTACTCCTGAAGAAAAACCTGCTACGTCTGAAGCGCCAGCAGATGTGACAGCTTCTTCCACAGAAGTATCTTCTATTCCCGGGGAAGTTCCTACACCAGCAGTTAAGAAAGTTGCTCCCTCTGAAGTAACCGCTGCTTCCGAGGAAGCAGCTGGGATAGTTACTCCATCAGAAGTAAATGCTGCTCCCGAGGAAGTTTCTGTGCCAGCTGTCTATTCCAATCAATCTCAAGCGACAGAAGCAAAAATAGTTACTCCATCAGCAGGAACTGCAGCTTCTGAGGAAGTTCCAGTGCCAGAAGATGAGATTGTTACTCAAGCTGAAGTAACCGTTGCTCCTGAGGTCGATCTTGCACCAGCAGAAGAACCTGCTGCTCTACCGACAGAAGCTGAGATAGTTACTCCAGCAGAAGTAACTGCTGCTTCCGAGGAAGTTCCAGTGCCAGCAGAAGTACCTGCTTCCGAGGAATCTCCAGCGCCAGCATCTGGGCTAGTTACTCTAACAGATGTAACTGTTGCTCCTGCGGTAGATCCTGCACCAGCAGAAGAACCTGCTGGTCTACCGACAGCAGCTAAGATAGTTACTCCAGCAGAAGTAAATGCTGCTTCCGAGGAATCTCCAGCGCCAGCAGCTGAGATAGTTACTCCAGCAGAAGTAACTGCTGCTCCCGAGGAAGTTCCTTTACCAGCAGAAGTACCTGCTTCCGAGGAATCTCCAGCGCCAGTAGCGGAGATAGTTACTCCAGCAGAAGTAACTGCTACTCCCGAGGAAGTTCCTGTGCCAGCAGAACTACCTGTTTCCGAGGAATCTCCAGCGCCAGCAGCTGAGATAGTTACTCCAGCAGAAGTAACTGCTGCTCCCGAGGAAGTTCCTGTGCCAGCAAAAGTACCTGCTTCCGAGGAATCTCCAGCGCCAACAGATGAGATAGTTACTCCAGCAGAAGTAACTGCTACTCCCGAGGAAGTTCCTGTGCTAGCTGAACTACCTGTTTCCGAGGAATCTCCAGCGCCAGAAGCAGAGATAGTTACTCCAGCAGAAATAACTGCTGTTCTTGGGGAATCTCCAGCGCCAGAAGCAAAAATAGTTACTCCAGCAGAAGTAACTGCTGCTCCCGAGGAATCTCCATCGCCAGCAGCTGATATAGTTACTTCAGCAGAAGTAACTGCTACTCCCGAGGAAGTTCCTGTGCCAGCAGAACTACCTGTTTCCGAGGAATCTCCAGCGCCAACAGATGAGATAGTTACTCCAGCAGAAGTAACTGCTGCTCCCGGGGAAGTTCCTGTGCCAGCAGAACTACTTGTTTCCGAGGAATCTCCAGCGCCAGAAGCAGAGATAGTTACTCCAGCAGAAATAACTGCTGTTCTTGGGGAATCTCCAGCGCCAGAAGCAGAGATAGTTACTCCAGCAGAAGTAACTGCTGCTCCCGAGGAATCTCCATCGCCAGCAGCTGATATAGTTACTTCAGCAGAAGTAACTGCTACTCCCGAGGAAGTTCCTATGCCAGCAGAACTACCTGTTTCCGAGGAATCTCCAGCGCCAACAGATGAGATAGTTACTCCAGCAGAAGTAACTGCTACTCCCGAGGAAGTTCCTGTGCCAGCACAACTACCTGTTTCCGAGGAATCTCCAGCGCCAGAAGCAGAGATAGTTACTCCAGCAGAAGTAACTGCTGTTTCCGAGGAATCTTCACCGCCAGCAGATGAGATAGTTACTCCAGCAGAAGTAACTGCTGCTCCCGAGGAAGTTCCTGTGCCAGCAGAAGTACCTGTTTCCGAGGAATCTCCAGCGCCAGAAGCAGAGATAGTTACTCCAGCAGAAGTAACTGCTGTTCCCAAGGAAGTTCCTCTGTCAGCAGGAGTACCTGCTGCTTCCGAGGAATCTTCAGCGCCAGCAGATGAGATAGTTACTCTAACAGAAGTAACTGCTGCTTCCGAGGAAAATCCAGCGCCAGCAGATGAGATAGTTACTCCAGCAGAAGGAACTACTTCCGAGGAATCTAAGGCGCCAACAGATGAGATAGTTACTTCAGCAGAAGTAACTGCTACTCCCGAGGAAGATCCTGTGCCAGCGGAACAACCTGTTTCCGAGGAATCTCCAGCGCCAGAAGCAGAGATAGTTACTCCAGCAAAAGTAACTGCTGCTTCCGAGGAATCTTCAGCGCCATCAGATGAGATAGTTACTCTAGCAGAAGTAACTGCTGCTTCCGAGGAAAATCCAGCGCCAGCAGATGAGATAGTTACTCCAGCAGAAGGAACTACTTCCGAGGAATCTAAGGCGCCAACAGATGAGATAATTACTCCAGCAGAAGTAACTGCTACTCCCGAGGAAGATCCTGTGCCAGCAGAAGTACCTGTTTCCGAGGAATTTCCAGCGCCAGAAGCAGAGATAGGTACTCCAGCAAAATTAACTGCTGCTCCCGAGGAAGTTCCTGTGCCAGCAAAAGTACCTGCTACCGAGGAATCTCCAGCGCCAGCAGCTGAGATAGTTACTCCAGCAGAAGTAACTGCTACTCCCGAGGAAGTTCCTGTGCCAGCGGAACAACCTGTTTCCGAGGAATCTCCAGCGCCAGAAGCAGAGATAGTTACTCCAGCAGAAGTAACTGCTGCTTCCGAGGAATCTTCAGCGCCAGCAGATGAGATAGTTACTCTAGCAGAAGTAACTGCTGCTTCCGAGGAAAATCCAGCGCCAGCAGATGAGATAGTTACTCCAGCAGAAGGAACTACTTCCGAGGAATCTAAGGCGCCAACAGATGAGATAGTTGCTCCAGCAGAAGTAACTGCTACTCACGAGGAAAATCCTGTGCCAGCAGAACTACCTGCTTCCGAGGAATCTCCAGCGCCAGAAGCAGAGATAGTTACTCCAGCAGAAGTAACTGCTGCTTCCGAGGAATCTCCAGCGCCAGCAGATGAGAAAGTTACTCCAGCAGAAGTAGCTGATGCTTCCGAGGAAACTCCAGCGCCAGGATTTGAAATAGTCACTTCAGCAGAAGTAACTGCTGTTTCCGAGGAATCTCAAGCGCCAGCAACTGAGATAGTTAATTTAGCAGAAGTAACATCTGCGCCAGCAGATGAGATAGTTACTCCAGCAGAAGTTACTGCTGCTTCCGAGGAATCTCCAGCGCCAGCAGATGAGAAAGTTACTCCAGCAGAAGGAACTACTTCCGAGGAATCTAAGGCGCCAGCAGATGAGATAGTTGCTCCAGCAGAAGTAACTGCTACTCCCGAGGAAGATCCTGTGCCAGCAGAACTACCTGCTTCCGAGGAATCTCCAGCGCCAGAAGCAGAGATAGTTACTCCAGCAGAAGTAACTGCTGCTTCCGAGGAATCTCCAGCGCCAGGATTTGAAATAGTCACTTCAGCAGAAGTAACTGCTGTTTCCGAGGAATCTCAAGCGCCAGCAACTGAGATAGTTAATTTAGCAGAAGTAACATCTGCGCCAGCAGATGAGATAGTTACTCCAGCAGAAGTTACTGCTGCTTCCGAGGAATCTCCAGCGCCAGCAGATGAGATAGTTACTCCAGCAGAACTACCTGTTTCCGAGGAATCTCCAGCGCCAGAAGCAGAGATAGTTACTCCAGCAGAAGTAACTGCTGTTTCCGAGGAATCTCAAGCGCCAGCAACTGAGATAGTTTATTTAGCAGAAGTAACATCTGCGCCAGCAGATGAGATAGTTACTTCCGAGGAAGTTCCAACGCTTACCGGAACAACTGTTACTCCCGAGGAAATATCAGCAGTTGATACTATTACTCCAGCAGAAGAACCTGCCTCCAAGAAATCTCAAGCGCCAGAAACTGAGATAGTTACTCCAGCAGAAGTAGTAGAGGAAGTTAATGCTGTTGGAGCATTAACTGCTGCTTCCGGGGAAGTTCCAAATTCAGCAGTTGTGGTTGCTTGTTTGGAAGTTACATCACTTTCACAGGCTGTTCACGAGGACGGTGGAGCTCTAATAATTAAGGAGGTGGCTAGGGCTGAAATTTCACCGGAGCCACAAGTTGAACCCGAGGAGGCTGCTTTCGAGGAAGCTTCAGCAACAGCAATTGAGTTCGCTAGTACTGAGATTGCACCAGACCCTCAAGTTGTTTTGGAGGAAGATTCAGAGCCAGTAATTAAGATGGAAGCTTCACTATCAACGACTGAAGAGGTTACTTCTACTGAGCCACAAGTTGCTCCCAATCAAGCTCCAGCAACAGCAACTGAGGAGGTTGCAAGTAATGAGATAACACAAGAGCCACAAGTTGATCTCGAGGAGGCTCCAGCACCAGCAATTGAGGAGGTTGCTAGTTCTGAGCCAAAAACAGCTCCTGAGGAAGATCCAGCACCAACAATTGAGGAGGGTGGAAGTGCTGAGATAACACAAGAGCCACAAGTTGATCTCGAGGAGGCTACAGCCCCAGAAATTGGGGAGCGAGCTAGAACTGAGCCACAACCTGCTCCCGAGAAAGATCCAGCACAAGCAATTGCGGAGGTGGCTTGTATTGAAATTACACCAGAACTAAAAGTTGATCCCGAAGAGGCTCCAGCACCAGCAATTGAGGAGGCTGCTAGTACTGAGCCGAACACAACAACCGAGGAATTTGCAGCTCCCCCAATTGAGAATGTTGCTTCTAATGAGATTACACCAGAGTCACAAATAAATTCCGAGAAGGTTCCAGCACCAGCAATTATTGAGGTTGCAATTATTGAGATAACACAAAAGCAACAAGTTGATCCCAAGGAGGCTGCAGCACCAGCAATTGCAGAGGTTGTTAGTACTGAGCCAAAAACAGCTCCCAAAGAAAATCCAGCACCAACAATTAAGGAGATTGGAAGTGTTGAGATAACACAAAAGCCACAAGTTGATACCGAGGAGGCTCTAGTACCAGAAATTGTCGAGGTTGCTAAAACTGAGCCACAATCTGCTCCCGAGGAAGATCCAGCACAAACAATTAAGGAGGTTGCTTGTATTGAGATTACACCAGAACTACAAGTTGATCCTGAGGAGACTTCAGCTCCAACAATTGAGAATGTTCCTTCTACTGAGATTACACCAGAGCCACAAATAAATTCCGAGGAGGCTCCAGCACCAGCAATTGAGGAGCTTACTAGTACTGATCCTCAGATTACCCTTGAAGAAGCTTCAGCACCAACAATTGAGGAGGTTGTTAGTTCTGAGCCACAAGCTGGTCCCGAGGAAGATTCAGCTGTTGAACATATTCCAACTGTTGAGATTGCACCAGAGCGACTGGCTACTCCCCAGAAAGTTCCAGCGCCAGAAGTCAATGAGGTTGCTTCTACTGAACCCCAAATTACTCCTGAGGAAGCTCCAACACTAGCAATTGAGGAGGTTGCTAGTACTGAGATGATTCTCGATGAGGCTTCAGCGCCAGTAGCTGAAGAGGTTGCTAGTGCGGAGCCTCAGCCTGCCCTCGAAGAAGATTCAACCCCATCAGTTGAGGAGGTTCTTGGTGCTGAGATTGCACCAGATCTACAGGCTACTCCCCAGGAGGCTCCAGCGGCTGAAGGTTACGCAGTTGATTCTGCTGAGCCCCAGGTTACTTCCGATCAAGCTCCAGCAATAGCAGTTGAGGAGATTGCTAGAGCTGAAGTTACACCAGAATCCCAAATCGATCACCAGGAGGCTGCACCGCCAGTAAATGAGGAGGTTTCTAGTGGTGAGCCCCAGGCTGCTCTCGAGGATGCTTCAATATCAGCAATTGAGGAGGTTGCCAGTACTAAAACTATTCAAGAGCCACAAAATGTTCCTGGGGAAGCTCAAGATCCAGCAATCGAGGAAGTTTTATTAGCAGCAAATAAATCTGAGTCACCAGATGCTCCCGAGGAGGATTTACCAGGAATTGAGAAGGTTGCCAGTACTGAAATTATACCAGAGCAGGATGAGGAGGCTTCAGCATTTCAGGCTGTTCCTCCAGCAGGAGTTGAAACTAATCCGCAGGCTGCCCCTACGGAAGGCGAGGAGGTTTCCGCTGTTCAAACAACACTTGAGCCACAAGTCGCTAGCGAAGAGGCAGCTGCAATAATTGCAACAGAAAAATTAATATTACAGGCCGGTGATGCAACTCAATCTGATCTTTTGACAAGTGAATCTGTTAAGAGCGATAATTGCGCTCTAGGTAAAACGTCTCAAAAGTGCCTGCGAAGACAGCCGAATATCCCAGACACAACACCGAGCGATGGAGACTCAGCTGCGAGACCTGTGAACCTCTTAGGGACCATTTGCAAGATTTACATTCAAGACAAACGACTTTTGGCCACAATCGAAAGACGACGCCAACGCTCCCTAATTATGCACAAATACCTGAGTTCCTTTGATAGTTTTGATGAGCCGCCAGATGATATAGAATACGAAGCACATCCCAGTCTGTTTGACGAACTCAGCTCGTATCAGCCCGTTAGCTTAGATTTGAACAATGAGATTAATGAACCCCAAGCTGCAGGGGAAGATCTAGATTATAATATTAGCCATAAGGAAGAGTCCAGGGAAGGCTTTCATGTAGATTTAGACAACTATCACACAGATATTGCCAGCCAAACATCACTTGATATTATTGCTGAGCATGATGATGAGTACTTCATCGTTGGCAGCTTGACAGAGATTGGCTTTAACTTTATTAACCACGTTCTTTTCTCAGATCAATTGAGCTCAGACTCAAATCACAGCAATGAGAGCGCGCCGTCCACCTCGCACGAGACCTTCGACGGCGACGGCGACGTCGAGTCAGTGCACAATTATGATAGTTATCCAGATGAGGTTTTGGATGAGGCAGTGTCTAGTAGCACGCAATGCACGAATGCAACCACAAATATTAACAAAAATACCAACAAAAATACTAACAATAATACTAACAATAATACCACAACACGAACACGGCCAAATGGTAAATTAACAAATGGTTCACTAAGATGGTCGAGCAAGTCGGGCCACATTGTCACATTGAATGGTGGCCAACAAAATGGCGATGATAATAATAATGATGTTCATATTGATATTAATCATGATCATGATGATGATGATAATGATGTTGTACTGTTGCGGCGCTTCGCCCCAGGTAACACGCACTTATGGCCACCAGCACCAACACAGTCATCACTCGGTGTTTGTTGTCTCCCACTTTTTTGTCGCCCCACCTTTGCTTTCTTGTGTTTCCGTTTCCGTTTTCGTTTCCGCTTTCTGTTCTGCTTTCCCCTTAAACTGGCTAACATGTTGCTTGTACTCTATTATATTTATTGCTATTGAATATTAATTCAAGCCAATTGCAGGCTCCATCGCGGAACGTGAGGTCAAGAAGTGGTACAATGCCGTCGAAATGCCCAACAATCCGTATGCGCCGGAGGCGCTGAAGCAACGCATCAGCGGCACACAGGAACGCTTCATGGATGTGCCCAATATAAGTCCGTGTGCCGAGCAAAAGGCGCTGGCTCTGATGAGGGGCTCGGATGAGGAGCCTGCCAGCCGCGTCGAGGATTACAAGCGGTTAGTGCCTACTTGAGCTTAGTCCCGACTATCTCGTATCAAACTTTGTTGGTATTATTCTCCTCACACAGCTACAGTCGCGACTATTACATCAACAATGCGCCTCAGGCACTGACCACGCCCACTAGCGGACGGGCGACTTCAGTGGCGTGCATCAGCAGCAGCACGGGGGAGCCGGGGTCCGGCCAGACGGATGAGGACATTGTCATCAATGAGGTAATTCAACCGCATGGCAACCGCATTTCAAGTAGCGCTCAAAGTAACCACGCTGACCTCCACTCACATTGGACGCTGTCAACGCCAGTGCGACGCAGCAGCTCGCTAAAGTTCATTAACAAACGTACTACATGCCCCACATTAGCATTAGCCGGCGCCTACGAGCGTCCCTCCACGTCGGCGTCGCATTATCGCGACTCCAGCTTAGGCCTAGAACCGGACGGGGATGACTTTGACGTACGTTCGCAGCGCTCGTGGCGCAGCAGCACGGGGCAACACTTTGGCAGCACGCTGCCCAAACGCCATACGCAATCCACGCTGAGCCTGCACAGCAATGCGAGTGGCGTCTCCTTTGGCTCGTCCGCCTCCAAGCGGCATTCGCTGGGACCCTCGGCTGCGGTCCTCACGCAGTTCGAGAAGCAGCTGCTGCACAAAGACCTAAAACGCAACAGTTTTCGTGCTGTGTCCGCCACCTCCAAGGATTTCGTGATGAATCCTCTGTACGAGAGCGAAGTGCAGACAAAGCCCAGCCTGGACGATCAGGACTCGGGCGTGGACAGCTGTTTGAACGGCTTCAGCGGGGCTGATGCCAAGCACAGCAACAATAGTCTGCTCTTCTAGGAGAAGTGTGTCTAGGGCAAGAGGATGGGAGGAGGGTCAACTTAACTTGGAGGGCGGGGGTAATTTTGCTTATATCGGGATCCTCTGTGTTGTAGTTGTAGCATTTAGGTGTAGTCTCTGCCAAAATATTAGTCAGCCAACTTAAATAACTAGTCAGTAAAGGCAACACGCACACGCACACACACCAACACACACTCACATCCACACCCACACACACACACACACATAGAATCTCCAGCATGGTTAGGCTTTAAGGCAGGCAGTGCCATCTGCTCAAAAGAAATTGTAAATTTCCAAATATATCCCAAAATACAAGCGCACCAAAAGTTGCACCACAAACAATTTGCATATTCATACTTTCTCCCGAGAGAATATTGAGCTACAGTTCTTTCCACCTAATTGTAACAAACAACAAACAACAAACAACAACAAATATATAAATGCAAGCTAAATAATAATTTTAATGCTAATTGCCTTATTATTAATGCTAATGCGCCCTAAAGTATGCAGCATTCTCTTTTGTATGTTTTAATTATGATTTTGTTGCTGTTAATTTTTAATAATAACTCTTGTATGCACTTTAGTTAATTCATACATAATTAATTGCTAACTTCTTTTTATAAACAACCAATACAAATAAAGCCAAAACTTAAACAACAAACCAATATTACAAAAAAATGAAACAAATGTTTTTAGTAAAAAGCTGATTTGACCGGGGTGAGTACAACAATAGCGGCAACTAACAATTGCTAAATAGATCAATTATATAATTATTGTTTATGGCATTTTACTAACGGCATTTGTTTCACTTCTGTGCTAAACATAGTTGCTTTTTCAAAAATCTATTTATTTGTAGCTGTAACTAAAGCGAATCCCTATTGCATGTTGCTGCTTGACCACTTGCCACATACCACATTTACCCGCAAATAAGCATCACATTCCATATGCCACATTCTGTACATCACATTCCATACATCAGCCCAGCTAATACTCAGTAGACATAAACGAGTATTCTGCTTAAAGTTCAAATACGCTTCAAAAAAATTGTGAAAACCAATTTTTAGAAACTCGCCATAAAATGAACAATTTTCGAAAATGAAGAAACATTCTAAAAAAAAAACATTTTAAATATAAATATTGTAAATTATTCTATAAATAACTTTATGTAAATACATAATTTAGATAAATTCAGTTAATGACTAGTTTAATCGAATTCGATTATAAGATTTTCAAAACAAATTTTTTAAAATTTATGAATAACAATTTCTGTAGTTTGCATTTGAACTTTAAACAGCTCGACAAAATTTGTGCCTAATAATATATTGTACCTAAACAATTCTTCTTTCCATATTTAAATCTAAACTATCCAACTAAAACTAACCAACATGCATAAAATGTACCTAAACAACAACAACAACAACAACAACGACACACAAAACTACAAACAAACACAATGAACACCAAACGAAAAAAAATGTTTTATCAAAAGGCTCAAATAGCAAGCAAAACTGCAGTCGAGCAACCGCAGGAGCAGCTCGTCGAGATTTCGGACGACAAGTGTATTTACACGGCTTTGCCAGCTCAGGTGCTGGATGCTGGCAACGCCAGCCTGGAGACCCAATCGAATCAATCCCTGCAAACGACCAGCGATGACTCGGACACAGTGCGTGTTTATGATTTCAATAAGCAGGAGACGACGACAGTCATCAAGGCGCAGGAGCAGCCGCCCAGCACGTCTAGCACGTCATCTATGGAGTCTGCACTGAGTGCACCCTCCTCCTCCTCCTCCATAGATGCGTCGCGCAAACGTGAACGGCCTGTTGTGCTGCAATTTGGGCCCGCCGATGCGACGCCCAACGTCTGCGCCTCACCGTCAATGACACCAACGCGTGGCTCTACGCCGCCAGCTTTCAGATTTCTGCAGCCCAAGCGTCGTCTGATTGAACCAAGTCAAGTATTGTCCATAGACGACGATGATGAGATGGTAAGTTGCCAGCAAATAGCTCTTGGGCAGCTCAATCATAGGTGTGTGTGTGTGTTTTTTTCCAGCCTGAGCCAGCAGCCACGCCCACAGAGAAGCCAGCTGTTGAGGACGATGTGGTGCATGCCCTGCCCTCGGTTAAGGCGCTGGCTCAAGCCTTTCTGCTGACCAGCAAACGCACGCAGCCCGAGCGTCGCTGGCGGGCCAAGGTATGTCAATTTTGTATATACCCTACTTTATGGATGTTCAATGTATAAGTACGTTAGACTCTGCAACATGCCAAGTTGATGGCATCACCCGATGCACCAGAGAAGCCAACCTCGCCACAATCCCGTAAGCATATGCTACAGCACGCCATATCCATAGCCGAGGTGGCCGATGAATCCACAATTGCCTCCGATCTATCATCGCTGGAAACGTAGGTATTTCGAGCATTTTAATTCGCTATGCTTTAACATGTGCTCCAATTGTTCCAACAGAGATCCCTCTATGCAATCCGAAGAACATCCTATGAACATACCCATCGCCTCACCGGCGAGTCCTGTGCCCGTGCGCAGAGGCTTCCTTAGGAGCAATATTGCTTACTTTGAGAACTTAAAGTTTAAGTGAATACAAATGCAACTAACTTACATTTAGCTGTGCCACCATTGGCTGATATTCCACAGTGAGGAATATGCACAATAATGGTGCGCAGCATCCTGGATACCAAATCAACACCAAATAATCATGTGCCATGGCCTCCATTTAAACAACATTGACATAGTACACATTCAATGAAAAGTATTCTTCAAAGTACTTAACCTAAAAGTAACGCCCAGTGTGCGCGAATAATTGTTTTTAGTTTTAGATTTATTAGAATTAAATACTTATATCCATGGATACTATTTATTTAAACTCTTAAATATTTTATTTACAGCTAAGATATGTATTTAGTTTTAAGCCCCGCAAAACCGCAAACCACTTGAACTATCATAATGACCCGTACATCGATATATGCATATATATGTATATCGATAAATATATTCTTTCACTGTTATAAATAGTGTTATATACGAATAAAAACTTATGATCAGTTATACTTATTATTGTTTTACCACACTTAACGTATTGGGTAGATGACTGTATTCGCCAGTTAAGATTTAGTTAATGTAATTTTTGATTAAATTGAGACTTTAACATTAACACATTCATTATTTTTGTCAAGTCTATTATATGCTGGACAAGTCACAATTGGTTCTTTATTTCTATGATAAATAATTATTATTTTATGTATATAATCATTATTTTAAAAAAATAAATCCTACGTCTCGCAGCTGCATTTTAAATGCGTTCCTTCGGAGCAAGAAAGTGAGAGTTGTGTTTTTTGCCTATCATCTCAATTAGCACACTTGGAATGATGATCACTTCAGCTATGAGGTGTGATTGTGATGCGGATGCTCAGCCAGATAAATGACATAGACGAGCGGTATAACAACACAGAGGGCGAGTATAAATATTAGCAGGCATATCCAGGACATGTCGCAATCCGAGCCAGACCAGTCAATGGCACGCAGCGATGGACCCGGTATGGGACGCACAATTGGCGCATGTCTATCCACCAGCATATCATCCAGCAAGGCCGCACTGTCGTCCAAAGTCTGCTCCATGTTGGCTGCACATATACAAAACAAAATGCAGGGTTAAACACATGAACAAAGACAAGAAAAGCTTGCAAGAAACAATAATAATAATAAAAATTGGTGAATACTATATATTTTGGATCTTTTATTTACTTAACGCCCAGCTGTAGCAGTTACAGTTTGAATTGAAGGCTCACAGCGCAGCAAAATAAAGAAATGCAGTATAAAACGTAACTTAATTGTAGGTCATATAGCGAGGAGTGGCGCTGAACTTGGCGTAGCTCTTGATAACCTTGTTGACCGCCTCCAGGAAGTCCTTCTCGGTGGCCACCTTGCGGCGCGCACGTATGGCAAACATGCCGGCCTCAGTGCACACTGAGCGTATCTCAGCGCCCGTCGAGTTAGGGCACAGACGTGCTAGCAGATCAAAGCGAATGTCTCGCTCCACGGACATTGAGCGGGCGTGTATTTTAAAGATGTGCGAACGGCCATCCTGATCGGGCAGTCCGAACTCCACTTTACGATCCAAGCGACCGGGACGCATAAGCGCAGGATCCAATGTGTCAGGTCGATTGGTGGCCATCAGCACCTTAATGTTGCCACGCGGGTCGAAGCCATCTAGCTGATTGATCAGCTCCAGCATAGTACGCTGCACCTCGTTGTCGCCGCCAGCGCCGTCATCAAAGCGCGCACCGCCAATGGCATCGATTTCATCGAAGAATATCAGACAGGCCTTCTTGGAACGGGCCATCTCGAAAAGTTCACGAACCATACGTGCGCCTTCACCCACGTACTTCTGCACCAGCTCCGAGCCGATGACACGTATAAAGCAGGCATCTGTGCGATTGGCCACCGCACGAGCACACAATGTCTTTCCCGTACCGGGCGGACCAAACAGGAGCACACCCTTGGGCGGCTCAATGCCGAGATTAACAAACTTCTCGGGATGCAGCAAAGGTGTTTCTACCACCTCACGCAACTTTTCAATCTGCTCCTTGCAGCCACCAACATCACTGTAGGTAACATCCGGTTTGTCCTCGACTTGCATCATCGTGACAGTGGGATCAATTTTGGGGGGCAGTGGTATGTGAATCTGATACTTATTGCGATCAACGCCCACACGCATGCCCTCTTCAATGTCTGTGGGGGCGACAGAATCGGCCAGATCCACCACAAACTTGGCAAACTGCTTGACATTGATAATATACTTGGGATCATCAGAGTCTGCGTTGATAATCTTTGTGCAACGCGCCACCTGCAGCGGTTGCTCATTCTGCAGTATTTGCTTGTCGGCAGCCAAATCCCACAGGGCTGGCGGGGCCAAGCCCGTGTCGCTCTCCTTAATGCCTGTTAGCTCGTTTACTTGCTTAACGGCCTTTTGTATGTCCTCCTCGATGTTCTTTATGGACTTGTGGTACTGGCTCTGGCCGTACGTCTTGAGAAGTTCGATGTCGCCTTCGTCTAGAGACTTAATCTCTTTTTCCTCCTTCTCGTCATGCTTAACTTTGCGCTGATCATCTCCCAGATAGTCCGGCATCTTGTTTTAGTTGTTTAATAGCAAATTATTAACTAAATTTTGTGTCTTTCGCCAACGCTTGTGTTTTCTCACAATTTTATTGGCGAGTGTGGCCGTATTTCGAATGACTAAACAAATTGCTGGCTGCGCCCAACTTCACTGCTTATTTAACAGAACCCTTAACAGAATAGCGCCTTACGGCACACAGGGTGACTCTAACGCACAAAAACTTTGCTTGGTTGGCCAGCTCTATCAGCTGTTTAGAGTTCACATTGAAATTTTGAACATGATAACTCAATGCCAGCCACCTTACATATTAAAAATTAATAATCAACTCACCCTCGTCGTCTGGATAGCCATGAGCTCCTTCATAAAATTTACTGCCATCTCTTCGTGTTGAGGGCTGAGCTTCCCCAGCTACAGGACCGGAAGCATTGACAGCAGCTACCAGAAGTCGCTCATCCAGCATCATGCGTGCATCCTCCAGCGGATTGCGCTCAATGGCCGGCTCTAGGTCCACATTGTGCCTTGGACTGTTATTCCCACTACGATGCACACTAGGCAGTGCATCAACATCGCTTGCACCCAGCAGCACATTGTGTACTGTGACTGGAATGCGAATAATTCGACGTGCATGTATCTCATTGTCGCGATCAATCTTGTTCAGGCGCTTAATGTCCGCTACAGAGCAATGGAACCGCAGAGCCAGAGCTTGCAGTGTATCGCCCTCCTGTACTTTCACCTCCAGCGTGTTCTCAGAACGCGACACCTTTGAGTTTCCATTGCTGGATCTGTTTGCTAACTGAACCATATCCATAATCTCGTTGTTCTCATGGGCGGGTCTGAGAAATATATCGTCCATTCCGTCTTGCTGTCCATTCTCCCAGTTGTACTGTTGTTGGCGCCTGAAATAAGAAGCGTTTCGATTATTCTCAAAGCAACAGTCGAGTTGGCGTTGACTTACACATTTCGACGCATTATATTTTGTTTGGCTCGGTTATAATTGAATGCGTCTCCGTTGGCGCTGAGCGTACTGTCACTTGACTCGCACACGGCAGACGATATTATGTTCTTTAACAACGCTCTCAAGAAACGTATTCACGTGAAATTTCGGACTAAAATATACACAACAAGCCCACGTCTGACCAACTTGTGTACTTGAAACGCCCTGTTTTTAATTCAAACAAAGAAGAAGAGCTTTTATTTAATTTGCGCTTACAACGTTTTAACAAGAATCTCTGCAAAGATGAACCTAGATCTTGTCAGTATTTTAAACTCGTTTTTGGTATGGGTCCTTGTAATTGGATTGGCAGTTTTGTTTATTAAGTAAGTTTTATAAGTTCAATTTCGAAAGTCAGGTAAGCAACCCTGGGTATGATACCCTGTACCTACACGCAAAGAGCCTACATATTTAGCAGTACTTTCACACGAAACACCTAACACGCCATATCACACAAATTCTACAGTTACTTTAAACATTTAAAACATATAATTTGAACTAAATAAATTAATGCTCGTTTTTGTTTTTACAATCATGGGCGATAAACATGCGCGCTATGCTTCCGTGTGAGCCATCAATTGGTCATAGGGTATTTTAAATGCGCACCCCTAAGCCATCGCGATCGCGTATTTATGCACAACATCACATAGTTCGTGCACTCGTGTTTTTATTTATTCGAGCACAAAATGACGTTATTTGCGTTTCTAAAAAGCCGACCAATATTCTGGGCAAGCGTGGCGGGCACCTCGGTGGGTTGCGCCTGCTTTATAAAGTAAGTTAGTTGCATTTTATTCAACAATTGGTAAAAAACGAGCATTTCCCGATTGAAGAGACCTTATGCAAGGCGGCAAATTCACGAAAGAGACGGATGAAACGGACAAAGTTGTTATTGTAACCGGTTCAAACACGGGCATAGGCAAGGAGACGGTGCGGGAGTTGGCGCGAAGGGGAGCCACTGTTTATATGGCCTGTCGAGATATGAAAAAGTGTGAAGAGGCACGAGAGGAGATTGTACTAGAGACCAAAAACAAATACGTTTACTGCCGCCAATGTGATTTGGCATCTTTGGATTCCATACGTAACTTTGCGGCCACGTAGGTTATCCTTTTCCATTCGAGCAATTGTTATACGATGGTTAAATCCTTGCAGCTTCAAACGGGAACAGGCTAATCTGCATATACTCATCAACAATGCTGGTGTAATGCGATGTCCTCGTTCATTGACCAAAGATGGGTTTGAGATGCAGCTGGGCGTCAATCACTTGGGACACTTTCTGCTTACAAATTTAATGCTAGACGTGCTGAAGGTATACAAGACTTAAGTAGTAGACCTAGATAGTGTCATCAACTCGTTGCCACATCTTAGAAATCGTGTCCCAGTCGCATCGTAAATGTGTCCAGTTTGGCGCATACGCGAGGTGAAATCAACACGGCAGATCTAAACAGTGAGAAGTCCTATGATGATGCAAAGGCCTACAACCAGAGCAAGTTGGCCAATGTTCTATTTACACGGGAACTGGCCAGACGGTTAGAGGGAACTGGAGTAACAGTTAATGCCCTACATCCTGGCATAGTGGACACTGAACTCTTTAGGCATATGGGCTTTTTTACCAACTTCTTTGCGGGGTACGTATACGAATAGTTAATCTTGGGCTCAAGTTGACAACCAGCTTGTATTGCAGCTTGTTCGTTCGGCCTCTGTTTTGGCCATTTGTGAAGACAGTCAAGAACGGGGCACAAACGAGTCTGTATGTAGCGCTTGATCCGGACTTGGAAAACGTAACTGGAAAATACTTTAGCGACTGCCATCTTCAGGAAGTAGCGCCCGCTGCGACTGATGCACAAACTGCCAAATGGCTTTGGGCTGTGAGCGAAAAATGGACGTGTTCCCCAATACTGGATATCAAGACTGAATAAAGTTATCCTCTAAAGCATAAGGATTATTTCTTGGTTGTTTATAATATATAAATAAATATCTACAAATTTCAACATAAGCGTAAATATTCATGCGCTCATTATAGTTCTAGTAGGTTCTCACGCTTGATTTGATTACTGTCATCGTGAGTTTTCAGTCGAGCAAAATATGTGACTCATATCTCGTATATGTATACTTAAAAAGCTCACAACAATTGACTGAGTTTCAGTTGATTTTGAGCGCTTGAACAGAAGAAACATGTGTGCTTGTATTGATTGTCTTCTGTGCCCATGCATAGTCTGGCCGGCACTCTTTGGCCTTGGTGTTTACTTTCTTAGGTACAATTAGTGCTAATTGAAAATATTAATATTCATGTGTATGCATTGTAATTCACCGGTTTCTCTCATCTTTCAGACAGTACATGCAGGGCGGCCAGTTTACGAAGGAGACTAATGAAACCGGCAAGGTGGTAATTGTAACCGGCTCGAATACGGGCATTGGCAAGGAGACGGTACTTGAACTGGCTCGTCGAGGTGCCACTGTCTATATGGCCTGTCGGGATAAGGCTAGAACAGAAAAGGCACTTTTGGAAATTGTACAAGAAACGGGCAACAAAAATATATTCTTTCGCGAACTCGACTTGGCATCTCTGGAATCCATTCGCAATTTTGTTGCTGAGTAAGCATTGCTTCAGCTACTACACAATACCCTGTTTAATAACTTCTATGAAATTAGCTTCAAGAAGGAACAGGATAAACTGCATATTCTCATTAACAATGCGGGCGTTATGCGTTGCCCGCACATGTTGACAAAGAATGGCTTCGAAATGCAGCTGGGCGTCAACCATATGGGTCACTTTTTGCTTACTAACTTGCTGCTGGATTTGCTGAAGGTAATCAATCTAAAACTATTGTGCTTCTATTAATTCTAATTTCCTTATAGAACAGTGCGCCCAGCCGTATTGTCAACGTTTCCAGCTTGGCTCATACGCGTGGCAGCATCAACATTGACGATCTGAACAGCGAGAAGTCCTATGACGAGGGCAACGCCTACAGCCAGAGCAAGTTGGCAAACGTTTTGTTTACGCGGGAGCTGGCTAAACGCTTGGAGGGCACCGGAGTGACCGTGAATGCTTTACATCCGGGTGTTGTTGACACAGAACTCGGTAGACACATGAAGATTTTTAATAATACATTTGGACGGTTGGTATTTGTACTTGATAGCCAAATGTTGATAATACAACAAATTTGTCATGTTTGCAGCTATGTTCTAAGGAGTTTGTTGTGGCCTCTGCTCAAGACGCCCAAAAGTGGAGCACAAACTACCTTATATGCAGCTCTAGACCCGGAATTGAGTAATGTAACTGGCAAATATTTCAGCGATTGTGCTGAGAAGAAAGTTGCGCCCGCTGCGACCGATGATAAAATGGGAAAACTCCTTTGGGAAGAGAGCGAGAAATGGACTCACTCCAAGAAATAAGATTATGCAAAATTATATGAAATAATAATAGTCATTGGTGTATATATGTATGCTACAATATGCCTAATCTAAATTTGTTATCACGCATTTTATTATTTATCAGTCGACTGATTGCGACAGAATTTGACTACATATAGGTTCTGCCATTCTATAGCACAGTTTATTCTTGTACTCAGCGCCGTGGAGACCTAAAATAAATGTGTGCACTCAGTGATTACCTTCTAAGCCCATTGATAGCTTGGCCCGCATCAATTGGATTTGCGGTCTACTTTATCAGGTGGAACTGATGGCGACTGTTTAAAGATAATTAATACTATACTATAGTTCAAATTCTTTTAGGCAGTATATGCAGGGTGGCCAATTTAAAAAAGAAACCAATGAAACCGGCAAGATTGTGATTGTCACCGGCGCAAACACGGGCATTGGCAAGGAGACTGTCCGGGAGCTGGCCCGACGTGGCGCTACAGTTTATATGGCCTGTCGGGATAGGAATAGAGCTGAAGAGGCGCGTAAGCAAATTATAAAGGAGACTAATAACAAAAATGTTTTCTTTCTTGAACTGGACCTATCCTCGCTGTCGTCCGTGCGTAAATTTGTCGCAGAGTGAGTCGGACACTGTTTCTAGTGTTGATTCTTAATATAGCTATGTAATATAAGCTTTAAGGCGGAACAGAATCAACTGCACATTCTCATTAACAATGCCGGCATCTTTCGTGGACCGCGACGTCTCACGGAGGACGGATTCGAGATGCAGCTGGGTGTCAACCACTTGGGCCACTTTTTGCTCACCATTCTATTGATAGATCTACTAAAGGTATAAAAATGCGTTTAAGTGAAAAAAGGCAACAGATCAGATTACCTTTAATATTTGGTAGAAATCGGCGCCCAGTCGCATTGTTAACGTCTCCAGTCTGGCACACGCTATGGGCCAAATCAATGTGGATGATTTAAATAGCGAGAAGTCCTATGACGAGGGCAAGGGATATAGCCAGAGCAAATTGGCGAACGTCATGTTTACGCGAGAGCTGGCCAAACGCTTGGCTGGCACTGGAGTAACCGTAAATGCCTTACATCCCGGCTTAGTGGATACGGAAATATTCAGAAACCTTCAGCTTGCACAATCCAAATTTGTGATGTAAGTAAGAATCTAAGAAGTGAATTGGAAATACCTTACTCTATGCTCGCTGAATTATTTCATAGGAATTTCATCAAGCCGCTTTTCTGGCCTTTAGTGAAAACGCCCAAGAGCGGGGCACAGACCACATTGTATGCAGCACTAGATCCAGACTTGGATGACGTAACTGGACTGTACTTTAGCGACTGCAAGCCAAAGGAAGTGGCAGAGGCTGCCAAAAACGAAAAGGTCATCAAATTCTTGTGGCAGCAAAGCGAGAAGTGGACTGGTGCGCCAAAGGTTTTTTGAGGCTTTTATTTCACATGATCGGATGCAGTGCTTGCTTAGATTAACATAATTAAGGGTAATACTAAATTAGTTGCATAAATATATTTCACATAGCATGATTAAAGCATGTTAATTAGTATCGATTTGCTTCAACTAATTAGCTGTTTGCTGTGCTATATCGCCAGCTTCAATAAAGATCCTTGAGTATAAAGCATGCGTAGTCGGGTCCTTCTTGTCGGGAGTATTGGAAACGGTATTCACGTACGTGTACTGCATGTAGAAGCCCAGTGTCACCTTATTGCCAGGCTCTAACTCAGCTGCTGGAATAAACTGAAGTCGTATCAACACTTTGTTGCCCTTACGCCAAACAATGAATTTGGGCTCTTCCATAGGCGCCTGAACATCCTCATCGAATTCCTTGGAATCATCGCGTTGGCTCAGCACGAACGGGCTCTCCAGTGGCACAATCGATGCATTGGCCAATTCACGCACCTCGCGCTTCACTTCCCGAGTAGAGTTCTGACGCGCTAGAGTAACTCCCGTGGTCTTGAGTAGGGGAGAAGAAGTAATGGCTTCCTCCTTGATTCGGCACGCCTGCTGAAAGGCATCCGTGTTGATTTGCGCGTCTTCTGGGACCGCCTCCATTATACTAATTGTCATGTCGTACATGGTAGGATTGGTCAACTTTAGCAATATCGCATTGCTTTGGCCAGGCTGCAGCGGCTGCTCGCAGCGCACCATAATCACTTCTGGAACGTGGTAGCTGGCGAAGAGCTGTATGCGATACTTGATAGATGTAGGATGATACTCCGGCTTGATAAGATTGTGCTCGCACTGACGGCAACGTAGCGAACGCTTGATCCACAGCGAACGTCGCTGTGGATACAGCTTGTTCACGGCCGTCGGCTGATCCGCTGGCTGGCTGTGCCGCTGGGCCACTGTTGTAATGTTGCGCAAATTTATGGGTTGCGTAAGGATGTCTTCCGGTAGAGGTTCAACCTCCGAACTGGCCTCGGCGGGCGCTATGTTGATGGGCTTCGTTTTAGGAACGCTTTTCTCAGTCCAGCCGATTTGGCGTCGTATCAGTGAGACTGTCAGACCCGTGCGATCGGTTAGACTGGGAAACTTATGCTGCTTGGGCGTTTTGCGGCGCAGAAACTCCTGTTTCTCCTGCTTCTCCTGCAGCACCACCGACTGGTAGTACTCCATCAGTGTATTGAAGCGCGCCTGGTACAAGCATTCATTGTCCGGCCAGGTGCCGGTGGCCACGCCCTGATCAGGTATGCCGACATCACGTGTGGTCCAACGGCAGGACAGGCACGACAAATAATACATTTTCTTTGTGGTGGGCATGGCCGAAGGCTTTTGGCTGGGCGTTGCCTCCGCCCCACTTTCACCATCCTTGGGCTCTTCAGGTTTGCGCACAACTGGAACGGTAGTGGCGCGCGCAGAGAGCGTGTGCTGGCAGCAAGGACAATCGAAGCAGTTGGCACAGCAGTTTTTCTTGTGTCTTGCCTCCGAGGATGGTATGTTCTCCAGGCAATTGGAGCAAAAGTGTGACTCAATCTCATGGCAGACGCAAAAACCGCATCTCAGCTTCGGACAGTGGCGGCAGAAGAACAGTTTGTTAATTGGATTCAAAATGCCACAGGAGCAAGCGTATTTAACGGGACTCGGTTGCATGAAACTCATCTTTCACTGAAAGAAAATTACACTTTTCTCAGACGCTAAAATTGCTAATGCTTCTTCCTCTTCTGCAAATGACGACAGCACAGCTGTCGTCTGTCTCAATATGGCCTGGTATTTTTTCATGTTGTTGGTTACACCTAATAATTGTTTTTGCTAGTTGTTAACAGAATTCTGTTAACACCTAACAGATGTGCTCCTCAATTAACAGAGCTGCATTTTAGCGGGTAATTCAACTTTGTCAAGATTAGCGAACGTGGCAAAAATTTGAACAGAAGTGGGTAAATTGCCAATTTGTAATGGTATTATGAAACAAATAAATTGGCATTCGCTTGGGAAAGTGAATTAAGAAACAGTTCGGTCATATCCTTGCAGATTTTCGTAGGATCTATGAATATACAATCAATGTGGGGTTACCTAGGTATCTAACAGCGTACACAAATTACATATTTCTGATATAAAATATAATAATAAATAGCATATAATTTCTGTAAAGAATTGTGATGTTAGCACGTCCGATTTTTGTCAAGTTTAATTAACATTTTGAAAACGACCTTTAAATACCAATCGTTACTGCTAGTGTGAGACTAAATGCAATTTTAAAAAACCTAATCATAATAAAAATATTTAATTGCAAGTCTCGGCTCAATAAAGCCAGATCTTAGAAAGATAGAGCATTTAATTGATTTTCCTAATTCGTACTTAATTTGCACGATTTATGATCATTAACTATATTTTTTCTTACAAACCAAACTGGTTAATTTTTAACCGAGGTTTTTTTTATTAAAAACAGGTATTATAGACTTATTTAATAAAAAAAAACTTCTAATAGTAAAGCTTCTAGCTAATAATCACTTTGACAATAGGTATTGCAAAAGAGGAAAAGGATTTGTACAAGTTCGTGCCCTAAGTCTTTTGTGTACTCTGTTAAAGTATCTGTTAAATATTTGATTTGCATGTCAGGTATAAATATTTATTTTAAAAGATTTTCTTGATTGTGTTTTTCTAAATAAATATGCTTAGTGTAGATGAGATAAGGTACTTGCTGGTGAGCTTATGATAATATTAAATAACAAATACATATGTATATGTGTGTATATATACAATAACAAACATCATCAGTCTGTGCTCTCGTATTCCCAGGGCAGTTACGGCTGCAGTTTAGCCGAATAAGTTGGGCACAAACAGCTTATTGCGCTTTGTGTGGGTCTTCCTGAAGCGCACAAGCGGTGTGAATCTATAGGTGTCAGCGGACTGAGCGGGCTGATCGGACTGATCTTCACCCACCCGACGACGGTTGGAGGCACTCGAGCCGCTCACCGGCGCAATATAGCCATTATCCACATAGTAATAGCCCGTGTTTAGCTTGTTCAGACTGTTGCGTGTGAGGGGCTTTCCATAGGCCAGGGCATAGGAATCGCTGTCGTCGCTTCTGGGACTGTACTCATAGGTGTTCTCATAGTTATCCATATCATAGTATGTGGGTTTGGCGCTGCATTGTGACAAGTTGCAGATAATGATGCTGAGCAGCAGGCTAAGGCAGGTGTAAATGTTCTGTGGATGTACAAGATAATTAGTAACTATGCAATAAATATGATATATATATACATACACATACAGATATATATGGATATATAAGTGTGTGTATGCGCTCTAGAGGATGCTTACCTTAAGCTCCATTTTGTTGAGAGTTGAGTTATCCTTTGAAGAATTTAAGTTTCTAATTGTGTTGTGTTTGCTTGGAACGTTGCGTTGCTTCTGTGTGCTTAACTCCAAAGAATCCCGGCCTTTTATACGAAAATGTGAGCTGATTCGCACCCGAATGTGAAAATATGTTGTTGTTTCTTTTTCTTTTAATTTTGTCAGCTCTGACGCAATTTCGGACCGGGCTCGTCGCTTTCATTTAAGCAGCCGGTTCGGACATATACTGACGTCTGGTTGCTGCGCATGCTTTTTGAGTCTCCAAATGATTCAGATTGTGGTCAGGGCTCTAATTGGCGCTTGATTAGCCGCGTGCGCGATTCTAGTTTGATTTGGAAAACTTAAAACAATGCGGAAAGATTTGACGTCTATCAAATAATTTGATTATTGCTTTTCAGCTTTTGTTTATTATTTGTATTTGTATATTTTCCATTACCATGGAATTGTTTCCTCTGCCAGACACATTTCCAATCCACTTGACTCTGCTGTTGTATTTTCTTTTGGGGTTTCTTATGACGTTTTGTCAAGATTTGTACCAGGCGATAAGTTGCGGTTGTCGCCGTCTGCGCACGATCTGAGCTCTAAATATGGTATGTGGCATGGGGATCTAAATATAAGCTCAGATTAGCATGCAGTAGTAAATGACAGGTGTAAAATTTCAAAGGAAACTGCTTCATTGATGAATTTATTGTATAAATTTATTATTTTATTATACTATAAGTGAATACATTGTTAATATTATTACTGATTATTTATCTAATGTTAACTTTAATACAATACACGGGTCATTAATTTTGCTCAATTTTGCATTTTGATTTGATTTAATATAAATATAACCATGCTAATTGAATAAAACGTCGTTGGTATATAAATAAATATTTAAGCTCCAATCGTAAACAGCAACAACAACAAAAACAACAATCAGTTGGTCAATCAACAGCAAATTTGTTTTCCACAATTTCTTTGGGGCTACTCATAATATTCCATGGGCCAAATAAACAAGGTTTTTGTAAATATTTTCGGCATTCAAATAGAGTGTGAAATTTTGCAAAAAACAGCGCAAATAATTAGTGCGTAGCCGCGCCTCAGCACACCTGTAAATAAGTATACAACAAATATTACGTATACGCCGTGGCTTGCAGAGAACGTCAGAAGTGCGGCATAAATTGATCAAATATTGCGGTTAAAGTCAAATTTGACTGCCTCTGGTCAACGACATGATTAGCGATATGCCATATATCACGTTTGGCACTCACGTTTTGCATAGCCAAGCGATTCGATCACACCTACACGATATGAAGGCATTATATTTTATCTTGTTAGCCATTCTTAAGCTTGTTATACTAAAGTTCGTAGCTTCTATCTAATTAAGTGCAATAAGTACGACACTTACTTTAAGATTCATGTGCTATAAATGAGGCTAAACTCTTTTTAGTCGACTTAACTCTTTTAAGCTGCTGTCTGTGGGAAATTTCCCAAATGTGCATTGGCCCCTTTGCTGGCCCCATGTGTGAAAGTAAATAAATATATCAATATTTTATTATAGCACATTTACGTTAAATTTAATTAACAAGTAAAATGTGGAAATTTTTATGTCTGGCACAATGAAGGCTTTTTTTTTTATTGATTTTGAGCTGTGAAAAACTTGATTGATTTTGCTTGCAGGCCACAAACTGGCAACTTTAAGATTCTCCTTATAGTATATGGACCAGTAATATGCCTGCCTAAAATCGGGCAGCTGGAATACCTTTCTGAATACACACTTAACGAATATTTTAAATAACAAGCGAGGCGTGCAAAATACTTTACGTCTAATTGGTAGTAACAATATGCTCAAAATCGGGAGCGCAAATAAGCAAAGCTGTGCAAATGTTGAGCTGGTAATTTATTATGTATATAAATATTTAAAAGCGTGATCCGTAAAGGCGTACGGCGTACGGCCAACAGCCACTATCCAAATCTGCTTAGGACGGTGAAGGTAGGCGTGAGATTCATAACTTTACCTTGCTTACAAATCAACATGTTGTTCATTTCCTTATTTACAAAATTTCATTTGAACATGTTTGAATGATAGCTACGTGATCTGTAAGTTGTACTTCGTTTCCTATTTGTGGCTACAGCTGTTTTACAATTTTAGTGCTTACTGTATTCAGGTTAAATCTGGCAACCAGCCAGAAATCACATGCGTTAAGAGCTGGCCATCTAATTGCCAGGACAGGTTGTTGTCCAATGTGCGTCACAAGAGTTTTAACATTTAATTACCATTAATTTTACCATGCTTACGTCTTTCAATATAACGTGCGGCTCCCACAGGGCACACTTGACACTTGGTTTATAGCTTTTGTTTGCTGTTCCAAATAAAGCAAACACGTTTTTAAGGTAAATAATATGAGCTGATAACAATCATATCTATGTAATAGTGAAAATATGTCATAAACGTTAATTAACATTTAAGGGGCACCTAATAAGTAGGCTTTACATCTGGACTATTTCTTTTTTAACAAGAGATGACCCTTTGGTTTAAGCTTATTCTGCATAATGCGTTGCTTTTCGGCCTGGGCCTGCATTTTAAGGCGCTCGTGACGTTGCTTGGCAAAGTCCAGTTCGCTGCTGAGTTCCACAATTTTGGCCGCAATCTCCTGCTGCTTCGTCAAGCGCTTCTTCTGGTTAGACTGCAACACAAATAGTTGATTTTAGTTATATTTGGTATAAATTGATGCTACTTACGCCCAGCGGCGTCGTCCTGCCATCAAGGTACGTGTAGTCGGGCAAATTTGTGAGTGGACCAAATGCATTGGGATTCTCCGGCAAGCCCTTGCCCGCTCGCCAACTCTGATCAATGAACCGAACGGCGGTGAGACCGACATGCCGCTGTGCTGTTGTTGTTTATCAAGCAAAGCATTTGTGTTTAACTTAATGTAACACGGTCATTATAACAGCTTACTTACCAGCAATTAAACTGGAAGTTGTAAGGCAAAGCTTGCTTATTTGTATCATTGTTTTATTCGGTAAATAACAAACGTTCACATAACCACGTTAGAGTTGCATTGAAAAGTTCAATTGAACAAAGTATGCTCACAATTCTAGTTCATTTCACCTAACACAGCTGATTCATTAATGATTATCGATATAAAATGTATCGATATCACAAGCTGTAACTTATATATCGGCATAGCCAATTTTACTGATAGTGAAAAATAATTAATTAATTTAACGTGTGGAAATTATTTGTTAAAAAAGTAGGTCACACAAAAAATGGCAACCAGAACAAATACAATTGAACGCAATGCCAATGGCAGTGCAAAATCCTCATCTCTGCGTGAAATTTGCGCGCGAGCCATGACAAAATCCGAATGGGAGGACAAGGTGAGATACCAAAGAGCGTAGACCAAAGACCAGCGCGTGTTTTCGCTAACAATTTGCACACGTTTGCAGGATGAATTTCTGGATGTTATTTACTGGTCACGTCAGGTGTTTGGCATTATACTCGGCATCATCTGGGGTATTGTGCCGCTTAAGGGCTTTCTAGGCCTTGTGCTGTAAGTAAAACCAGCACCTAAATATAGAACGTGGTACAGCTCCCTTGTATATACTCTATAATTGCAGATTTGCCGGAATCAGTTGCGGCGTTGTCTACCTGTATGCCATCAATTTTCAGAATGTGGATGAGGATGCCTATGGCGGTGCGTGGGAGCTGGTCAAGGAGGGTTTCATGACATCGTTTGCCGGATTTTTAGTGACGTGGATTATCTTTTACACCGGCCTGCACTACGACACAATAATGGCGGCGAAGACGTCATAATACCAGCCATATCCAGCGAGTGAGATACGAGAGCGAGAGAGAGAGGAGCGCGCACTGCAATACAAGCAATAACCAATTCCACAGTCCAAATGCTATCCCGCAAATCCGTTTGCAGAGCCAAAGCATATTTACTAATTGCCCGATTATTTTTTTGTCCGTGTAGATTGTTAAAATTTTTAGCCAATTACGTTAATTACATGTGCATTTGATTTAAATATTTACAATAATCGCCGGTTGTATTGCGTTTTGAGATTTTTTCTGTGAAAAATACAAATACAGCAACCTGTTGAGAACTATAGATATCTATATAAGATGCAGAGATAAATTGAATCTTGTTTTCTTTTTTACTGATTTATTAAAAGATTGTTCTACAGTTATAAGGTAGCTGACGACAGTACTACATCTAGTAATCCATGGCCACGGCTGGTGCGGCTGCCGTGCCGTTAACACCATTTTGGCCCAATTCATGCTGAAATTTATCGGGCAGCTGCCCGCTTTGCAGTATCTGTGACAGTCTTTCCACCTCCGCCAGGGAGCTGGCACGCTTGATAGCTTCGCGGATGCGCTGCATATCCTCGGGATTAGCAAAACGTCCACCTTCAGTTGCTGGCTTGCCGTTGGTCGCCTCCGCTGCCAGTGCCGCGGCAGCTGTTATTTTGGACTTTTTGGACACCTCCTTGAGCATCTCCTTGCCCTGCTTGGTGCGGAAGAATTCCTGTGCCAGTTGCCTGTCTTTCTGTTTGATCTTTCGAAAATCTAGCAAACGCAACTGTGGAAACTTAAAGGCCATATACTCGCGATAGTTGGGCTTTGTGGACACCGGATTGATGAGCAGACATATTGTGTCCAGCTTCTTGAATCCTGTAAGTGGCTCCAAATCGCTCAACTCCTGCAAATTATTTCCCGTCAATATGATGGAGTTCAGATTCGGCACGACCTCCTCCAGGCCGTCGCTGATGCGTAAGATGCGGTTGTTGTTCAGCAGCAGGCACTTAAGCCGAGGCAGATGTGGCAGATTGTCCAATTTGCGCAGATCATTGTCCGAGAGATCGATCGTATCAAACTGATCCAATGTGGCACCCAAATTTTCGATCTGTGGAATTTTGTAGCCGCGCAAATCGAGCTCACGTTCACGGCATGGATTTATGTATTGCATGGACTGGTTAATCAACTCGGGTGTTAGTTTCACCATCTTGACAGGGCAGGAATTGTTTACAATGTGAAAAAATTGTTTATTAATTCAGTTGCAATTTTTTGTTAATTCCTTTTGTTTTATTTCAGAAAAATACAACCAAAGCCGACGCGAGTTAGTGGTGCAGAGTGACCGCGTTTCGCAAACAAGAAAATACCAAAATACATGACAATCGATATTACTCACGCAGTTATCGATATGGCCGGCAGCCAGCGAAGAACTAATCGTGGGGCTCTAAATTGAAAATTCAGTTTACACGTTTTTTGATTTGATTTTAATTTGAATTTCAATACATTACAATAAATTTGCAAGTGCTTAAACTTTAATGAACACGTTACAGTTATTCGTTTTCTTTTGTCTTGAATTGAATGGCAAACTACATATTTGAGCCAACTATTTGGGGAACACTTCACAAATAGAAGTGTATTCGCGGTTCGGTGGTGGTGGATTGGATTGGAAATATGTTGTTAATAAACATTTTGTTTTTATTAATACGTGCAAACTACAAGTGTTCAGTTTTAATTTGTCAAATGAAATCTCTTGCTTGATGAGTCAAATATAGTTTTACTGTAATTTGATAAATGCATTTTTTTTTAGTAATTGTTTTTGCCTAGTTGCTTAGCGTAAATTTGTTAACTTTTTAGAAATGATAGAAAAACTCTAAGTCGAAACAGATTGTCGTCGTTCATACCAATGAAAATGATAATGATGAAAAATAAAAAACAATAAATTTATAGATATTTTTTGGAAGCATTTATAAAAATATTACATTTCATTAAAGTTTGTTTATTTAATTTGTTTAGGCCTTTAAATTAGTTTAATGCACGCAAATGATTTACATATACATATATCATAATATTCATTGCGTTTCCTTCGTTAGTTTCTTCGTATTTATTTAGGTTTACATTTTTTTTTTCAGTTTTCAATAGATAAATTGAAAAATAGATTTGTTGTTTGTTGTATATAATTGGCACTTAACTCATTTAAAATACATAAAAATATAGTACATAAAAACGTTGGTTTTTTAGCCCATTTTTTTGTTTTGTTTTGTTTTGTTTTGTTTATAAATATGCAAAAGTTATTTGGGTTAAAAAGTAGAAATAAATAAATCACGTTCATTTAAAAAATTGCCAAAGATTTTAAAAACAATACACACACATTACACACTCGCGCCATTGCACATAAATTAAAAATTGTTCAGTACGAATTAGTTGCAACCTTTGCTCATTATCATTATCATTAGCATTATCATAATCGTCGTTATTATCATAAACATTATCATAACTTGAAGTCGAGTGCTTGGGGACTGTTTTTGGGGGGCGGTGGAGGAATGTTGAGTTGAGCATTTATATAGCATATATAATAGACATTTTATAAATCAACGACATCCTCCTTCGTATAGGGCGAATCTCTAAAGGTGCGTCCTGTCGAGGTGCGCTGCAGGCCTTCAACTAATGTCTCCTGTGGGTTAGATTGGATTCGATTCTGGGTTTAGAATATATATATATGTACATATATCTGCACAGTGAGGGGCATGCACAGTTTAACAAATGAAAGACAAACAACTTGTAAACAAATAAACACACAAATTGATGGATGAGCGCAACATTAAAATGGACAACATTAAAGCTACACAGAATTGCTGGGAATATGGTGATGATGGCCAGGCACAGAGACAGCGTGAGTGACAGTGAAAGCTTTTGGGATGATGATCGATCCTGGAGCTCGCTCAAACCTCGAATAGCGTTGAGATCTCCTTGCCAGCGATGCGCTTCACATTGCTCTCCGCGCAGCTGGTCGCCTTCGTCGCCAGCTGTCCATTGCGCATGCTGAGGATCTCGTTGCTGATCAGACTGGCACAGGCTATGGCATGATCCGTGCTCTTGCTCTGGCTCTGGCTCTTGCTGCTGCTCCCGTGCTCCGTGATGATGGTTTTGCTGAGCGTCTCCTGCGTCGCACTGTTGGTGCTGCTCGTGCTGGTGATCTTGGAGCGCGTCTGATTGTTTAATACTGTGGTTGTTGTTGTCGTCGTTGTTGTGCTCAAAGAATTGTTGCTGCTGGTGCTGCCATTGCTGGCGGTGCTCGTGCGACTGGCTGTGCTCAACATGGTTCTGGGCATTACGGGCGGCTTGAGGGGCAGTTCTTTGGGTTTTTCAATACAATACAGGTTTAGGTACAAGCACAACAAATCATAATATGAAAGTAAATAAAATGTAAATACATAAAAATCAAAATATATATATATATATATATTAACTAGCTACGCATCCAAGTGCTGCGCTGTGGCAGGCAGAAGGCAGGCAACATGCAACAAAAGCGCGACTCGTGCTTACCCAAACGACTGAGTCCTGCGGCCAGCTCCCGCACCGATTTCTTCTCCAGCGCGGCGCCTGCAAAATTGATGCTCAAATTAAGGAAAACCCTTGTGTCTAATCTCAAAGGGACACTCACCTGGCGCTATGCCCACAATGGAGCCGCCAATGCCTGGGCCAAAGGGAAGGACTTCTATATCTGAAAAAAAAAGGAAATTATTAATATATAATCGAGATCTATAACATATATTATATTGTTTTTATATGAATGTAGATACACGCACCTTCCTCCAGGGTATCGGGCGTTGTTTTGGTGGAGTCGATGCTGCCGTTGCCCGTGACCAGATCGTTGTTCGCCTTCGGCTCGCTGCCCACCACGGACCAGGGGCGCGGTTTCTGCAGGGCAATGGGTGTGCGCAGGATGCCATTGCCCGTCTTGACTAAAAGGCTGCCATCGTTGCCGACGGCGACTGTGCTGCTGGCGCCGCCTGTCGCATGGCTCTTGATCGAGATCGAGTCGCTGCTGGGCGAGCGCATCTTCTCATCGCGCGTGCCCGGCTTGAGCAGCGCAGCGCTGGGCGTGACTATGGCAGCTGCTGCCTCCTCATTGCCGGGGCCGCCCTCCGTGCGCATTTTGACCAGCGGCGATTTGCGACCCACCAGCGGGGAATACTTCTCCAGATTGTCCGTGGAGCGCGAACGCGTGGCCCACGAGGCGCCTGTAAAGCAAAAGGAATACGCAAATCAGTCGAGTGCTGGACTAGAGAGATTCCCTATGACGTGGTGCTTACTCTTGAGCAATGGCGACTGGCGTTCCAGCTTGATGGGGCGTCGCTCCTCCATGATGGGCGTTGTCTCCTCGGAGGTCATGTGCCCGTTGCCGTCCCGACTCATCGTCGGGCTGTCCACAAACGACAGCGAGCTGCACTCCTCGGATGTGGGCGATACCAGCGGTGTCAGCGTGGTGGGCGTGACCGAGCCGGGCCTGAAAAAGTGCTCCAGCCCATCGCCAATATCCCGGACTGCGCCGGCGGCGCATTCAGCATTGACCAACGGCCGAGTTGGGGCGCGCGTCTTGGCCCGCTTGGGCCGACCCTTGACCAGATGCTGCAGCTGAAACGAGGCGCTGGGCAGCTCCGTGATGGAATCACAGCACTCGTCCACGTTGCCATCGTCCATGGCCGCATTGCTGTCGCTCATCATCTGGCTGGCAGCCGAGGCGCCACCAGCTGCAGCAGCGGCGGCGGCGGCGGCGGCAACGCCACGCGCCGCCAGCTGCGAGCTGGAGCGATGCGACGAGGGCGACTCCAGCAGATCGGGTATGTGGCTCAGGCTGAGATTCTCAACCACGGACTGGGGACGCACCTTGCGGGCAACCGAGCGACGCTTCGTCGGCAAATGGGGCGTGGCCTGCGAGGGGGGAGGGAATACATTTAGTTCGATTTTTAAAGAATATATATATATATATTTAAGTTGAGGTTATGTTCATTCATGAGTTTGTCATGTGTGAAATGATGAGAGATGGGGGCGGGGTCGGGGTCAAGTTTTTTAACTTTTGGTAGGAAATTTAAATAACTAAATAGCTACGTTTAAAACTAAAACACAGAACAGAGAGTGCTACAAAGACCAGGAAATGGGACAGAGTGTTGTTTTGAAATACAGTGAAAGCTCTATTGACGAACAGCTTCCCTGGGCGAACATACATAATTTTTAAAGCAAAATTGGTTTAGTTACAATATTATTGATATATAAGAAATAAAAGAAAATAAAATGACAGCAGGAAATGCAAAAATCGAATTTCGAAATAAATATTTTAAAAAAATGCACTTTTATCTTTAAGAGAAGAATATGGAAAACATTTAGAAAGGTTCGAAGACATAAATTAATCTTTAAAAATTCACATAAAATCATGTAGATATTTCTAAAAATATATGTTTTCTTTGTAATTATTGTAGTTTATATTTTATAGAAAATAAAATCACAGCAAGAAATACAAAAATCGAATTTCGAAATTAAAATTTGTTAAAAAATGCACTTTTATCTTTAAGAAAAGAATATGTAAAATTTTAGAAAGGTTTTATAAACAATTAACATAAAAACATGTAGATAGTTCTCAAAAGCGATGTTTTCTTAGTAATATTTTGTTATTTCAACATCTCTTTTGAATATCTGAAATAAATTGAAAACCCTCGAAAATCGCGCCAGAGAGCTTTCGCTGTATATAGCGCACACAGATATAGAGTTTTTCTAGATATAGTTTGGATAGTTATAATAGAGAGAACGAGACATTAAAAAAAACTACTTACAAGGTTCAGATATTCCAATTTCTTTAAGTTTTTGTGAATTATATATTTTTTTTTTTTGTATGTAAATGAGTTGGAGATAAGGTTTTAATATATATATGTATATTTTTTTTTATGTATATGATATAATGTTTATAGCGAATTAAGTAGAGTTGTTTTTGTTGTTGTTGTTGTTGTTGTTGTGATAGTTGTTGATGATTTGTTTGTTTGGATGATACAAGGATACACGAGAAGAACACGAGAGATAAAAATAATGAGCTTTGTCTTAGTTTCCTTCTTATTTCTTTTTTTAGCATATTCACATAAATAATTGTTTTTTAATTATATGTAGGTGTGTGTGTGTGTGAGTGTGTGTGTGTGTGTGTATGTTCTAAGCTGTTTTGGAATTGTTTATATACGATTTAAGATATGCTCCCGTCTAAAAATTATATTTTTCTATTTTATATACACACAGTTCTTAAGTTTGTGATAAGAGTGCGAGTGTGTGTGTGTGTGCGCGGGAGTAATTGTGATTATTTGCCACTACTTGTATATATATATTATTTATATATGTTGATTCGTTTTTTAAATATTTGAAATGGGTGTATTTTGTTTTTTACTGCATCCACTTGGGAAGTGAGAGATTTTCAACACTTACAGTGGGCGATTCCAGGCCCAGTTTGGGCAAAACCGAGCCACGTCCGCCGGGTCGTATGATTAAGCCTTCAGCTTCCTAAGGGGATGGAGGGGAGGGAAGAGAGAGAGAGAAAAGGGCGTTAGTACTTTCAATTAAATGAAATACGCGTTGCGTCTGATAAGAAAAACACAGCCCTAACGGCACCAATCGAACAACTGGAATGCTCCAATTTTTTGGGTTGGGGTCTGGCATGCCGAATAATAGCAAAAGTTTGGGACAGGCTTTTAAGCCCATGACATCACATTTGTTATTAAGTTTAACGAATTCATAGATAAGACAGGTGCTCCCGGCCCGCCTGATAGGCGTTATCGATTATTACTGTGAGTGGGAGGGGGGAGAGAAGGTGGAGAGAGGTTACTTACATGACTGGAACGACTGCGGACAATGTCCGGCGTCTGAGGCTCGTCCAGTAGCACCGATGGCGACTCCGATATGCCCAGACCGCGACGATAGCGTGTTAGCGCCTCGAGCACCTCGTCTGTGGCACGATCCGATATGGCCGCAGCCAGCGACTGCTCTATCTCACTGTGCGGGAGGAAAAGAAACAACATCAATTGCATTAGAAATATGCGTTGGCATTGGGCAGCTGTTATTGGTTTGCTGATCTACTTCTTGTTATTTGGCGGCACTGTTGCCGTTTCTGTTTCACACTCCTGCTCCTCATCGGGACACTTGTGATAGGCTGGTCGACAGAGGTCGCTATCGCCGGCGCCCGGGCTGCTGCGAAAGCAGCAGCACAAAGTGCGCATCAGGCCCATCTCGGCGAACAGCTGGCGGAGCGCGCACAAAACAAAAAACAAAAAACAAACAACAAAGCTAACTAACTGGCACTGTAGCAAACTTAACGGCACTCAAACTGGCAATGAATTCGCCTGCGTTGCCCGAGTCGCCGCTGCGGCGATATCGCAGCAAAAGCTAAACTCACAGACACACACACATATACAATATACTAATGTATTTTATTTAAGTTTTTGGAGGGAGCTACACAGCAGCAGCCGTTTGGGCTTTCGAATGGAAATGCATTCAGCTGTTAAGTTATTTTCTGTTTGCTTAATCTTATCTGTCCGTTAACACACACAAGCACACACGCACACACACACTGAGCAAAATATTTAACATTATGCGTGTGTGTGGGTGAGCGCGAAGAGAGCACTCGCATCAGAGTTTTTTGAAAACAACAATTCGCCAAGCTCAGCTGTTAGAGGGGAGGCGAGCTTTTCGAATCTGTTTTTTTTTGTCTCTTTATGCATTGATCAGACACTTGGAAACTGGAAATCGAACAGTAAGACGCAAGTTATGCAAACGTTATCAAAGTATGCCATGATTGAAATGTTTTTTTTTTGTTTTTAATTAAATATTTGACTATTTGTAATGGTTATTGGTATTTAACCAGAATGAGTGCAATTTGTTTAAATGTACAATTTTGGCATCAAGCTGCCTGCTAATACCACATAGAATTCAATTAATTTTGATGGAAACGCTAAAAAAGTAGTTTATTCCAATGATTTATATTTTTTGATTTTTGAATTTCAGAGTTTTTAAAGCACTTTAAATAAGAAAACGAATAAAAATTGAATAGAGTTAAACTCTATTTCTGGTTGTTCAATGTCAAATAGTTTGATACTGATTCACCACTATTTGCACATCTCCAAAAGCACAGTGCATGTGTGTGTGTGCGTGTGCGTGTGTATTCCAGCTTCAGTTGATCAACGCGCCGTCGTCTTGTCAGCCTCAGTTCCTGGATGAGTCACACTCGCACACCCTGACCACATGGTCTCTTTGCTACGCTCGCTCTCTTTTCTGACCACATGCTCTCTTTGCTACTCTCGCTCTCTCTCTTTGCTTGTTACTCACCCAACTTTATTCATTATCTCGCTGCCGGCATTGTTGAGCAAACAGTTTTGAAGGAAATCTTCGGGTATTTGGAGACGCTCGTTGAGCGCCTTGCGCAGATCTTGGATAACAATTTGATTGCCCAGCGTTTTGGGGCACTGCTCGATGCCGGTGCGTATCATCGTCTCGAGCGTCTCCTCCAGATAGCTGCGGATCGTGTAGCTCAGCTCGCTGGCCACGCGCGTCAGCTTCGTCTCGATGGGATGCGCGTCGTTGCGCACGGCCTCCTGCAGCTTGGGCATCAGCTGTTTGCAGTTTTCCGCATCGCTGATGAGACGCTGCACGGCGGACACATTATCGCCGCCGCCCTTGGCTATGGATATGGTGTCCTGTGTCTCGGCCACCAGCTTATCCACCAGCTGGTGGGTGGAGGAGAGCATAAAGCCATGCTGCAGCCTAAAGCCCTGGCCATTCGCACGCTTCAGCCCGTTGCAGTTGCGCTGCAGCAGCTCCTGCATTTTGCGCATAACCGCATCCGTCTTATCCGGATGGTTTTTCAGATGCGGCGCTATATCGAACACTGGGAAGGGTATTGTGCGCATGCTGTGATTGTGCTCCAGCGCGTACACGATATCCGCATAGCCCTGCAGCGTGACGCTATTCTTGTCCAAGTAGATGGTGCGCAGTCGATTGTTGATCTGAAGCGCCTTGGCCAGCAGCCGGGCGCCGACATCGCCCATGTAGTTGCCACTGATGTCCAGCTTTTGGAGGCTCTGATTGCTGCCCAGCGCATTGATGAAGTCGTGCAGATCGTGCTTCAGCTTGTTCTCCGACAGCACCAGCTCCACCAGCGGGAAATCGTCCTTCTGTATTAGATTGACCAGTGCATCCATGACTGTGGGCACATGCTTGGGCTTCATGCCCGTCAAGTTGCGCATCAGATGCAGCGTGCGTATTGAGGGATTCTTCGAGATGGCCGTCAGCACGGACGCCAGTTCGGCATCCAGATCTGTGGGAAATAGGAAATCATATAAATGAACAGCTTGGAATTGAACCTGACCAGTTACTCACTATTGTCGCTGATGTCCAGGCTCTGGAGCACGCGTACGCCGTGTATGCAGGACTCGAGCACATGGGCGCCTTGGGTGCCCAGCGTATTGCCGCTGAGATCGAGATGCAGACCCGCCGTCGACTCATTGCAGGCCAGGCCCAGCAATAGGTTCTTAAGCGCCTCCATTGGCAGCTTGCACCCGGCTATGTTGAGATGCTTCAGGCTCAGCGTGCTGGTAAAGAACTGCTTGAACGAGGGCGGGATCTCCTTGCCCTTCTTCGTGCTGAACGAGTTGTGCGAGACATTCAAATGCGACAAATGCGTGGCACAGCCGCGCAACAGAGCTCCAAACAGCTGTAAATGATACGGGCGGAAATATTGAGTACAGTTCAATTTAACATTTTAGCTGTTAGTAACATGTCTATGTTATGTAAAACAGATGCTGTTGCAATATTGTTTATATTATGTTAGAAATATTCTTTAACAAACATTTCCCTGTAATTTTTTTGGAAATTCTTTTAAATTTAACAGATGTTATATTTACATGTATATGTCATGTTAATAAGTTTCTGTTACAGAGAATCTACAAGCAGACGCATGCATAGTTCAATTTAGAACTTTACAGTATGCTGTAACATGTTTATGTTATGTAGCATGTAGCATGTCTATGTTATGTTTAATAATAACACGCTTTGCTTACACTAACATTTTTTTTATGTTAAGCAATTGTCATCTTAAAAACTTACTATTACATATATTAGCTGTTAATTTGTTAACGGATAAAAGTCACTTACATTTTCCAGCGTAATATCAGTCGATGCCAGATCCAGATGCTCCAGCACATTGGGTTGAGCCAGAAAGTTGTGCAGATTCTGTAAGAAAATAAAGTTGAATATATTTACCTCCCTATACAACATTTTCGGCTTTTACTCACGGTTATGTCATCCTTGAGACTGTTGCCGCTCAGATCCAGATAGGTGAGCGAGTTGGGAATACTTTGATTGAGCGTCAGCGAGTGCGACATCTGATTAACGCCCTTCGAAGTCAGGCCGCAATGGGAGAGCGCCAACTTGCACAGACCCTTCGATACCTTGGCTATGGGCCCAGCCAGATGTATGGCGCCTAATGAAATAAAAGAAATTGACATTAGTTGTGCGTATTGATTGGATTCAAGAGAACCAGTTAATGTAGAAAAAAGAAAAGAATTTAAATTTGCGAATTGCGTGTGTTTCTTTTTGCCAATCGATTGAGAAATTTTGAACATAGAGAGCAAAAATAGTGAAGCAAGCAGCATGAATGTTTATATGGATATGGATATATATGGTATATATAAAGAACTCTCATGAATTTAAGTGTCCAAAATTGGAAAACAAGAGATTGTAAATCGATGCGGAATTTAAGAGCTATGAGAATAAGTATGAAGAATGGTTTTATATGAGCGTATAGTCTATAAGCAAAGGATTTAGCTTTCAAATGTATATACATATATGAATTTAGAAAAAACTATATATGATATATAGAATACATATTAAATTATAAAAAGATTATAAAATTATGATATGCAAAGTTTAACTTTGAATTGAGCCGTATTTTATCTCTCCTCCAAGAGAGAAGTATCAAAAATTATTAATCATAATTCTCTTCCGAATAGGCTCATGAATATACAATGAATAAGCATAACTTAATGTTTAAAGCGTGGACTATATAATTTACGAGAGTTTATACAATGATAATGACAATATTTTTCAAGGAATTGTTTTTCATTTCACAATCTCAGTTTTCCAATGGCCGCACAAAATGATATCGCATATTGATGAAATGAACAGCGTGTAGCATAACGATAACAATAACAACAACAATGCAGAGTAAATATAATTGAATTGTAATCTTAATGAATTTTCTTGTTTGGTTTTGTTTTGGCTAAGTACATAAAAATGTGTGTCAAATGGGTTCCGCAAACCTTGTACAATCTTTCCGAGTAGGGCGCACAATGAGCTAGCTCCTACATGTGACAAATGGACACGGATAAACGACGCGACAAGAATAACAATAAATATATAGATGGCATATAAAACGTTAAGCATTAAGGGAGAGGTTAACAATAAGCAAATTGTTCATTTGTTGGGAGTAAAAGAGTAATTGGATTAATTGGTTTACAAAACACGGGACGCAATGCTGACGGGGTGGCCTGTACACTCTTGCGGGTGTTGACTGTACACACCTTTATCCTCGATTAGATTGTGACTCAAATCGATGGTTCGTATCGCTGGACTGCTGTTGGTAATCACAGATATCGAAAGCTTATTCAAGAAATCCCATCTGAAAAACCAAGAGAAGAAATTAACATACAAACTGCTAACATATTTTGAAACTCACCTTAAACCTAAGGACTCCAGATGCAGCTCCTCTAGCCACATGGAGCGCTTGAGCACGTGCAGAATGCGTTCCAGCGTCTCGTGTGAGAGGCGCATGTGCGCCGCCTTTAGGCCACGAAAAAACGTATTATATTCCAGAGCCGAAACAATGGCCATCAAGTCTCTGTGAAAGCGAAGGAAATAGATTAACATGAGCTTAACATTAACATTTGTCTTAACATAGCCGATACAATGGCCATCAAGTCTCTCTGAAAGCGAAGGAAATAAATTAACATGAGCTTAACCTTTGTCCTAACATAGCCAAAACAATGGCCATCAAGTCTATGTGAACACGAAGGAAATAAATTAACATGAGCCTAACATTTGCCTAACATTAACATTTGTCTAAACATAGCCGAAACAGAGGACATCAAGTCTCTATGAAAACGAAGGAAATAATTTAGCATGAGCTTTACATTTGATTTAACATTAAAATATGTCTTAACTTAGCAGAACTAATGCCATCAAGTCTCTGTGAAAAAGAAGGAAATACATTAACATGAGCTTAACATTTGCCTAACATTAACATTTGTCATTAACATTAACAGCCAAAAGGACTTACAACTAACGATATTTTGTGTTTTTGAACTTAAGTAGAACAGATTAAAAGCATTCAATTTTCATTAACATAAATCTATTTAGGTATATGGCCAATTGACTTGTACTCACTTGGGCTCCAGATGATCGAAATCGCGCAGGTTGAGCAGTCGTGTGTCGTGGGACAAGTAAATGGTGTCCACATCCCAGGCGACCTCCTCGCGATACGGGACACCATGAAAATCGCACATGCAGGCATATTGGGCACTGAAACCGCCGCAGGGACCAATATTGCGCGGATCCGCGGGACGAAATTCCTCCGAGAATATTGTCTCTCGCTCCGGTGGTTGTATGTCGATCTAACAGAGAGAGAGAGAGGAGCAAAAATAATAGCCAAGATAAGTTGAAGTAAGCGAAAATTATGGACTAAGGCTATGGGAAAACGCGGCGTATGAGCGATTTGTGCCGCTGCCAAAGGGCGTCAACAGCGCAATTAACACTTTAGACTTGCGTGCCGCGCGGCAGTTATCTAGACAACTTGTTGGCCATTTGTTGTTGTTGTTGTTGTTGTTTTTATTGTTGTTGTTGCTGAACACGCCCAAGACACGAGCTGAGTTAAAATGCAAAAACTGTTAGCGAATGCAGACAATGTGGGCGCTGCGATGAGTCAAGTTATTTGCATAAGTGCTTGCAGCATAATTTACAACAACTTGAATCATTATAAATGCATTGAATTATTAAGCTCAAGTAGCAGCAACGAATTTAAAACCCAAAAAGCTTAATTGAGTGTGTGTGTGTGTGCGTTTGTAGGTGCTTATGTTTGTGCTCTGTCAACAACATTTCACATCATCTTTCATTAACAATTTAATCAAATGATTTAAGAGAGCGCCTTAATGTGATATTTTTAGAAGTTTGTCGGGAGAAGACTTAAAGTGATTTCTAGGCTGAACTATATAAATTGTGATATTTGTAGTATTATTATTTAAATTAATAATATGTTATTTTTACATAACATTTAAAGAGAAAGAAAAAATACCAAAATAACTAAAGATCTCATAATGAAGAAATTTTGAGAAGAATTGAGAGGCAATGAATTGCAAATCAAATAAAGAACAAGTAAAAGGTTCTAGTCGGGAGCTCCCGACTAGGGGATACCCTAAACACTCTTCTTCCAACAGGCGAAAGGTATAAAATGAAAGATTCTTGATATATATATACTTCTCTAGAAGCTACATGTCAAGTTTGGTGATTTTAGCTCTAATTATTTAACAAATTTGCTAAAAAAATAGGATTTCGGTATCGATTTTTATCGATTACTTGGAAACGGGGCAAGTTATCGAATATCTCTAGCTCTTATAGGTTCTGAGATCCTTGCGTTCATACATACGGACAGACAGACGGACATGGCTAGATCGACACGGCTGTTGATGCTGATCAAGAATACATATACTTTATAGGGTCGGAAATGCTTCCTTCTGCCTGTTATATACATTTGCACAAATAAGTAATACCCTTTTTTACCCATTTTCAATGGGTTTAGGGTATAAAAAGAAACTTACTTTATGTTAATATCAGAATTTACTTAAAATCTAAATAATAATTCAATATAATAAGGATAATATTTTGATATATTGATAATAATACTAATACTCTACAATATTTTTATTGTTTTCTATATTAGTAATAAAATATTATATTTAATTATAATTTTTTGTTGTTAGTCTTTAAAAAAAGTACGATATAATCATTAAAGTGAGTTCCTTATTTGTTTTTTTCTTTCTTTCATCTAAAATTTGGCGCTATTTAAAATCATTCTTTAAATAACTTAAATATTTGAACTGCAGACAAATCTTATCAAAGGATGATGCGAACCGAATCCCAAGTCGAGATCTTGGTTCGAACCGAACCACAAACAAATTTTTCATGGATTCACAGTCTTGTGTCTTAGTTCCAACCACAAATATTAAATGACTTCCATAAAATTGAATCCGATTTGTTGTTTGTTTAACGAAATAACTGTTTAATGTATGTAATTTATGAATTGCTGTGTCAAAAGCTAAACTTTAATAGCTGACTGTGGGCCATTGTGCCCGATAAATATTAAATTAAGCTTCAATTAAAGCTAAATCGTGAGTCAGTCGGGCAGTCGACTCAGGCGCACAACCAGGTCATGCAACCCAGGTCACGCCCACACGCCCACACACCCGCACCGCCCCCTCTAAGCCAATTAAACAGTTCGTAAAAAGTTGTATCGAAACGTTTAATAGATAAATAAAGAAGCCCTGCATCGATTTCTATCGATTAAGAGAATGTGTGAGAAAAACTTAATTAAAAATTCGTATCAAAATATGATTTCACCCGCATAAAATGAAAATAAAATTTGATTGTTGTTTATTTTCAGGCATAAGGCAACCTTCTCATGAACATTGTATTTCAATTTTAGAGAATTTCGCTCATGCGTGGCTGAGTCATTTCATCTGCGGCCTTAGAAACCAAGTAATAAGAAAATAGTTTCTATGGAAATTCGCAAATGTCGTAAAAAAACACACACAGAAAAAATAAATAAAAAACTTTGCAAAGAAACTTTCAGTTTACTCTACAAAACAACTAAGTAAAGAAGAAAAGTAATACGAAAAGTTTTCAGCTTTTCCAAGTAGTTAGTTTATGGATTAGTAAAGTAACTGGGTCATTATAGAGTATATAGTATATAGGATTATATATATAGAATAAAGTTTAAGTATATGGAGTATATATTTCTTATAGAGTATAGAGATACTATACTCAAAAAAAGAGCTGACTCTTTGACCTTTCTATATATAACGTATAAATCATTGCCTAGCACAAAATCGCCCATTTATACGAATACAAATGCTTCGATAGTATTATATATATAGTATATAATATGTAGTATATAGTAAAAGGTATATAGTATACTTTAAAGTTTTTCTAGTATATAGAATATATATTTCATATAGAGTATAGTATATATGATACGATACTCAAAAGTTGAGCTGACTTTATGATCTTTCTATATATACCGTATAAATCAATTCCTAGCTCAAATTCCCCCAATTATACGTATACAAATACTTCGATAGTATTTTATATATATTATATAGTATTTTATATATGGTATAAAGTATATAGTATTCTTTTAAGTTTAAGTATATAGAGTACACATTATTATATTATATATATTTATTAATACCTAAAAGTTGGGCTGATCTTTCTATTATATCTGATCTTTGATCTTTCTAGATAAACCGTATAAATCATTTCCTAGCTCAAATTCCCCCAATTATACGAATACAAATGCTTCGACAGCATTTTATATTTATTATATAGTATTTTATATATCGTATAATGTATATAGTATTCTTTTAAGTTTTAAGTATATAGAGTACACATTATTATATTATATATATTTATTTATACCTAAAAGTTGGGCTGATCTTTCTATTATATCTGATCTTTGATCTTTCTAGATAAACCGTATAAATCATTTCCTAGCTCAAATTCCCCCAATTATACGAATACAACTGCTTCGATTGCGTGTCCAGTTTTATGGTACTTGCCTTTTTAATGATGTATTTGAGAGGAACTGTTGGAAATATTTGCTTAATGGCCGAGGCTAAATCGGTTAGAATGACATCAGCGCTCTGTGAATTGCAGTAGAGAAAGAGTATTATGAATATGATATATGTAGATGCATATTAGATAGTTATGGGTTTTATTACCGCGCTGAAATTGCCCGCATCGCCGGTTGTGACAAACGAATATGGCCGATCGTTGGTCACAATCGAGAAATGTGTTGACTTTTTGCTCTCGACGCCAACAATGTCCAAATAATGGAAATGGCATTCGATCTGCAACAAGAAAATGTGTTGAGAAATTATTAAGAAAAACCAATTAAATATTAATTAATTATTATAAAGTGCTAGACTCTTACCTTTGTGGGCACCTTGGCGCTGAGCAAATAAATGCGAACGGGCGTAAAAACCTGCACAGAAATAAACAAGTTTTGGTTAAAAGAATATTAAGGATTAAGGTATTTTAAAGTTAATTAACGAGAATTAACGAGAAAGTTAGGACATCTTTTGGCACGCCGAAGACTTAATACCCTTGTAGACATTTCCCTTTTGCAGATATGTGAGAATAGTGAAGCTTGTAAATGCTGAGTTTGATAAAAATAGCTTTGAAAACTGAATATTTTTCCATATAAAAAGCTACTTTTTGACCGATGTTTCCTATGGTAGCTATAAGATATAGTGGTCCGATGTTGATAAGATTTTCTATATACATATGTTGGGCGCAAAGTGAAACTTATAATTGTAGAGTGTGGTCAAGATACCTTGATAAATAGGAAGGTTTCCCTACAAGAACCTACTTTTGGACCGATCGTTCCTATAGCGACTATATGATATAGTGGTCCGATCTGGCTGGTTCCCAAAAAAGTGTACTGCCTGCATCAAGAGACTATGCAAGGCTGTTGATGCTGATCTTGAATATATATACTTTATGGGATCGGAGATGTCCAACATATCTTAGATTGAGTAGTATTTTTATAAGAAATGATCTCAATAAGCTTTGAAGTTTTGAAGAACATGAATTGTATTCTTAGAAAAAGTATTTTGCAACTCATTTAAATAACATTGGTAATTAATTTAAGTGCAAATTGATGGGAAATTTCTTGAAACGTGTAAACAAGCAAAACTAATGCAGAAGGGAGGTCAAGAGTAGGGGCTACGTTTGGGCTGGGATCGAGTGCGCCTCTGGTCGGTGGTATCACTAAAAGCTAGTGCAATGAGAATGAATCCCGACTGCATGGAAGGCCCCATAAAGTGGGTTAGGGCGGGGGCGGGGGCGGGGCGTGGTTGCCGTGAGGCGATGGCGGCTAACTCAATTTTCTTTGACTGTAAAGGAAAACTTTTTGCAGCATTTAATTGGAAATCAAAGTGCGTTCTGTAATTCATTTAGCCACTTGCCACTTGCCACTATAGTAGGTGCGCTCTAGGGTAGCATAGGGCGGGTGGGGTATGTAGGAGGGGGGGAGGGACTGCTGCTAAGTAACCGTTGTTGGCTCCGGTAATTGGACACTTTGTCTCGGCGACTACATAAGCGGCTTTTTTGTACGCCTCGGCCCTCGAACTAAATCAATTTTCCAGTCATGTGACTTTAAACGAGGCGAGAAATTAGCATAAGCCCAGGCAGAAGGACAGCGGGCACGGGGTAGGGGGTAAAACGTCGCTAAGTATGCTATAAAATATCAATTACATTTACAGCTATGTGAAAAGCACGAATGGGGCAAGCGTGGGCCATAAGCCAGGCACTTTAAATACTTTTGCGCCAGGCAAAGTGTTTGCTTTTAATTGAGTTTTGAGGCCAACTCGATGGACGCAATATCGAAAGGCTACCTTTAAGCTGCCAACAGCTGCCAATTAACAGACAGGCAGGTAGATAGATGAAGGAGAGAGCAAGAGGGAGAGGGAGAGTGACAAGGAGAGACATAAACTTGTCAGGTGAGTGACTAAATGGTATAAAAGGACAGACTAGTTAATACTCCTTGATGGTAGCTCAATCTGAAGATATCAGGAATTGAAGGAGAGAATGAAATAATAAATATATATATTATGAACAGCTTATGAATATTGCAGATCCATAGAATCCATAGATCTTCTGGAAGCTCAAGATTGATAGATGGAATATAAAAATAACAAGTGCTTGAAATTTTGCCTTTTGTTGTTCCTGAATACTATTGGGATTAGAATTTGGGCATAAGCTCATTAATTTGCCTTTTAGATATTATATATAAACTATAGTTTACATTTTTTTCATCTACTAAATAATGCTCATGGGAATTTGGTGTATTCAGTTCTTCATTTTTTAGCGGAAAGAAAAATTCTATCCTTATTGAAGACTATAAGGCTTCAAGAACTGGCCAAAAGGTCTAGATAATCATATGGTACATAAAAGATTTAAAAGCTGTAAATAAGAATTTCAAGCTAATATTTGAAAGATTTGATAAATGTGATTGTAAAAAATCGATATATAGCCTAATATTTATATATTTTTTCATTGAATAATTGAAAAAATCGATATATAGCTTAAGTTTTATATATTTTTTCATTCGACAAGCTGTATTTTGTGATTCAAATCATTTAGCCCCAACTTCAGTCTCAAAATTCTCCCGTTTTTTGCCTCAAATAATCCACAAAATTAATTAAATCTCCACTTAGGACTGTTGCAAGCGGCACGCTCTACTCTAATAGACCCCATTTGCATGCCACTCAATTACAGGGCATCAGCATTCATTTGAATGCAATTTGGCTGGGCAGCCGCAAGCGAATCATCGCAGCGTGCAATTTCATATACAAATCAGACACTCAGAGGCCGACTCCAGCCCAGAGCCGTGGCAAATCTTTAGATGAAGTGGAGCAGTGTCTGGGGCAGGGGCAGGCGGACTGATGAGGAACACCTGAGGCCAAGTCACTTTGGTGGTGGTTGTTGCTGCTGTTGCTGCTGCTGCTCTCGACACTTACCAAGACACGATTCTCCGTTTTATCGCCTTTCGTTTCCAATTTGACCATATACTTGACCAAGATTTTTGTGTGGCGACCCAAAATCGATTTAACGCTTTCTGTCAAACGAAAAGAAGGAGAAGAAGAAGAAGAAGAACGAGATTATTAGCTGGTTTAATTAGTGCAATTATTAGCCGGGGTTAATTAAAATTAATTGGCAAAAGCAATTAAGCGCATGCACCAAAATTGACATCCCCATATTCACGGGCATATCTATATCTATAACTATATATATGTATAGGGTATCTGCACGTAATTGTTGTTATTATTATGCATGCCAATATTTATTACGAGTGTTATATCATAGAGATGGGTGACAGCAACTCGTGTATTGCCTTTTCAAACCAAAACACGTAGACACTTTATGAAGGCAACAAAAATAAAAATAAAACACAATTTGAAATTTCGCCGAGTTTTGCAGCCTTAGCTCAAACCCCCGCCGCCCCCCCCCCCCCCTCGGTTGGCTAAGTCCCAAGCCCCTCTATGTTCATATACATTTCCAGCTACTTAGCACACACACCCCAACACACACACACACACACACTTGTACACACAACAATGACGAATTTATTCAAAGTGAGATATTTTCATGTGCATTTGACAATGCCAGCAAAAGCGTACTGTAGGCGGGGCGGGGCGGAGCGGGGGAGGAGCAAAGGGGTTGCCGGGGGGCAACTTGTGGCACAGAACACTTTGATTGTTGTTGTTGTTGTTGTTGTGCGAGCATTATGTCATGCGACAGGCACGCCAAATCTCAAGTATGCCCGGATGGCACACAAGGCACAAACCGGACAGAAGGAGCGCTTGCCGGGGAAGAGAGGCGGCGGGCAGGGTATCAAATGGGGTATCTGCGCATTATGACTCCTTGTCTGGGCATGTGATCCCTACGGCAAAACTGGAATTGAAATGTCAAATATTTTGGCAGCTAACGACGGCAGAGCCGCAAATTCAACTATAAACCTAATTTGAATAGGCTATAACAAAAAAAAGGGAAACATAATATAAACTTTAAGGCATGTCGAAAAAATAAATAAATAAACGAAATTGAGGCAACTAATTAACAAGTTATATATTTAGAGTTATTATAGTCAAAAACGGGGGATCTTTGGAGTTTACATAGAAACTGAAACGCGTTTCACATAAGTAAAAATGGGTATTACGCAAGAATTTCTACCCTTTTACAAGGTCGTAGAATCCGAATAAAGAAATTTGCCCGGGGAAAAAAAAGAGTTACGCATCGTAAATTATTAATCAGAGTTGAAGAAATAACTGTGTATGCGGCCTGGCTGTACAATATGCTCTAGATTTACTATAAATAAACCGTTATTAATCCTTTTTATAACTCATAAGTATTATACTATATGTAACTCCCACTTGAAGTTTCCTTCTTATATGTATATCAAAGCAGAAGTAAAGAAATTGCAATGAATCCATGCTTAACTCGATTCCCGCTTGTCTTCTTCTTTTCTAGGGATATATTTCCTATGAATCACCCTCAAGAGAACGCTATCGTTAACAGCCGAGGGTCTAAAACAAATTTAATGGTTTTCTCTTTATTTTTACGCTTACAAATTCCTTAAACAAATTTGTAGGCTGAAGGGAAAGTGAAAAAAGCAAGCGCACAGAAGTACATATATATATATATATAGATGTACGTAGATGTATGTATGTGTGTAGTTGGCAATGGATTTGCATGGGGCATGCCATAAAAGAGCCGCGGGAGCAATTAGGGCCCTGACCACACTCACTAAACGGCCGCAAAATTGTGGCCAAAACAGCAGAGGAAAAGACATTTGACAAACGGGGTTTTGCCTATGGCTGACAACGCGCCTCTAAGTGCCAATTGTGTGTGTTATGAGTAACAACGATTGTTAAGACCTCCAGACACGCACACACAACACACACACACACATACACCTTGTGGCAGGGGCAGAGCCACCCAATGCGGGGCACTTATAACGGCGCCAGCTATTCCAAAGTAAACTAAAACAAAAAAAACCTCTATGAGATAAGTTCTTTTTTGTCGGGTGCAACCGACTGCGCAATACCCTGTTTACAGTTTCATAACAGCTTCACTCAGTCGCAGTCTGTTTACTTCTAAAACTGTTGTCCTAAAAACAGTGGCCCTTCAACTGTGACTTAAGCTAATACCGGAACATTTCAACAATCAACATTCAACATTGTACAACCAATATACTCGTTTTAGCAGCTTGTGCAGGGTATGAGCAACTTAGTTCCGGCGCGCAGCGTTGACAATGATAAAGATCGCCATCAGAAACGTGGGGCATAGCCAGCGAAGCGTCCAAGCGGCAACATTGACAGTTAACTGTGAGCCAGAGCAAAACATTTGGCTGCTGCTGCTGCTCTGCTGCCGGCTGCTTCTCCTAATTGCAGAAAAAAAATGTGAATGAACTTTGTTTGACGCTTTTACAGCTGCTGCGGCTCAAAAGCTCGCTCTCGCCGTTCTTGCCTACTCCCTCTAGCACATTAGAACGGTAGCCAGAGCTGATTACTTAGTATATTTGTTGTTCTGTTCTTGCATGCAAGTGCTCATCGGTCGACACTATGTCAATATCACAATGACTTTGTTGATGAACACACACGAACAGACACGCACACACACACACGCACACAGGCGAGCGAATGTCTGCGGCAATGAAATAGCATTTGTCGTTGGGATGCAAGAAATCCAACCTCAATGCAGAACTCTTAATGCTCTGTAAACTAACAGAATGTTATTAAAATAAATTGAATACATTTAAGAACTTTATGAAATTTTTTTTAAAAGTACTTCCGAATTGTGTAAATTAACTTTTAAGAATTTTCCTTATGGGAACTACATAAAAAGTAACTACAGAAACTTAGACAAGAATGTAAAACACATTTTTATTATTTTAAAACGCATTTGATTGCCCCACTTTAGCAAACATTTATGTACTTCAGTCGACATGCCTTGCGGCACGTTTATGATAGCCTCTTTTAAAGTAAATGCAATAAAGTTTATTATCTCAAACAAGTTTGCTATCACCGACTATTGACAGTGACTGTGACTGCATAATACCCCAGTGTAAACATTTCATCGAGCTTACAACTGAATGAAGTAATGATATTCACGAAATTACTGTACATGTACAGGAATCTGCTTGTAATCAAAACTGTCTCATATTTCTTTCATCCACTTTGGTCCCAATGACAATTTTCGTAATAGTTTTCCTTCACAAAGAGTTCTTTGTAAGCTCCAAAAACAGTTTTTATACTAAGTATAAAAGATTGTAACGTAAACAGATCTGACATCAAAATAGCCGTTATTCGCTGAACTTTTACTGTTATTCTATATATGTATGTACATATGTATATTTTTGTCTGGCCCGCGAGATTTTATTAGTCATTTGGCAAACAGACATTTCCCCGATACAAAAATGTACCCTACAGCAATTACGTTGGCCATGCTCCCATTCGGGCTCATAATTACCTGTGCAGCCGTCTCGCAGTCTCGACTTCATTTCCGCTTAAAGGAAATTTAACTTTAATTGCGAACTGTGGTCAATTTCGGGTCGGTTCGACGTTTTGATAAGACACAGGTCAAACGCGACGTTGAAACGATACCTTTTCGATACTTTATCTTTTGAGTGGGGTCAAAGAACCGATGCTGCAGCAAGCTCGAAATAAGTTTTTTCATCTGGATAACATATTTTGCCAGCTTAACAACATTGACAGCATGCCAAGTGAGCGGGGGAGGGGGAAGCACACGATAAGTGTGACCCAATTTGGCAAAGTTTTGTTGCTGCTGCTGTTGGTATATACACACACACATATATATGTGTATATATTTTTGCAGAGATTACACGAGTTCAAAATACTCAGCTACAAGTGCAGCTGTGGGCGTGTCTCTGGCTGTGTGTGTGTGTGTCGCCGTGTCTGAGCCTTTTATTAAAACACTTGTGTGTGTGTTTAGTTGATTGTGCGCTCTTTTTGTTGCATCTAGATACACACTCGTAAATGCGAGCGTGTCGTGTTAGCAGCACAAAGGCTGTCAAAACTCAGTGGAGAACTAAATAAATATGAGACTAGAATCAGTTGCACAGTTTGACAGCGACTGCACGTAACGCCATAAATGCTTACATAGTTCTGTACACATGTATGCCAAGTCAAGCTTAAAAGCTTCTCGTTTGCAAAGGATTAGGCACAGCGCAGCCCAAATATAGACACGATTACTCACACATACACAGCTACAATTAAATGTGAACACACACACACATTATTCTTACAAGTACGTTTTTGAAGTCAAAAAGAATGCGACAATCGCTTTCAATGTTTGCAAAAACAACAAACAATGGGCAAGCCCTCGCCGCAGCTGCTTATGCTAACGGTACAGCAGCGCAGCGCTGGCAGTCAAAGCTGTAGCTGAAGCCAAGCGCAGCAGCAGCAGCAACAGCACAAAAGAAAGTTAAACGAAGATTTTTATTTTCGTTTTCTTTACACACAACTTTGTGATTACTTTACGTTATGTTAATTATATTTGCACAATGGAGCGGCGGGGGTGAGAGAGAGCGAGGAAGTGGGAGAGAGTGGGCGGCAGGCAGACAGACAACAGACCGACTGGCGGCTATTGCCATTTACTTTCGCGCATTATTAACAGCTGTCATTGTTTTTGCTGCTGTTAACATGGACAGACAGCTGTGCGCTTGCCGCCTCTGTTAATACTGTAAACAATTAACTGACCCTGAAGATGTTAAGCACAGCAGAGACGCTTTTTGTTCTAATTGCTGTAAATCTATTTTAAGCTGCCTTTGTAAATTCCAGTGGGTGAGCGCTTCAATTTTTTTGACCTCAAAACGCAGTTATTTTTTGCGCGAATTTGGACGTTGAGCTTTCAAGCTACGGACACATTGTTCAAAGTTATGACAAGCCATAGAAAGCGACAGGTTATCCACATGCTCTCGCACACTCTCACCCAATCTCTACCTATCTTTTTTTTTCTCTTCCTATCTCCCAAATACCAAAGTGGAGCAGAGCAGTGCGGCTGGCCAGCAGCGGGTCAGGGATGCGACTGACTGAGCACTGCAGCAGGCGTGCCTCATTAACGTCACTTGTTGTTGTTGGTGTAGCTGTTGTTCAGGTGACACAATTTCACCCGACCTCAAAATAGAGCACAGCTCGAGCTTTTTTTAGAGTTTGGATTTTTTTATATATTATATTTTGGTGCTGGTGTCAATTCTGCGCGTTTGTGTGTCGCTTCTTTTAAGCCGAGATGCTGTCAAACGGGTTCTGAGTTCCCCACCAACTTTCAATCCACCCAAATTGTCACGGCGAATGCAAAATGTGTGCATGTGTGTGTGTGTGTGTGTGTTTCTTAATGAGACGCAAGATGCAGGCAGGATAACTGGAAATGGAGCAAGACGGGAAACTAGCACAAACATGCTCAACATAGAGAGCGTGCGAGTGAGCCAGAGAGAGATAGACAGAGAGAGAGTAAAAGTAACAGAGGGAGAGGTTGGTTAGCTTTTAGCACTAATTGCATACAATTTGCCATTAGTTGCATTGCAAATGAGCAAACGGCAAACGGCAAATGTTTAATTGGCAGCATGAATTATTGAGCGGGTGCATTTATTGGCCAGCAACTAGGTCATTCAGGGGTCACACTCACACACACACACACACACACACATACGCATACACAAAACTCTCATGGCCTTCACTGGCTGAGCCCATCCAATAAATTTCCATAGTTTTGCATTTTTGGCTGGAAGGCAGACCCCATAAAAAGTGGATCCATTAATTTCGGGCAAACTCGTTTTTTTCCTATTGCCACAGAGTTGTGGCAAATATCTGTGTGAATCAAACGCGAATTTCCAATCAATTTTACAATTATAAATACAAAAGAGGTTTGGGTAAGATGCAGGATTGCTTAACAACTAAAAGATAGCTGCTCAAGTTAAGATAGAGGGTCAAAATAGGGCTAGGAAAATCACAATAAAATCGTCGCCAGTTTGGTTTACAGTTCAAACCGACTTCCTGATTTGAGGTTCGGAATCGAACCAGCCTTGACTTCCGGCCACAAAGAGTTTAGTAATCAAAAGGGCAGGAACCGGATAATGGTCATACTTAAACTACAAATTATCAATTAAGTAACAAGTTTGTTTATTATTAGCAGTTCAATGTCCAGAAACCGTTGAAATTATGCCTTAATTTACGACAAAAACAGCAATAAATTGACCAAGCAAGTTGGGGTTATCTAGTTATTAATATACTAGTTTATTATGCGCGTATAAGAGCTGTGTATGAGCGTGAGAATAACAGTTAAATGGGGAGTGTGACCAGTAATTAGCAATAAATCAGCCAGCCCGACATTAGAGTGACCATAAAACTGCAAAAAGTTAGCAGGCAATAAATTTAAAATTCGTAAATAAAAACGTAAAGGAAAGGGTATTTGAAACCTACCCAAATGAATTGGGCAGTACTGATAAGACTTATAAGATTTGGCGCATAATAAACAAAACAAAAAAAAACGATAATTAGTGCTGTAAAATGTTGAACAAGTCAATTTCCGTTGAAAAGAGGTGCAGCAGCAGCAGCCGCTCCGGACGTTTGTTTTTTATGGCGTGCGAAAAAGAACGCCCCCACCCCCCTCCCTGCCGCTCGCCCACACTCTGCTGGTGTGCTGGTCAGCGAGTGTTACGAGCATTATCAAAGGATGACGCACTCATGAGACCGTGTAAAACTTGCATTGAGTACAAAGAATGTAATTTTGTATCTTTTATTATGGATACATGCGGTATATTCACCTTTGTCTTTGGCTTTTCTCACCACGTCGCGTATCTGCAGCTCGATAATGCGCCGCAAATACTGATCGATGTGATTCATCATTTCGTTTGTGTACATTTTGTTCACATTCACAAAGTTATTACAAATAACAATAAAAATAATAATGAAAACAATTACGAATCGCGCCCCCTGGGCACCCGATCTCGACAGAGTTACGTAGACTCTGCTAGCCAGTCTTGGCTGCGGCCGCGTCGAATTCAGAACTGAGGCGAAGTGCGACAATTGCGATCGCCTCTTATCAGCACATTGCGCTTATCAGACTATTCCCAATTGGGAACGTGAGCGAGCAAAGCGAAAGAGGGAGCGAGAAATGGAGAGCGAGACTGCAACGTGTGTTGGGTGTGACCGTAAGGTGTGCAGAGTGCACTGCACAACATGGTTTAAGTTTATATATAAATAAGACACATTTTTTCTTTGAGTGTAATTGTTAAGTAGATATTAATTTTTAATTTTTTTGCAATATTTTTAAAGCAGGTATCTCCCATTGCAAACCAGATCTCCAATCAATTTAGATTTCTTGCAGTTTTCCCATCTATTTTCCGCTTATGCCAGTGAATTTGGCAGTGTCCGCCGAGCCTAGTTAATCCTTTTTTCTAGGTTTTGGCCGAAAATTCTTGCATAACTAAGTTTTAAACCTCATTATATACTATATTATTAAAGAAAAAACAATAAATTGGAAAAAATAATGAAAGAAGTTATTAAGAAAAAATAAAAAAAATTATACTAGATATATAGAGTGTTAAGTAGATAAGATAAAGAGATAGTGATGGGGAAATCATCGACTCAGTAGTCCTAAATAGTCCCCGAATTACAAACGTTTAGAAGTGAAATTCCAAAAAGTTTCCATATAGACGTCATCGCTAGAAGGGCCACCGGAAATTGGTTAACGCTTGACAGCGCTTCAGAGCGCGACGAACGTGAAGAGTCAACAAACAACAATCACACCAGCAAGTGGCAACAACAACAACAACAACAGCGACAACAACAACGTTAACAAATGCCACACCGAATCAGAGTCCACTTACAGTTTGAGAGCAACTGCCTTAGCTGGCAATTTTCATCAAGTTCGTTGGCATTCGCGCTAATTTGATTTGAGTGCAATGACAGGAGCCACAAGAACCAGAACCCAACAGCAGCAGCACCTCGTCCGCCCTCCCCCCACCGCCCCCCGCTCCCTACCACGCTGCCAGCCCCTTTGTCACATTGTCTGCGTCTTGAGCCTGGGCCCAGGTGCAACATTTGCTGCGCCTGCTGTGCGCACAGTTGGCTTCCAATTAGCCATATTCCAATTAGACAAGAAATTCCACTTGATGCTCGTAACTTAGGCAAATGTTTTTATTTTCGATTTTGGAATTGGAATTGGAATTTGGAGCAACTTGATGCATTGACAATTTTATTTATGTGGCACAAACAACGAATTGTTGTTGCAGCTGCGCCCCCAAAGAAAATGCCGGCGTGAAAATCAAATGAAAATAAACTCGAGGCGCTACCAGAAACTCAATTGGGCGTCTGATTTATACCAAATGTGTGTGTGTGTGTGAGTGTGTCTGTTATTCCAAGTTAAAGCACATTTTGGACACCTGCCGACTGTCCATTAATCACCGGCATCAAGTTCCCCGCCCGACTGCGACCTAATCACGAGTCATTCAGATAACGAGCGCACCCTAATTGAGCGCCTAATCGTAGTTGAGGCAACGAGTTAAGTCTGCACAAAATATGATAAAAATAAATAATAAACAAATGTTGCGCCCGAAGGAGAAATACAATTATGTACAGAATGTTGTTAAATGAAAATTGTTCTCTCACATATCTTTGCAATGCAAGCTGCATTTTTACGACCAGTAAAAAGTGAATTCCATACATTAGCGTGGAAAATGGGTGATAAACTAGAGAATGCAACTTTGCTTTTATTATCATATTAGATTCATCTCATCTAGAGACAATTTAGAAGAGACATTAAAACTGGCTTTACAGGTTCCACTTATTTTGCAAAATCCACCAACACAGGCGGAAAAGAGATGAAACACTTTATTTACTATAAATCGCAATTTAAGTGCATTTCCAGCCTCTGATTTATCAACAATAATAAACAAAACCAATTGAAGACCTAATTATTGTTGCACAAACTTGTTTATTTAGTATAAACAATTATAAACAATTGTGCAAGAAACGTAAATGCATTTATGCAAATTCTTGTACATACATATATATATATATATATTTTTCAACCATACTCAAGATAATTATTATAATAATGATGATGACGATGTTGTTGCTGGCAGCTGTGTCTACAATTTCCCTGGTTGAATCGAGGAATCGCTTTAAATGACAAACAGACTCTGACTAACTGCAATATTCCAATAAGAACAAACACACACACACATGCACACACACACGCACATTTGTGCAATGGCATTGTAAATGAGTCTGTTTGTGGATTTTGTTTATCGCGCAGTTATAAAGCCCATAAATGATGCGGCCAATGCTTTTGAGCAATGCTTTTTTTTTATTATTTGTTGTTGTCATTATTGTTGTTATTGTTATTATTGTTCCTTCTACTTTCTGTTTTGCAGCGCTCAACTGAATTTCAGCTCAATTAAATATCATCGCACGAGCAATTAAGAAACAAGACTCCGCTAGCAGCGCATGCTTGACTAGCAGATACCCAGTACAGCACTCAAATGCGAAATCAATTCATGAGAAGCGCGTAGAAGGGTGATTTACTGTTATTCTTCTGTTGCATCCCATTTATTTTCTCTGTGTCACACTCACTTTTTCTCTCACTCTTCACCCCATCCTTGCTTTCCCCTATATATAACTAGATATACCCAATCTATGCAATACTTAATGAGTACAGGGTATAGGAGGACAAGCAATGCGAATGAATATGAATTAAACACACGCACACTTCGGCATGTGTGTAGAATATGCAAGCTGCAGTTGGAAAGTGAGTGCTCAGAGCATCTCAAACTGTTCCTCTGCTGGCAAGTCAAGGGGGTGGGCGTGGGGTGTGGAGCGTCAGTGTGGCGTGTCCGTGTCACATTGTGGCCAAGCGGAAGTGCGCCGGCCGAGAGGCAAACGTCAAGAACAAAACATAAAGAGAAAATGCCGAAAACAAAAACAACACAGCCAACGATGGGGTGCAAGGGGGATGTAGAATGTGCAAGCAGTTATATGCAAAACAAAGAAGAAGAGTGGGTGGGGTGTGTGTGTGTAAAGAGTTTACAGTTGCGGCTTTGATGGCGATAACAAAAACGATAACGATTACGATTACTCACCATTGAGGTCCTTGGTTAATTGCGAACGCGTCGACATTTTGACTGGTGGCCCAAAAATAATTGTTGTTATTGTTGTTGTTTATAAGTTTGCGGCGAAAGTGGCAGCAATTTGGCAGCGAGCGAAAATGAAGTCAAACAGGAATAACCACCAGGCGGCGGCAAAGGCCTTTGCGGGCGGAGGCGGTGGCGGTGGCAGCGGCGGCGAATTGCGTGCTGTGTACAAGGCGAAAAGGGCCCAAGCAATTTGGAGTTTGTTGTTGTTGTTGAAACGATTTAAAGCCCGAAGCGCCTCGCATAAAACTGGATTTAAGACTACGGACTACGGACTACGCATGCCGTTTAAGAACAGGAACAGCCTTAAATTGTTGCTCGCACATTTTTCGCAACGGTTTTCCTCATCGTTTACACAGATGCACAATTTTTTTTTCGTTTTTTATACACACACGCAGGAGCACACAAACACTTTTCACGGGTTTCCACCCTCGTTGGGGGATCGGTTGGTCTAGCTGATTTCCTCTGCTAACAATTGTTTTGGCTTAAGCTAACTATTCTAATGGATATTGTACACTTTTTTTAAATGCCTTATCAATTCGTTTTATTTGAATGTTTTGATTATTTGCTTTGGAATTCTTGGATTTCGTTTTGGTTTTTTTTTTTGCCGCATTCGCTTAGAATATTTCGTTGGCAACGTACAAATTGAACACTTGTGGTGTTAACTGTGTGGCGCTGCTATCAATTGACTTAATGCGCCGCACAGTTAATTTATTTGACTAACAACGTTTTGCAGTGGTTTGCAAAAATTGTGCTTAAAAATTAATATAAAAATTATGCGCGCTGGCACCGCGAACAGCACACACGACTAATGAAAAGCGTTGGGTCTACTGAATAGTGTGACCAGTTGGCGCAAGCCACTAAAATGTGGAAAATGCATCATAAGAAAATACCAAACAGCTGTTGTTGTGAACATGTAAGAACAATCCATTTCACAATGAAGTACAATATATAGCCGATAAGCTGATAAATAGATTTTAATTTGAGCTATTTAAAGTTTGCTTATGCACTTCAAATGTATTTATGTATTATAGTGCACTGGCAGCCCTAGAAATGGAGTGCTGTAAATGGTGCACCAAAAGTAACTTTACAACACTCAACTTGCCGCACGCTGAATGGCGCTTGAACCTAACACTAAAAGAGGAAGCAAATATCAGTTGAGCAGACAACATTTGGAGCGCAAAAATGGCAAATGTGCGCTGTTTGCAAAAAGTTATACGCATACAAAAGTTTGTGCTCCCGCTAAGTAAGTAAATTATCTATTAAGCCACAACTGTTAACACACCATACCAAAGACGCGCGCCTCTGAATTTCGCAATTCGCCCCTACGCATACGCATACATTACGAAAGACGTGCGAGAGTGGCATTCAAAGCGAACAGCTGTTTTATTTTTCTCGGTCCGATTTATACGTCAGGGGGAGAATGGATAAAGCAAATGTTGCCGCTGCCGGTTGCGAGCTTATTTAGAATTTTCAGTTAAAAGTCAGAGTTAAAAGTATCAAAAAAAAAAAAACCTAGAAACTAGTGTAAATTAAACAGCATATGAAAATGGATACGGTAACAGAAGCCGAGAACCTGCTGCGTCTCATCAAACGGATGCTGCTCGAACGCGACTACGACGGCGTCAAAATGCTCTTCCAGAGTCCCACAGTATTTGCCGAAATCGAGCCGCACATGGCCACCATTGCGCTGGAGCTATTCAATGAAATCTGCGCTCCCACGCTGACAGACGACACAAATGTGGATGACGCTCCGCTGTTCGATTGCGTCAATGAGCTGCTCAAGATTGTGGCCAGCTATGCGCCACTTCATCCAATCATGCTGGAGCTGATGGAGAAGATCGAGGAGAGCAGCAGCATTGCCATATTCTCGGCCTATCTGCGCGCCCTGCAGGTGGTGCTGCTGCGCCAGGGCAGCGCCAAGCCGCAGGCCATCGAGTGGTGTCTGTCGTCGGTGGTGGCGCGTGTACGTGAGCTGCCGCTGCCGGACTATCTGAGCGAGGGCTACGACGAGCAGCAGGCCCATTTGCTGGAGCAGGAGCAGCAAATTGAGCAGCTGATGGCCCACTACATTACCATCGATTTGTGCTACGAGCCGCTGCTGAAGACGGTGCTCGAGCAGGATGCGCGTGCGCCCATCTTTCGCGACTGCGGCCTGAATCGTCGCAATGTGCTCACCTGCTTTCTGCTGCAGCTGCTGGGCAAACCGCTGGCCCTGCTGGAGGTGAGCAATGTGCCCAAACGACTGCTTCAGCCGGGCCAGGCGCACACCTGCACGCCCAGTCCATGGCGCCTGCGGCCGGAGCTGACGCAACAGAACTATCTGCTGGCCCGGGCCAATGCGGGCAAGACACAGACCTATGTGCAGCAGGTGCAGCACACGCTGACATCGGACATAACACGGCTCCTGGGTGATCCCTACTATTTGCTGGGCCTGGTCGAGAAGCGCGCACGCTGGAAACGTCGCCTGGATGCCGCCACCGGCGTCTACGAGATGAGCAACCACAATATGTTCCTCATCGATGACAAACTGCCGCTGCCCGCCCTCGCCATGTACTACCATGCGCTGCTCGTGGGCCAACTGCTGCCGGCGACGGCACCCAAAATCTATGCACCGCTCTTTCTGTTCGAGTCGAGTCTGTATTTGGTGGCGGTGCTGCTGGAGCAGCCGGAGCCGCCGCTGCAGCACTGCGGTTTGCGTCTCAACGATTACATGCTGAGCATTTTGAGGGAGCCCGTGCCACAGCGCTCGCTCGATCTGGAGGTGCACAAGCGCTACTGCGAGGCGCTGTGCAAGATAACCGGCTACTCGGCGCAGGAGCCGCTGCGTCAGCTGGGACTGCAGGTGCTGCACCACTATATACTCGCCTTCGAGGATGCCGCCAAGTACTTTATATTGAAAAATCTGCTGGAGACGCTGCAGCATGACGGCATCTTGGGCTATTTGGCGGGCATGTACAAGGATCTGGTTGCCGCCGAACTGGAGAAGGAGGCGCCGCTCAGTAACGTCTACGGCGGCATCAAATTCCGTTCCATGCTGCTCAAGTGCATCTGTGTGCTGCCGCAGGATGTCAAATCCGATCTGCTGCTGCACTCGGTCAGCCTGTCCAATGCGCTAAACATTCTGCGCTACTTTGCCATGGCCGACCTGGAGAATCGTACGGGCTTCTGGCATGCGCTGCCCGAGATCGAGGAGCGTCTGCTGCAGCCGCTGGGCAAGGCGCTCAACTTCTCGCTGGCCCACTACAAGGCGTACAGGGAGCGTGTGCGCAATGGCCAGAGCGCCTCCGACGATGAGCTCATGCAGAAGCAGCTCAACATGCTCGCCGTCAACATCAGCAACAGCGGCATGGGCGGCGAGGGCGAAGGCGACGGCAACTTGCCGGACATTGGACGCGACGAGAAGCTCGAAGTGCTGGCCGGCTCCATAACGGGTCTGGAGTCGCTGCGCGTGCTCTATTTGCTCGCCAGCGACAATCTCGAGCAGAGCATCGCCAGGCGCAAACAGGCCACGGCCACGTCCCCGACCACGACCACGCCCACAGCCATGGAGCTGGAAGTGGAGCAGCGCTAGGCACAAAAACCCCCAGAATTCCAGAAGCCAGCATATATTTTTATGTTTATATCTGAAAGCGTAATGAAAACGAAATTTGTCTGACTAATTGTTTGGCCTTGGGTTTAGTTTTGTTGGGGATTTGGGGCTTTTGCGGCCAAAAGGTGTTAATTGCCCAACAAACTGGGCCCAGCTGATCTAACGCTCTTCTGCTCCAAAAGGTGTTAATTAATTGCGCAGCACACGCTTTGCTCGTTTTTCGCGACCTCCAATGTCGTTTGTACTCAATTGCAATTAGAAACTAGAGGTGCGAGAAGGGGGCAAGCGCGTGTTTTGTAGAATGTTTGTCACTCAGATTTGGGCCAGCTTAACTTAATTAAGCTCACTTAAAGCTAGAAGCTTTAAATATATGATTTAAGAAATGTGAAAGCTACTTAAAGCTTTGGTCGGATACAATTAAAGCTCACTTAAAGCGGAAAGCTCGACTCTCAGTTAGTTAAATTATGTTTTGGGTAACTTAACTTAAATTAAGCTCGCTTAAAGCTCAAAGCTTTTGTCATCTATATGCTTTAGAAATGTCAGATATGAAAATAATAATAATTAAAGCTCACTTAAAGCTCAAATCAGAATCTTAAATAAAATGTACTTTTGAATAGCTTAATTGTTTGCAATCGAAACAATTCTCAGCTCTCTTTAGCTGCCCATGTAAAATTATTCGTAACCAGCCCAGTAAAAAGAATTAAGTTTTTCTTTAATCAATTTGACTGAAACCCTTTACAGATGCTCAGGGCTGCTGGCTGGCCACCACATGCACCACCGGAACAGCGGCAACTTTTCACACATTGCAGCTGCAGCTGCAGCAGCAGGAGCATTCAAAATTGAAGCCCGCCTCCAGTTTGAGACGCAGCTATGCCAAAGACAGCGACAAGCTTGACGAGTTTCGGGCGCGCGAAGAGCAACGCGAACGGGAACGCGATGCAGCCGAGCAGAAGCCGGGCAAATGCACACCGCCAGGTGCGGATGGAGGCACCACGGGCGCAGGCGGCGAGCAGGGCAAACAGAGCGCAGAGCAGGCGGCCAAGCAGGCCAAAGTCGATGGCATACGCAGCCGCATATTAGATGCGGCAATGCTGCATGTGCCACAGCACGGCTGGAGCAAGCAGGCGATTGTTCAGGGCGCCGAGGAGTGCGGCTTTCCCAGCGTTGTCCATGGCATGTTTCCCGAGGGCGGCTTTGCGCTCGTCTCGCACTTCAATGGGAAGTGCAATGCAGAGCTGGTGCAGTGCCTGCAAAAGCAGACAGACAACGGACAGAAGGAGGTGAGCGATCCGCTTGATTTTCTCGTTCAGGCCGTGCGCCAACGTCTGGAAATGATTGAGCCATACAAGAGCCAGTGGCCGCAGGCCATGGCATTGATTGCCCAGCCGCAGAATGCATCCACAGCGCTGGCGCAGGTGCTGACGCTGGTCGATGACATCTGCTACTATTCCGGTGATCGTTCCGTCGACGTAAGTTGTACCTAATCCACTCACTGAGAGCTTCTACTCAACTAATCCCCATTGATCCTTCCACAGTTTGGCTGGTATACGCGACGCATTGGCTTGGCCACAATCATGAAAATGACAGAGCTTTACATGCTGCAGGACTCATCGGCAGGCCATGCACAGACTTGGGAGTTCCTCAAGAACCGCATGGACGAGGCCGTCCAGCTGCAGATGGCCCTGGCCCAGACCGAGGGCATGACGCACACATTTCAACGTTCCTTCAACTCGGCTTTCATAACGGTGAGATACCTTTCACTCAGTTTAAACTTATCTAAACTCTCTTTCTTTCTGCTCACAGGCGCGAAACATACTCGGATTGGGCTATGGCCGCCATTAGATAACGCCTAAAAACCAGCGAAAGTCCAAAGAACCGGAGAGTGTTGTATAAAAAGAAATATATATATACAAAGATTTATGCCTATAAACCGTCATAATATACCTGATCTATGTATACTTTTAGATTGTTGTTCCAGCGGGTCGATATTTCGTATTGCTAGCTGCGTTTATGCCGAGTTCCAATCGTGATTAGACTAGAGAATGGAGAGGATTTGGCTTGTGCTCCAGTAGCTTATATTACCAGGCTTTGCGTGAACCAAGTATATTTCCTTAAAATTTCTAATTTATAAAACTAATAATGGTTCTATAAATCGATAAAAGAGGTCTCAAAATAGTTTTCTATCCATTTATTAGCAAAGGTCTTATATGAATTTTACATAATTATATACAAATTTCTCATCACGTTATTACACGGCTTAAACGCAGCTATTTATTATAATTGGAATGTAAGAGCTCTATCACTTGTACAGATATTAAATCCAGCTAAACTAAATTAGTGTACTTATGATGGGATGAAGGAACTGGATATGAGGGGTTGGGTGCCATATTTGTGTAATCTAAATATAATTTTCTTCATTAAACTTGTTAAAAAGGCCTCAAATATGGGAGTCGATAAAATGATATCAATTTATTTGTTTTTAAAGACCTGAAGGGAGAAAAGTGTTTATACACTGGATGGGTATGAAAAGCCGCAAGGATATAGACAGCTCCCGTCTATGTTGATCTTAGTAAAACTATGCAAAGATACTAAGTACAACTTATAGGAATAGTTGATCGAATTTATGTTGGTATATGAAAACATTTTTCTTTAAGACCAAAACTAAGCAATTTAGCCAATCAGTTTACTTTATCATGTAACAACTCAAAGAAACGATCGATCAGTTGAAAATCTTCAGCATTCCTGCATGGTGTTTACCTGAAAAAAGACACTTTTAAGTTTTATTTTTAACTAACAAATTTTGGTTTATTCTTGATTTTTTATAACACAACTATGAAACGCGCACTGGTGAGGCGCTGCGTGGTATTATAGCTGACTGACCACCATACTGGAGCAAAAAGGTTGTCTACTGGACATTGGAAAGGTGCGTGCTGGATCGCAGTTGAGCGGGAAATGCGTGCTGCGCCGAGCTATCCGGTTCGCTCAGTTCTGGCCCGCTTTCCACTGGGCGGTGCCACTCGGGCACGCACGGGCAGCACTTTTTCTGGCTCGGGATATCGGGATTTCCAAGTCCAGGTATCCTCGCCATGTATGGGATCCATATATGGCGCTGGAATGTCACAATCGATTCCGTTACTCCGGTACGACTGGCTTCGAGCCTTCTGCTGATGTTGTTGTTGTCGTTGTTGTTTTTGATCCCAGGCAGAAGTTGACAGCATACGCAGCTGTTTATCGCCGGATGCCTGGTTGGCTGCGTTACCTCTGCGCTTGGTGCCCCTCTTAACTTTAGTTTTGGCAGCCACCACATAGGTATACAATTCGGATATGTCCTTGCACAGATCTGTATGCTTGATCGGCTTGCGATTGGGCGACGGATAGGGATACAATAGCTTGTAGTCCCCTCTGTTCGGTCCGTGGCAGCGATCGGATAACTGTCGCACCGGACAGAGCGGACATGCATAGGGTATTGGCGCACAGGGCGTCCATTCCATGCGGCAGCAGTGTTGGCACATTTCCTAGCTCTGTTATTAAAAAAAAAGCCGAACTTTCAAGAAAATTACCAAACGATTTCTATGTGGGGGACCTTTCGAATTTTGTGCCTGAACAAAAAGCAAAAGTCAGCTACCAGCAAAGACTTACAAATTTCAGTGTGCTATGATTTGATCTCGGGCAGTTAAATAAAAAATACAGTTTCCTAAGCTTCGTTCTATTATTGTTAAAGACCATTCAAATCTTTGATTAAAGCTCCCCAATAATTGAACCACATTAATCTTTACTTCCTAAATGCCTTTAAGCTATTAACTAAATCTATCACAGGACATAAACATATTATTCTGCGTGCTTTCATCATCACAACGTAATCTTTGGGTTTCAACAAATTGTTATATTTTTTAAAATCTTTGCAGCTTATCAGCATTGTTATTTGTTAACGCTATGTAAATAAATTGAATTTAAACCCCTAATCTACACACAAATCTAACTAATTACTTAAAAGGTATTGCACTAAGGAAAACATTTACAAACAAATATCCCTCCTTGCGCACAAGCTAGTGCAAAGGCTGTAGGTAGGTTCCATCATCTGGCGGCAGCTGCTCCACTTTGCTGTGAATTTATGATTATAGAATATCTGGATTGGGCTAAGTTCTATCCAAGTTATGCTCACCTATGCGGATTGTCTGTTTGTTCGTTGGTCTGCAGATTCTGTTGCCGTGACTGCTGCAGCAGACGCAGTGGCACCTCCTTGGTGGCCACTATCATTTTGTCCAGACGCTGCTTAAGCTCGGCAAAAGTGGGGCGATTGCCGGGTACCGAACACCAGCAGCTTTCCATCAGTGCGAACCTGTTCCAAATTAATGGGAAGATTGGTTAGTTGTATATAAGGGTGAAAAGCGGATTTGAATCCGCAGCTCTAATTTGTTTCCGGTTCGAACCAACCCCTGGCAAACCCTGGTTTTTGCTCGAACCGCAAAGCAAACCATCTATCTATATAGTCCAAAGTTATATACATTTCATCCGTGCAGCCATCGGGTCGTCTCATGCGCAGTCCCTGACGCAGCAGATGCAGCAAATCTCTGGGCGAAATTGAAGGATACGGCATACCACCCAGCGTTGTGATCTCATAGAGCAGCACGCCAAAGGACCAGCTAAGAAATAAGCTATGATCATTAAAATATGTTCCATCAGACTGAAGCTCACTTACACATCGCTCTGACTGGTGTACACCTGATGGGTTAGCGACTCCAGTGCGAGCCATTTGATGGGCAGCTTGCCACTGCCACCGGATTTTCGATAGACATTCTCATGGTAGACATCACGGCTGAGGCTACGGGCAAGTTAACATGGAATGAATATTAATATGTATCCCATATAATGCATATCATATTACTTACCCAAAGTCTGCTATCTTAATGGTGCGATCCAGAGAGATGAGCACATTACGTGCCGCCAGATCCCGATGCACAATCTTGTTCTGTGCCAGAAAGTCCTGTGAACAAACGGATATAGTATTGTCTAATAATTTCTTCAGCTAAGCACTTACCATGCCTACGGCCACCTGATGTGCAATGTCCAGCAGATCGGCATACTTGAGCGGCTGCCTCTCCATTTGTTCATTGGCTGCAGGAGGCTCAAAGTACTCCTTATTCTCAAAGCTCACCGTGCAGCTCCTGCCAGGCGGTTGTTCCTTTTGGTTGCGCTTCAATATGGTCTTCAGACATACGGCCGCCGCATTCGCATCAATATTCTCAATCTCATGCAGTCCATAAGATTTGTTGTCTGCAGCCAGCGTTGCCTTGGTCGAATTGTAGCTATCGAGGCAGCTGCTGTTTCGCGACAGATCCGTTTCCGATTCCTCCTCTAGTGTGGACAACATGGAACCATTAATATCCTCAATGCGTGTGTCATTATACAGTAGATGTCTGGAGCGCTGCTGATGCGTTGTGTTCTGTGCCTTCGGCTGCTTTGCCGCGTTTAGCTTAAGCCGCATGTTCTGAGCGCTGCGCTCCTGCTGGAACTTCCATTCGTCGCTGCAAGGAAAGGCATTAGAAAGCTTCCAATATGCATACCCAGTCCTACCGTAGAAAGCTCTGCAGGCTTCCCAGTCCGCAGTACTCGGTGAGCAGCATCATGCGATTGCTGAACCTGGTCGAGTAGCCCACAATGCCGACAATATTTGGATGCCTGCCAACGGCGCGCAGCATTTGTATTTCGCACTTGAAAGCCTGTACATCCTCCTCATTGGGCTGGTCTAAGCAAAGGCATTAATAAGCTGGGCAGCTACCAACGCTTCCCTTTTACCTTTGAGCAGTTTGACGGCCACCTGACGCTGCTTGTAGACGCCACGGCGCACCAGGCCAAAGGCACCCTCGCCAAGTACATCCTGCAGCAGCACAGCATGTGGCTCCACCTCCAGTTCATCGTCGAGCTCAAAGTTATCTTCGGTGGCGAGCGTGGCCAACAGGCTGCTGTTGTTGATCAATGAAAGATGAAAATCGGTAGCCTGATTGGGCGCTGACTTGAGCTCCTTGGTCTCCAGCTTCTTGCACTCCTGGCGTCTGTGCTTGCGCAGCGTCATTGAGCACAAAGCGAGTATGCAACAGACGGGCACAACAAGGAAGAGTATTAACTTAATCACGCTGCTTTCTGTGTATCGATTGGGAAGTAATCAGGAGGCTTATAAATCTTCAAGCAGCACACTTTACCTTTCATCCAGACCTCCAGCGGTGCCTTGCTCAAAAACTGCATGGACGCATTCTGGCCGCCCTCTGTGTGCGCCACCAAATGCACCTCAAAGTTAGTACCCAGCACAGTTATATTGGATATATAGAAATGGCTGGCATTGCCTGCCACTGTGTACTTGGCCTGTTCGCTGTCCGTGTGCAGATCGAGTATGTACAGCGTATAGTAATCCGGCAGATATCGGGGCAGTGACCAGCTGACATTTAAGGCCAATACATCCTGATCGAAATGCTGCTGCTGAACGCTGACATTGCTCGGCTTAAGTGGAGCTGTAAGGAATGCAAAGAGTTCTTATTAGTATTTATCTTTATGCTATGCGATTCCAACTTACCGCAGAGCGTATAATTGTAATCAAACCAATCCAAACAGCTTGGCGCCTGCAGTATGAGCCACTGCACTGGACTCTCTAGGCTATTCTTGTCGTTAACTGTACGCACACCAATCCTGAACTGCTCCCCAAATTCCATATTGGGTATTGTATAACTATACAGCTGGCGGGGCTGTGGAAGTATACAGAAGTAGTAGAGATCAGGAAAATCTTGGGGTAAAAGTGATTAGAGCTGGGCTAAGATGGATCGGCTGCTAGAACATTTCCGGCTCCATAAACAGGACCGTTCTCCCCTGCTCTCGGCCGATTTTATAATGAGTCGGGCTCTTGCTGGTTAAAATGATGATGCACTTACATCACGAAAATGAACTGGAGTGGGCGCCTCCATGCTTTGGCTATCCGTTGAATAGTATATCATATCAAAGTAACAGTTTCGTTCTGCAAAGATAAAAACGATATTATACGGGTTTTTCGATGATACTCCCGATCCCAACCAATACCTGCTGACGGCTGCCATTCGACCACCGCTGCGATGCGATGCAAATTGTCGGGCTGCTCTTGAAATTGCTTCAGCCTAACCTCGCCCATTTTGCTGGGCTGATAGCCACGCCTCAATGTTTGAAAGCCCTCCTCGATGGCTATAAAGGAATATGCGCCATCGGCGTGCACAGCCAACGCCGTAACATTATATGTAGTATTTGATTCCAGCTCGGGTATGGTAAAGAAACTGTCATCCGACTAGGGTATCAAATGATTAAAGGAAGATTAGCTCGGCTTTGATTTCCTTAAATTACTTGACTTACCAAATAGAGGAAGGATTCCAAATCAATTAATTTTGCATCGGTTCTGATGATAAACATGGCATCTGGAGCACTTTGTATGGAATCATGCCGCGCATGCTGCACCCAATTGATGCGGAATGTCAAATTGTACTCCGTGCGGCAGACGAGCTTTAAAAGGAAATTCTCCTGTATCTTACGTACTTTTGTCGGCATCAAACCGCTGGAATTGTCGTTCTTACAGTATTCATAGCAGCCAGTAAAGTTCTACAAAATGTAACCAAGATTAAAACTAAGAGCTTTGAGTTGGGAGGAGTTGGAGTTTATCTGACCTTTTGTGGCATTTTAATCAGGCAGTTCTTCGAGCAGGCGGTCAAATTGAGCAGCGCCTCATCCTCGGAGAGCTGGCGCATGAGCATCACCTGACCCCGATAGCTTTCGAAGAGCGCCCAGAAGATAAACACATATTTTGCATAGAGCAGCAGCATTTTATTCTTTTCTCCCCTTCTTTTCTTCCTTTTTCCGATCTCTCTTTATTCGCTGCGCCAATGCTGCACGGTTATTGTACTTTCCTTTTATGGCACTTGGACTTGCGGTTCTTTTTGTTTATTGCACAGTTCGCTCTCTGAAACTTTTTTGTTGCTGTTTTTTTTTTTAATTGCGGCTCTGCGCAATAGATCGACCGTTGCCTACGACTGAGCCATGCGAACTGAAGTCGAGCTATAGGCGAGCAGGAAGAAAAGCCAAAAAAAATGAATAAAGTAATGTTTTTTTGTTTTATTTTGTTTTGTTTTGTTTCACTTTTCTGTTTCATGTGCGTTATAAAACGGACGGACGGCCACGCTAGCCATATCATTTGTAATGCAAAAATCGAATTCGCTTTTCGACAACGGGGCGCCAAAGCGTATGGGAGAAATGCTCAACGCAACGTATAACAAAAAAACGCACTCGAACATTTATATTTCTTAAAGCCGGCGCATGTTCAAATCTGTTATACAGTTCTGTGCTCATGGCCATCAACTGATGTTATACAAGCGCATGGGAGAAATGCTCAACACAACGTATAACAAAAAATCGCACTCGAAAATTTTTATTTCTTGAAGCCAGCGCTTGTTCAAATCCGTTATACAGTTCTGTGTTCATGGCCATCAAATGTTGTTATACAAGTATTTGCTCAAGTGCAAAAAGTGCTCAAGTTCTATTTATAACTTTAGAGCCTAAGCACTTTTTGCGCTTAAGCACGGAAATTGTAATTCCTGGCATCACGAAAGGACATTTACACACAACCGCACAGAGTCCAACTGATCCTGCGTGGGATAAACCTTGCCCAGAAATTCCATAAGTCCCGGCTGCAATCGCACAACGTCACAATATTCCTCAAACGTGATGATCATGTCCTTGTCCACATCAAATTTAGCAAAAAGCACTTCAATCATATCCTGTTGGCCGAAAATAAGCAGAATGAGAAGTTAACAGACTTTTTAGGTAACATTATTTACAGCGCGCAGCTCAAAAATCTCATCCTCGTCATCGCCGGTGAAAAACTTTTCCACAAAATACACCACATCTTCCCGTCCCAAGAAGCCGCGATCATTTTCATCGTAAATCTAAATATATGAATATACATACATATATGTATGTATGCTTTATCCACAATCGAACTTACGCTAAAGACAAACTGCATGCGCTGTTCCAGATCTGTGGAAAAGTAGATGGAGAAGAGTCTGATAAAGCTGGCCAAGCTACAGTGGCGATCCGACGCGTATTTTGGGTCCGTACAGTCCGGATCATAGCTAATGCGAGCCACAATGCGTCTGTTTATCTCACGATCTGTCACAGTGAACATCAGCTCCAATATATTGCTTAGCTGCATTAAGGTTAGGAACCTGGCCCTGGGTCCATTCTTCAGTGTAAATTTGTGATAGACCATGGAAAGGCAGAGCAACTCGGCCCTTGTAAAAGGTGACTCCATCTCCATGTGCGTGATCAAGGGCCCGTAGGTGTAATTGAACCGCGCATTTTCCATATAGTCCAAGGTAAGGTCCAGATCCTTCATTTCGTTAATAATCAATCAATAAGAAAACTTACAAAAATGCGTATAACTGTTCAAATATGGGAACTGACAATCCAATAAATAACTATTTTCTATATTTTGGACATTTCTTGAACCTTTGCTCTAAACACTTTTTATATGATTCTTTTGATGTTCTCTTGGTTCTTTAGATGAGCTGTACTTCCCGAAGGACCTATTCTGCACGAGAACATTATCCACCAAATGTGCCTTTCTCAGCATCACTTTTGTTAGTAAATTAAAAAATTAACACACATCGAAATGACATTCAATTCAGTTTTCCACGGAAAGATTGTGCCAAGGAATCATCCAGCAAAGCTGCCCACAACCTCGGCATATTCATCAAACGAAATGAGCAGATCCTTGCCGAAATCGAATTTGACAAAAAAATCTTTTCTAGCATATCTTGCAAAACATGTATGTAGTTATATATCCATATGCTTGTATAAACTGTAATGGTCGCGATCCGACTTAATTATTTTCCCGCTAAATAAGCCATGAAAATAATTCGTTGTTGTTGGATTATGATAGCAGCATAAAATTATGGATGCGCGCCTTGGCAACATGTTTTAAAAAACGTTTGCAGCCATTTGCCCAGACACATTTTGCTGTAACGCTATGTAGAATCTGATAATCTTTTCTTTTTTTACATGCATGCATGCCTGCAAACATACATACATACATACATACATACATACATACATACATACATACATACATACACACATACATACATACATACATACATACATACATACATACATACATACATACATACATACATACATACATACATTCATTCATACATACATACATACATACATACATACATACATACATACATACATACATACATACATACATACATACATACATACATACATACATACATACATACATACATACATACATACATACATACATACATACATACATACATACATACATGCATCTACATCACTCCACCTCCTCCTGCTCCACCGCCTCGAGCTGCTCCTCCACCGGCAGTCAACGTTTCCTGCCTTGTTAAAGGGCCTACTTAAATTTTTGAGAATCGAGGAGGAGAGCACCTAAAAATACTTTTAATTTAAAGTCGCAGCGCAGTAATATAAAACTTAGACTGTGTTACGTGTACGTGAGTACACATATATACATACACATACATACGCATACATACATTCACATACATACATACATACACATGCATACATACATATATAAATTGGCTTGCAGCCGTGATAAAGAGATCGCAGTGTACTTAAATTAAAAGTCATGTTTGGTAATGTATTTTCTTTATCTAATTGTTTAATTGTCCTTTGCTTCAATTATGTCATTTAGTAAGCAAAAGCAAAGTTACAGGATATTACTGCGCTAAACAACACAAAGTGTACATCCGGGTTTATATGTATGTATATACGTGTGTGTGGGGGGCATGGTGTAGACTTAGCAATGTACCTTAAAAGACGACCGTATAGCTTACAAAAATGTATTCCTATCGAGTACACGACAGCTATAAAAGTTAATGTGTATGAACAAAGATCATACAGAATACAACTACATAGATGTACAATTATCGTATAAGTATTTATATAATTAAAAAAATATCATAATATAATAAAAATAAAAACTTAACATAGCTGCATGATAATAAAAAATAGAATTGTAATACAGTGACAAAATAGAATACTGACTGACTGACTGGTAGGATAGGTTTTGATTTTTGAATGTGAAATGGAAAAACCCATGCGGAGATTTCGCTTTCTTTTCTGTAGTATGTGTTTCGAGGATTCTTTGAGTATTATTTGTTTGTTTGTTTGTTTGTTCTTGCGACACAACCGCTTGTGAAATTCATAAATTCATAACTTTGTAGAGCAAGTTCACTTAACAGTTACCAGGATACAAATATAATAATAATACTAATATTGAAAAAATGCAAATGTGTTTGCGTAGTGTGTGTTTGTTCCTTCGTTTGTTTGTTTGCTTGGTTGGGTGGGTGTCTGTCTGTGAGGTGGTCTGTGTTAGTCTGTGTTGTGGCATGCACCAAAACCAACAAAGAAAAAAAAACAGTCCATTCGATTTGTGTCAGTGCAGGGCGCCCAAAGACGTCGCCTGCGTGTGGCAACGTGAGTATATTGTATATGAATTAATGTTCATAGTCTGTGTCTTTTGAGACAATTTGAGAGTCGGCTACATTTTGCTAAACGCATTCCAAGCTAAGTTTTTGTTGTTTCCTCTTTTGTATACAGTATCCACTAAATGCTGGCAATGCGTATTATGTTGTGTTCTGGGTGTGAGTGTCTGGGTATGTGTGTGTGTGTGAGAGTGGGTGTATGGGTGTGCCTACAACAACTAGTTGTAAGCCAAAGAGTTGGCATTGAGCGCCAGCGCTGCTTCCGTGCTGCTGCTGCTTGATGATGTCGACGGCTGTGGCTGAGCTGTGCCGCCGTCCAGATGCACATTATTGTAATCCGTTTTGGCATTGCAGCGCACGCCGTGCGGCTGCAGCTGCTGCTCCTCCTGTAGTTGCTGCTGTTGCACTTCGCCGTTGCCGTTGTAGGCGCTGCTGCTGAGATTGTAAACAGTGAGACGCGCTTCGTGCTCGCGGCGCTGTTGACGCAGCCGTATGTCGTGCTCCTCGCGCATATGTCGCAGCTTGAGGTCCTGCTCCTGTCGATAGTACGACATCTTGAGTTCCTGCTCCATTTGCTCAAAGCGCAGCTTTTGCTCGTGCTCGCGTCGTGCATAATCAATCTCGGCCAGGCGCGCCTGCTTAAGCAGCTTGAACAGCTGCTGTTTGTATTTCTCCTCCATGTCCACGCAGCTAATTGCATCATTGGCAGCTGTTGCTGGCGTGTATGCTCCAACGGCGGCGACACTAGCAGCCGGCGCCTCATCCTCGGATAGCACCGACTGTGCCTGTGAATGCTGTGGAAATGTTTTTATAAGATGAGAGTTTCTTTTAGATGCTGCAGTCTACTTACCTTGCGTTGTCGCCTTTTGCGCGTTGGTGAAGTCTTGTCGTTGTCCGGCGGGCCAGTTGTGCCGTCTGTGTCGTCCTTACTGCTCAGCAATGGTTTGGCTTTGGCACGTTTGCGTCTATTGGGCGCTGATTGCGGCTGGGCGCTCTCCTGCTGTGAGTCGCCGCCGGCGGTGGAGGGCGGTGGTGAGGGTATGGCTATGGTGGATGTTTGCAATGTATCCTCACTGGCATTTGTTGAATTTGGCAAGGCAGCCAGGGGCATATCCTCGTCCTCATCTAATTCGAGCAGCTCCTTTTTCAGTGGTACATTTACAGCGCCATTGGTGCCGCTTCGCGTTTGACTGCGCGAGGATACCGGATCCTTTTGCAACTCCTCCATGAACTCAATCATGCGCATGCCCTCTAGCGCATCCGATTTTGGATGCTTTTGCTGATGTTCGCGCTTCGCTGAATTTTTCATGCTGCGCCATTGCACTTGAATTTGCTCCAGCAGGCGATGTCGAAAGTTCAGGGCATTGAATCTGTAAATGTTTATTTAAATGGGCATTAATTGAAGTGCTGCACATATTTGTGTGCACTTACTGTTTGGTTATTTGCGACCAGGCCAGTCGCTTGGCCTTGATGCTTTTGGCATCGACGCTGCGATTCTCAACGAATGCGACTTTTGTTTTGATGACCTCTAGCAGCAGGCCGCGCTCCGCTTCCTCCCAATTGAGTGAACGTTTTTTGCGTGTGCCTTTTTTCTTGCCCGTTGCGCTTTCCTTTTCAGCAGACTCCTCAGCAGCATCTTCAGCGTTCTCCACCCCCTCATCAGAGGCATTTGTGGCTTTTGTTTTCGACTCCGCCTTTTCATCATCGTCGTCGTCCTCCTGCGGCGATGATGCACCCTTTGTCAAGAGCTCTTCCAGTTTCATTTCGCTTTTGAATTTATTGTTTATGTAGTCTTTTTTTAATTGTTATTATCGTTATTTAAGCGCGTTTCCGATTTGCAAAAAATTCTTATTTGATTTCTGTATATACAACGCAATGGCGTTGCCACCGCGTCAGAATATTGCAGGAGTGGCAACTTACAGCATCGCGGTGCTACTATCGATATATGTGTCGCTGCATCACTGTGCTCTAGTGTGCCTTGAGCTCTATCGATACATTGTCGTATCATACTCAAGTATCGAGCAAAGTAAGTAGGCAGGCTAGAAAATATAATCTCATTGGAAAATTATATATTTTATTATACACAACGCAGCGAGATGGCTTTCGGTGACTATCCAGCTGAGTATAATCCGAAGGTGCATGGACCTTATGATCCAGCACGCTACTATGGCAAAGGTGAGCGAATTTGCAAAATTACGTAATTTTCTGCCGCACGCTTCTGCGGCATAATGCGATTTTCCTTCTATTTTATGTAATTGTTTTATTTGCAATCGCAGCTGATGTGCCCTTCGGCCAAGTAAAATTGGGTGAGTTGGGCTCCTGGTTTGGACGCCGCAACAAGACTCCAAGCGCATTTGCTGGAGCCATTAGCCGTGCCTGGTGGCGCTGGCAGCACAAATATGTGTTCCCCAAGCGTGCTGGCATTGCACCCTTCTTCCAACTGACCGTCGCCAGCATGACGTTCTTCTACTTGATCAACTACTCCAAGTTGAAGCACCACAGGAACTACAAGTACCACTAAGCGGTTCATCTCGTTTAAGCTCTTCAGTGTACACTTTGTAATTAAAACTTTATTGTTGCCATTCGGTAAAGTGGGAGAGTTATAAAACACAACACACGACAACACAATACTAGTTGAATACATTTCTTGTTTTGAAGACGGCCAATTCTAATAAAAATGTCTGCGAATAACTGTGCTGCAAATAACTGTGAACTAATTTGTGAGCAATGGTTTGGTTTACCGGTTCGACCCTCGCTCCGCCTCTATTTTCAGTGCGCCACATTTTACTTTTAATTCTAAGTGGAATTCAGTTTGTTTAAATACGCAGCTGGTTTATGTACGGATTCGTGGTACGTTTAAATCAATTCTGAAGCTAAATGTTACAATATGCCTTGTTTATATATAGTTTTTGCATAATTTTAGTTCAACTCGAAGTCGGGATAGGTTCATTTTCACTTTTGGACTTATCCTTTTCGTAGCAAGAATATTAATGGAATTTTCAAGCTCAAATCACACACACATCGGCAGCATTCGCCCCCGTATCCAGTTGCCTGTTCGTGTTGGATCTCGGAGGCGTAAAGATCTCGCATATGAAGGGCAGCTCGCGCTCACAGCTCAGCGTTTGCCAAGTGCCTCTTGGTGTCAGTGCCACGCAGCTAGCATTAGCCTGACTGCCCCTTCGGATACATGCTTATTACTTAGCAATTTCTTAATTCAAGAAAGTTCACTTACCCCGATCGCGGATGACCCTCATGCCAGGCTCGGTACAGAAAACAGAGCAGGCTCTCCTGCTGCGCATTGCGATAGTCCATCGGCTGGAGAGAGCTGGAGCTATTAAAACTCAAACCCACATAGGCCAGAAATATGCCCGGCACTGGATGCTCGCCGGCGCGTTGTTGATTATAATCGAAGAGCCACCGGGACAGAGCATAGGTGCGCGCCTCGGATGCAACATGCGCCAGGCTGCCGCTAAACTCGCTGGCATGGCTGCAGCTGCGCGAAGCATTCAGATAGCCGGCGGGTCGTGTATAGAATACAAAGAGCCCCACTTGCGGCACGCAGCTGATGTTGTGCAGCGCTGCGGGGAGCAGCGGATTAGCTTTTTAGTTTAGCCCACCTTTTAAGCTACCTGCTCACCTGTGGGCCTGCCATATAAGCTGTAGTAATCGAAGCGGCTGTCGTTCAGCATGCCTGCAAAGCTGATATTCTGTGGACACTGCAGCACATGGCAGTTGAAGTACTCCGCCGGCTGCTCAAAAACTGTCAGACGCTTGCGTGCTTCCTTGTCGTAGGCATCCCTTGGCTGCTGCTCAAATCGATTTGTGCGCCGATCTGGCCCACCTGGCGCATAGTTAAAGGCCAAGCCACGCAGCTCGCGCGCCAATTTCATGCAAGCCTCCAGCGTTGGGGTGCTCTCCAAAGCCAGTGCCTCAGCCGCAGCGGCACGCTGGCACTGACGCACCAGATGGAACTGCAGTGGAGCGGCATTTTCCGACGGGCAGCGCAGTGCGGTCAGTTCGGCCAGATGCCATCCGTTTGCCAGCAACAATAGCAACCACATAGCTAAATGCATTTGGTGGCGTGTCCAGCTTTTATATGCATGCACCTGTGACAGCTGATGACAGCATTGAAAACTCTTTTATGGTCAATTTAATTTTATTGTTCATTCCTAACTAGGTTCTTTATTTAAAATAATACAGTGAAAGCTCGCTTGAGCGAACTGGTAAAACATTTATACCTTAATTCAATTAAAAAGTTGTACACCAAGCCAATCATTATTTTTTCTTCTTAAATTTTACAATCTTGATAAAAATAATTCTTCAATTTTAAAGCTAATTCATATGCTTTTCGATTTGCATATAATTTAAAAGTTTTAGTTTTTGCACATAAAAAACAACGTGTTTTTACAAAAAACTAAAGTGTACAAAAAGGTTAATGTTCTTTGCTTGGAAAGGTGTTCATTTAGAGGAGCTTTCACTGTATGATGATTGTGTATTTATTTGAAATTCGCATTGCACGGCTCCAGGCGAGCATTCTTAAAAAATAAGTCCAATGCTCAAATGAAGCTGTGCAAAGGTTTAGGTTAAATACTTTATGCATTAATACAATTTATATATTATTAATAGTTATGTTTCTTTTTGCGAAGCGGTTGCGTGCTTACAGTAAATAGTAGTATTTAAATATTGTAGTGCAAATAGTTTAAACAATGACAAGAAAAAAATTGTACAGAACATTTAACTAAGAACAAAGTGTCGCAGGTTTTTTTTTTTGGAACTTAGTTATTTTTAAATATTTAAAGTACAAATACAAATATCACCTGAGCGTCGGCTGCTGCATTCGTTGTTAGTTCGAGTGTTTAAAATTAAACAGTTTAAATAGTAAGATAAATACAATATTTATATATGTAAATATATATAAAGTTTAATGACTGCACTACATAAGGCGAGAGGGGGTGTGGGGTTTTCTGATAAGAATCTTGGAGGAGGGAATCCAACCACCACCGACACGAAGGTGCCTAACAGAGTTTCGAATGCAGTGCTGCCAATGCTTATGTTCATACTGCAGATGGCAGCACTGCACAACTCTGCGACATTAGCGGGCAATTAACAATAATGGGAAATTGCCCGGTAATCTCTGCACAGGGATTTTCTTTTTGCAAAACTTAAATAATAATTTGATTAGCTTAAAAAGTTGTGACCTTATAGACTAAAAACTGCTACCCAACTTGTCACGAGACATTTGACAATTGACTACCGCAGGCGGCTGCGTGTTCATCTCTTCATCTCTTGTTTATCCTGGCCTTAAAACCGATTTGTTTTTCTTTAATATTTTTTTAAACACTTTGAGTGTTCCATTGTTTTGTTTTGGAAAAATTTGCGAAATTTTTAATTGAAGCTGTCACATTTTGCTGCTGCTGCGGCTTAACTGCTGTGCGAGAAGGCGGTGTTTGTGTAGGGACCGCTGTATATGGAGCTGCCGGAATTGGATACCGTCTTGGTGCTACGGCGCGCCATAATGCACAGGACAGCGGCCACCACGGCCAGCATGAGAATGAGACCCGCAATGGCGATGGCAATGGCAAACGTGCGCTGCGATACGCACAGAGCATCCTCCAGAGTCTGTAATTAGGATCAATTATTAAAGTACATAAATGCATACAGTTAATTGCGGATTGCCAAGGATTGGTAATCCAGCAATCCATTAATACTCAACATACCTTCTCCTTGTACACCGCATCCTCCTCGCTGTCGTTGGCATTCTCGTTCTCGTTGACATAGAGGCCGGAGAAGACCTCAATGGTGGCCGGTAAGGCTTCATCATCTTTGCCCTCGCTGGCCTGACGCTTGGGTCGCTTGCCGGTGCAGACAGGCGCTTCCTGGCAGCTGGGATCCTCCAGCGCGCACAGGCGCACATTGCACTGATAATACACGGAGGTGGTGTAGGGGAACTTGTGCGCCGGGAAGGTCACATTGGCCGCCAGGCGATCCTCTGTGTAGTTGAATTGACCCATGATCTCGTTGTCCATTGGACAGCTGCCAAAATGCGCACAAGATTAATCGAAATCCAAACTGACTGAAACCGATCCACTTACCCATCTTCGCCCACTAGCCGCTGCTCGCCCCAGCCCAGACCGTCGCGCACAATGCAGTCCGTCACGTGCAGGCCGTAGAGCTTCTGCTCATCTATGCTGATGACAATGGTCAGCGGATCGCCAATTTTCACATCGTCGGCTATCTTGTGCTCCTCGTTGTAGATCTTCATATGGCAGCCGGGCATGGGCAGTTCGTTGTTGGTCACATCGTTGTCATCTTGCACATCCACATCGTAGACGTCCTCCTCGTCCAGGTCGTCATCATTCAAACGCTGTTTGTCCAGCGAACGTCCATAGTCACGCCGGTCGTGCTCATCGCTGCGGAATGCCTGCGGCTTCTGTGCATGCTTACGCAGATATTTCTTCGGCTTGACGGCCGCATCGCGGCTCTTGTAGGCACAGCGCACATGATAGCCGCGTCCCAGATCCGTAATCAGTTTCAGATGCGGCTGCAGCACAATCGTATTGAAGAACTCAATGCCGCCATCGTCCTGCAATTGCAATGCAAAATATATTAGTTTTCTGGCGATCTGGCAACACAGAAATTGCAACATTTTAAGTTTTTTTTGTCTTTGATAAGTTTGGTTACACTTATTTGAAATTTCGCAAATAAAGCAACTGTTGTTAAAATCAAAATATTTTAGTTGTGTTAATGGATGTAGAATACCATATTGATTTTGAGTTCCATCTATAACCATATATGACCAAAAGTTCGTTAAACAGTTCTAGCACTTGGCAATTGCTGAGCATAAACAAAAGACTTGAGCAACAAACTTGCCATAGCCTAAAAACAAATCAAAGGCTGGCAGCTGCCCAAGAAGCCATATTAGCGAGTCCAACCGGAATGCAGACAGATAACTAGATGTGTGCCCACCGTACATAGTACAATGGGCCTTTGCCAGTGTCTCATTATGCATACACATTTACGCTTGGCTGGCGCTGGAAATTGCCAGCCAGAAATTTGATGTGTCTTAAACTCGGCATTGGGTTCGTCTTTAGATCACGAGCACTTCCTCATAGTTTTTATATGTTTTTCTTTTGTCTTTGTGCTTTATAGAATGGTGCTAAAGCCGCGCAGCCAAGTGTGAAGCCCTCTGTTATCTACATATCCGCAGAAATTAGCAATGTTTGCGTAATGAATTTTAATTTCAGTTCAGCTGATGTTCTCAGAAAACAGAAACCGAAATCGAATGTTGCAAGACGACGCTCAGTGTGCACATCCGCTGATTGCGTCATCTCGCCTTCATCTTGGATCTGTAGCTGCCTCAAAGTGTTCGGCTATCCGTCGCCCCTAGACCATTCAATGTGACCCACAGCTAAGTATTTACTTGGTGCTTTTTTTCACATTCTCTTCCAGCACATAACGGTGCTTGTGCTTGTGCTAATTTTGCAGTAACTAAGAAGAAGAAGAACAACAACAATACGTGTCCCATACGCACATTCTTATTAGAGATGAGTGCGTGTTGCAGCTGTCCAACATGACAAGAGCTTGAAATACAATTTGGCAAGGGATTGTACAATAATGTCAATGTCTTGTAATCAACATATTAATATAAATATAAAAATTTATAAATTTCTATTATACTCTATTCACACAGCAGAAAAGAGAATATTATATTTGTTAAACGTTCACTTGGAGGTCTGTCATCATATTTTTTTTAAAACTGACTAAATAAAACTTAGAATATATACAGATTAAGCAAAGAGCGTAGTTCTAATGTAACTGCTGTTGACATTCTTTAAAGATAAGCCAAGCAAATCTCCAACTCTATTTGACCTGTTCTAAAGCTTTTTTTACACAGAACGAATCTAGTTTAATTTATTAAAATTTATATTTCTATATTTCCCATATTATTTATTAGATTTATTAACGTTAAGTTGTTTTAATATATTTTTAACTTCAAACATGGCGTGTCGTGTTGCTTTCGGTTCGTGTCACGACACGCGCTCAACTCTAGCACGTATATCGAGCACGCCAGCGGTCAATTGCTTGCGTGGTGGATGGCAATTGTGTTGAGGCAAAGACGCATACGCGACGCGTTCGGAAGTTTTGGTAATTGGGACTGTGTACACTGATTTGGGCACGGAAATGCTTTATTTAAGTGGCAGCGTCGTCACCCAAGGGGCATGCTCAATGCTTCCCCCAAATAAAACGCGTTAAGCTCGGAGCTGTTTCCGTCTGTGGACATTGAGCTGCAGGGGCCAAGAACTTGGTCTCCCTTTGTTGTGTGTCAACGTGCAGCGCTGACAGTTATGTTTTGTGTGTGTAGCAGCTATATAAACAGATTTCCCAGCTAGCTGCAGCATCAGCAAATGAGACAATGGGCTAATAAAAGGCCGTAATAAAGTGACATTAAAGATTTCAAGCACATAACGGTAGAAGCAGACAGCTATTATGTCATTATGACACTTCTGTGCGACATTTGGAAGCAGTCTCGGAGTTCTCAAATCGGGAAGAAACAGCTGCTGCTCTTTGTAGAGACTTTTTAAATTTAGTCGGCATCTCTTGCGAGCTGAGAGATGCTCAGAAACGTCAACGCCAACGAGAGGTTACGTGTGGCTGCGTGGGCGACGTCCAGCACTGACCTTCACTCCAAGCCAACGGCAGCCAAAGCCTTTTAAAAATATCAATAACAATAAGTCAGAAAAAAACACGTTTACATGTGTTCACATTTTGGCATTTTCACGGTCAGCGTCGGCGTCGGCTTTAGCGTCGCCGTCGGCCAATGAACGCAATCGAATGGCCGCCAACGTAGCGACGCCTCGAATTTGAAGTTTAAAGATGCGCTCAGACTTTACAGAACAAATCGATTTCGAGCTGATGACCGAACAGACAGATTCAATAATTCCCAGTGATTCGAAATGCTCAGCAAAACGAAAGACTCAGGCAACAAACTTACTGCTGCTGTTCACACTGTTTGAGCATTTCGGATTCCCATTTAATTGGAAAACAATGTTTATTAATTCTTGCCCACTGTCAGTTCTGAATATTGTTTTTCGTTTGTTGCGCCGCAATTAAAATTTAATTAAAACACTTTGCGCCCTTCAGGCGGCCAACTTGCGACTGCGTTAATGTTTTGTGTCGCTGTTACTGACCCTGTACGTAATACTAAAAAAACAGAAATAAAACAATAACTGGGAGTGGCGTAAGCTTGGATGGCCGACTTACAGATACCCTATAAGCATAAGAAATTGAAATTTGGGATCTTTAGCCAAGAGGATGAGCTAGAACAGAAGAAATCTTGTCATATATAAATATACATAAAATCTTTGCTCTTAAATAGGCCACGCTAATACCACATGCACTTCAAATACAAAAAAAAACCCCCTATATACATAGAGAATATAAAAATAGAAAGAGACTTACATCGCAGTCAATTATTTCTATATGTTTTAATATTTATGTATTTATAAAATGTGCCTCGTAAGTACTAATGCTTGATGATAATGGATGAGTATAAAAATAAACTATTCATAGTTCATTTAATTGCGTTTGGCATGCACAACAACAACAGCAACAACAACAACAAGAGCAGCAGCAGCAGTAACAACAAAAACTACTGCAACAGTAATTACAACAGGGTCGTTGTGGAGCCTTAGTTTGGAGTCAATGGCGTGGCAACTTTTTGCGGCAGTTGACACGCGACTTTTTACATAAAAGTTTGCTGCCATAAATGCGCATAGGTAATTACACACACACACACATACATGCTGTATATATGCGAATGATTTTTAATTGTATGCAAATGTGCATGCGCTGAGCTCATCTTTGCTTTGGCTGACGTAAGCCCAGCATCCTGCCCTGTCCGAGGCCACGTAGATGACATCAACTGCAGCTGCAGGCAACAGCATCAAATAATAGCCTTCGAGCGTAACTTCGCTTATTGATTTTTCATTATTGTTTTTAGCTGTCAGTTTTAATCTTTGTTTAATTTTCAGAGCCGTTTATTCAACGCGTCAAGTGCTTGGGTCAACAGCAGCAGGCGGCAGGCGACAGGGAGAAAACAAAAGACTCAGGCAACAAACTTGCCTGGGTTCTGGCATGCAGTTAACAGTGCGTATAAAAAGTATTCGCACACACATACATATATATATTGCCACATAGCACAGGCAACACATAACAGCAATTAAAATTTGCAATTTTTACAAACATTTGTGTCAGGCTAATCGAGCGAAAGGAAAAAGCAACAGATTACAAAACTGTTTGCCCCAATAAACGCTGGGAATTACATTAAATACAAGAAATGTATCACAATGACGACAGCAAATGCTGTCTGTGTGTGTGTGTGTGTGTGTGTCTCTGCCATAAGTGTGTCGATGCGTGAGTTGGAGTCGCCGTTTAGCTGGCTGGGTGCTAATTGAGATTTCAAAATATATCTATATGAGCTCGATGTGGCTGTAAACGCTCGTAAATCGATGCTATGAGCCAATAAATAAGACACGCCATATAAGCCAACATCTATCCATCTATCTATCTATCGTAACTGTGCCATGTGCAAGATAAACTCCAAACTCAAATTTATTTATGATAATTTATTAGTCAGGTTTGGATTCCGATTCAGGTCATTTGAGCACGGATTGTTGGGCTCGGTGACGCGGAATACTCTAATAATTAGTTTTGAATGTCAATTGCTAATAAATTTAATTTAAATATTTGCAGTCTGTTATTAACTTGGTGATCCTCATACTAACAAGGTTATCATAAAACAAAACATAAAGCTCAGAAAATTATCAGGTTTATTTAAAATTCCATTTGCGTCAATATTTTGCAAAAGTTGTTACGTTAATCACAAGGGAGAGAGAGAGAGAGAGAGAGAGAGAGATAGAGAGAGAGACAGAGGGAGGAAGAGAGACTAGTCATATGTTGCTTGTCCTTGATATTCCTAAACGTCACAATTCTCTTAGAGAGAGAGCAAGTGTGAGAAAGAGAGAGAGAAATATTTGAATTCATGCTAACTCTTTCAATTATCTAACTCGTTAAGTATACAAAACATTAAGCTAAGAAAATTATCAGGTTTATTTTAAATTCCATTTGCGTCAAGATTTTGCAAAAGTTATTACGTTAATCACAAGAGAGAAAGAGAGACTAATCATTTGTTGCTTGTCTTGGATATTCCTAAACGTCACAAGTCTCTTAGAGAGAGAGAGAGAAATATGTGAATTCTTGTTAACTCTTTCAGTTAGCTAACTCGTTAAGTAAGACACAGCCCAGTTAGCTCAGTTGAGTGTCATATCTCCTTGCCCCGCGCCACTCCGTCAGCTAGTTAATGATGCACCTTAATAAGCCGAGACATTAATTGAATGCCAAAGAGTCACGTCAACCGCGTTCGGGTTATTTCATGTGCGTTTGCTGTCAATACAAGCGAAGTTCGCTAATCATCTTGGCATATGGATTGGTTACCTTGTAACCAATCTCGCCAGCTGGACGCCTTATAAGTGGTTAATGGTTTTCGCAAAGCTAAAACTCAATTAGCATGGCGAAAAAGGCAGAACCACTTGCCGTCAGTCACATAACATATCATAAAGCATTGAGTAAATCTTTTGTTGTGTGGGTGCTTGAGTCGATTCTAGTCCGACCAGCCCGATCTTAGCTCATCTGGACTTACCGTTTCCTTGGGCATCGTGTTGCAGCTGCGCAGCGGCAATTTGTAGCGCAGCGGTCCATTGTGATCCCTGCAAGAAATTCAACAGATTAGATTTGAAAGATATCTAAATGGTATGCCGCATTGCGCACTCACCTGTACTCGCTGAGGCATGTGGAGTTCTTGGAGAGGCCTTTCGGATAGATCATGCCACTGAACAGGCCCGTCTCGTGATTGGGTGGCGCATCTTTGATCATGATCAGCATGGAGCCGGACAGGCATTTAACCCGCACGCTCGGCTCTATTGTGGCCTGTTTGCTTGAGGGCGTGGCATCCTGCGCGGCTGCTTCCGCCTCGGCTGCTGCAATGGCAGCGTTTAGCGTGCCAGGCGCATCCTCTGCTACAAAAGAAGGGAGCGACGGGGCGGGTTCGACGTTCGATTATAAAATATTTGTGAACGTACAGTTAAAACTACAGTTAGACAATAACAATACAAAAAGCCAAGGCTCAAACGCAAGTCGAGGATGCAGTTGAGCCCAAGTCATTGGCATAAATCATCTGCGATACACGAATCTGCAAAAATAAATAAAAGTGCTCTGGACGCGAGTGTTCGACTATGAGATGCTCTGTAACCTGCGCCGGGCAGGCAAAGGAAGCATTCAGTCTAGCTTTTATATACATGACTTTTTCACAATATTGGGTTGAACGGGCTAAGGTATCCAAATCTTTATCTACGCTACATGAAAATCAATCAATCAAATATTGCTGTCTCTAGCTCATATAATTCGAAGAAATGGGTAAAGAATCTTATTTCAAACATTGAACGAATCATGTTTAAAAACCGATATGCATCGATTTTAAATCAAATTAATATTTATCGATATTATATAAAATCGATACTTTTCGATATTAGGTAAGATCGATTTTTATCTATAATAACGATATTTAACTATCTATTGAAAAGGAAAACAACTCTTTTTTCATTGAAAGAACTTTGTTCAAAAAGCGATATGCATCGATTTAAATAAAATCAATATTATTAAAATCGATACTTTTAGAAATTAGGTAAGGTCGATTTTGATCGATATTAACGATATTAGTCGACCTGTCGAAATGGAAAAACTCTTTTTGCGGCTGACATGCGAGAAAATATATCTTCTGATCGGATCATAATAGGATCTTACCCACACACAACCAATATACCCTTTCTAAGCAATTATCAATAGGTATAAAAAAGACAGCTTGCGATGGCGGCCAAGACAATGGCAAAAAAAAAGACGCCCCTGGGAGCAGCAGCTGAAGCTGTATCTGAAGCTGAAGCTGAATCAACTGCGACGGCAGCTGGCAACTGCGGAAGCAAATGCTGCGACAAACATGAAAACCTGGCCAAGTTAATGACATTGAAAAGCCATTGAAAGCGCGCAGCAGCTGGCATTAGAGAGATGCCAGTTCCTTGAACTTGCGCCACAGTCAGAACAGTCGGAACCCTAAGCTGGAGCCACAGTCTCAGCCGCAGTTGCAGTCGCAGCCACAGCTTGTGGTTTGGCATCGCAAAGTAATTGCAGTGCCCAGAATCCAAGTGAGCCACAAGTTGCAGGGTTATATATGTATATATATACATATATATACCATATGTATATGTATAACACCTCGCGTGCGATTGCCCGCTCTTTGGCAGATTCTTATACATTTTTTTTGCACTTCTTTTGTGGCCCAGACACGGCGTGTGCTCGTCTCGCACGTCCACATTGTGGACTCGGCCTGGGCTTAAATGGAGTGGGCTCTTCAGATGGCGTGTTGCTTCGGTTTAGTTCAACGAACCTTCAAGCAATTCGCATCAGTTACTTTGCTTCTATTCCTATTCTACAGCATGTGCTGCTGCTGCTGGGCAAAGTAATTGCATGCAACTCGGAGCCGGTTTTCTTGCCCCAAAGCTCAAACTCAGAGCCAAGTTGTTGTCGCTGTCGCCGTCGTTGCCTGGGCTGGCACATAAAATGTTTAATGGCTTTCTATTATGTATAATTTTGTAAAATGCACAACTGCATCATCAAATAGAGCAGCTCTCAGCGCTAAATCTAATCTAGAGATGGTTCGCTTAAAAGTTCGAATCCTTCCAGCCAGGTTCGGGTTCAACTTCAATCGTAAAATCTGCCTTAAATATATAGGAAGCTTTTTGAAAATTAACAACAGTACATTTTTCTACACATTTGATTTTTATGTTTTTTTTTACTAAAAAATTGCAAGTTTTAAAATGGAAGATTCGTTCATAATTAAAGACCTTATCGAAGATGTTAGCGATACAGAACCCTCGGACGATACGCTCCTATGCTCCGCATCGAATCCAGAGAAGACCTGTACGACAGAGACCTCTGCAACACCAAGGCTGGATATCTTATGGGATGGACAAAGCGATCTGTCTGCTGCTGAACAGCAGAAGCAAGCGTTGGATAATTCGCACAGGCTGAAGTCGGGCGCACAACTTGAAGAAAAAACTTCCGATAGCACTAGAACTTACACAGATACAAAGACGGAGGTGGGGGATGAGACTGTTAGTCAAATAAATTCCAATCCGACATCAGCACCGACTTTTGGTGATAAAGAACCGAGTGCTTCATCGGATTTAGATGAGAAGGTAGGCCTTATAAGGAAATAATCAAATCATAATTGATTGCGTTTGTAATTCGCAAATGGTTAAAGCGGAAAGCTTATGCTGGGAGTTGTAGATTGTTTAAATGAGATTATCATTTATGTATCTGAATGTTTACGATATGGAAGTAGACATCTTCGAGCTTATAATGCATATATGAGCTTGATCAATATAAAGAGATCAGGCGATATAGCCATATCGGTTTATCTGTCTTGACTTAGCATATTTACGTTTATGTAGAAGCTGTCCATATCAGATATACAGAGATACTATATCATATAGCTGCCATATGCACGATCGGGCGATAACAGAATTTTTGCATTAAAAAATACTTTATGCCCTCTAAGATTTATCCGACACGGAATTATTTATCACATGATAAAGCTACCATAAAAATAATCAGAAAAATGTAGTTGTATTATATATCTGTTATGCTCATCTTTTATATGCTTTGGGTATTTAATCTTCTTCTTAATACTTATTCTTCTCCCTTCTCAATCCTCAGCTAGTTTTGCCTCTTGCATGGTATGAAAAGGTAAGGCATGTGTTTAATTTTATAAGTCGAAAGTAAAGCCCATTTAACTTTCCTGCAGCTGGAGCTCAATGAGGACAGCAAGGAATGCTCCTCAGTCAAGAGCTATAGATCCCAGATGGAAAGGCAAGATATGTGCATATTTGTATATATATGCAACTTATCTTTTTAAACCTAAGTAGTAGACCCTTGACCCAATCTGAGGAGCAGCTGCTCATAGTGCCGCTCGACGAAACGTACAGCCTGATGGACAAGATTGACCTCAAAGCGGAAATGAACAATGGCAAGGATCAGCAGCCGGGCAGACCACATATTGGCGAAAGGCTGCTGCAGTTCTTGCAGGACGGCAGCAAATGGGACGTCAAGGTATATGTCGGGGATTGCAAGTTCTACTGCCATCTGTGCGTGCTGCAGGTGTACTCGCCGTACTTCCAGCGCTGCAAAATGGAGGAGACCTATGTGATTCGTCTGCCAACGCTTAAGGTTACGGCGCAGGCATTTCACATCATCTACAATTGGATGCTGTACGATGAGCCGCCGCAGCGGAAGCGCTTCAGCAATCGCTGCCTGCTGGAGATCTATAGCTCGGCCAAATTTTTGGACATCACCGAGCTAATCGATGCCGTGTGGAATACGCTGGACATAATTAAGAACGAGAACGAGGCATTTACACTGTTGCCGGACATGAACTATGTGGACATGGCCACCTTTGATTTCCTGTGCTTCTCCCGCATCAGTCGCTTCTTTCTGACGCTCGTCGCCTCGCTCGAGTTCTCCGAAATGGATGCCAGCTACGTCTGCCGGCTGCTCGGCAGCCACAGCGTCGGCGTCAACAGCGAGATTGAGGTGAGTTCGAGATATTGTTGATCCGGCTACTCAATGGCAGCTGATTCTGCTTCTACTGCAGATCTTCTATACGGCATTGCGCTGGCTCACCTACAAATGGCCCAAACGCCGCTCGTATGTTCCCCAGCTGATGGGCTGCGTTCGCTTTGGCTTGCTCTCGCCCGTGTTTTTGCGCTTTCTGCAGAACGAGCATGGCACACGTGTCATGGACTACATCACAAAGTGTCCGCAGGTCCAGGAGCTGATCAACAAGGCCTTCGTGTAAGCTCCAACTGTTGCCATAGCCCCAGGTTTCTATTATTTTTAGGTATTCCAACTTTTAGCTTTGCCTCAGCGGAGCTCTACTGCAAGGATCCGCAACAGACTTTGCCCTTCCAACTGCCCGAGTACGAGGTGCCGGAGCAACGTCGCTGGCTCTACGACGATAAGTGTCCCTACCATCATGATCTCAAGTGCAGCCAGCGTCAGTTCTTTACCTACGAACAGTTCCTGGCCTATTTGCAGGCGCTGCACGAAACCGGGCCCGAATATTGGCGCAATTTAATCTATATACTCGAGCCGGTAAACTGCTGTGCACGCTCCTTGCCCGACTAGACAGCCAGACAAGGAAGTGTGCCGCAATAGCCAAGTCTTTCAAGTTGGGAGTCATCGCTTTTTAATAAGACAGCTAAATGCGACATGAATTGACTTTTGTTTGCCATGTCTGTCTTTTTTTTTTTTTGGCTGAGGCACAACATATTACGCGCCCAGGTCTTTGTTTGATTTCAGTTGTTTTTGTTGCCGTCAGAGCCAGAGATACCTTCACTTTTTCTTTAGCTTCAGCTGCAGTTACGAGATTTATCAGCAGGACAAGGAGCCAGCCAAGTTCCCTCTTGAGGATTGGCACTGGCTTCCAAATGGCAATAGGCCAACGACAACTTTAGCAAGTAAAACTGAACATATCTCAATTCTAGCTGGATTTATATTTCTGTCTAAGAGTTTCTAATGGGGCGGGTAGTCTCTCGGCCTACACTTAAGCGTATTAGCGTATTTTTGGATAACTAAATTAATTGGCAATAAGCTTGTTTAAGCTTCCTCTGCAATGATCTTTACTCGCGTCACTTTTCAGTAATCTTCTACTACCAATTCGTAAGTCAATTAAAGGAAATTTGAGCCTCAAAAAAGTAGATAGTATTTACGTGTACCAAATTTGTTCAGCGTGAGCTAATGTTTGGGAACATAATTATACTCCGACTATAGATTTCAAGCTTTACATATGTTATGAGTATGCATACTCATGACATCATATACAATTTTTGGTCACGCCCACCAGGCTTTGGTATTCGGTATTGTATTCATAAAGACAGACTATTAGTCAAAAATCATTTGTTAATAATAAAAATAAGGCCTGTCTTTCAGACTAGGCTGAAAACCTGAAAATCGCTTTGTAACTCTCTCAGCTACATTTTTGAAGACGACTCTTTAATAAACTTTTTTGTTCTTTTCAAGTTGATAGAAACATTTATTTAAAATATTTCAAAAATATTGATTCAAAAATTCTTAGCTATAATCATAAAATCTTATGATATTACAATAATAATTATATGGGATTGATTTATTTTTTAAGCCAAGCTAAAGTGAATAAGTCCTCGGCTAACAATGTGGAAAGCGTTCCCCAAAACAAACTTATGTTGTTATAAATTGTCTTCGACGACTATTTATTATTTCCCAGTTGCAGTCGTGATATCTTGTAGGCATTTACCAAGTAACTTAAAGCCCAACTAAACTATCAGCTAAGATAAACTAGCTTGGGATGCGAGCCCGGATTCTGGTCGAGTGAGTGGGTCAATTGAGCAGCTCATTTGTTGGTTTCTAGCTTTTAACGCATTATTCTTTAAATTAGCAATTTGAATGGTATGTTAAATTGGAATGGGAATTGGCCTAATAATAATATAAATGATAAATGTACTTACTCTCTGGCGTTGGTATCTGTGCGCCGTGTGTCGTTAGAGCTGCGATTGTCTGCAAAGAAAGTGGATGGGAAAATGATCATTAGCAACTGGCTGGGAGAGGGCCATGGCCATAACAGTGGCCAGTTTCCATAAAGCTGTTGACATAAATCACGATCGAGCCGACATTAATGCCAGACTTATCTCAGCAAGTCTGCAGGCGAGCTAAGCTCCTTTAATTAAAATGGAAATGCTAAGAAATGCGCCAAGATTTTCGTTGCAGTTCGTGCTGGGTTAGAGGGAGAGAGACATGTTTATATGGGCAACATTCTCACGATTCTAAAGGCAGCCGAAAAATACAAAAAAAAAAAAAAAAAAACTTTCGCCAGCAGCAGCTCGCGCCAGGTTAGAGTTGAAACTCAAGCTGGGACCCGTCGCGAGACGGAGGCTTAGAATCTAGGCATAGAGCTGGCAGCTGGAGCTGTGCTACTTTTGGCAACTTGGCACAACACGGCATCGATTTTAGCATACGGGCCGGCAGCAGGAGCACGGAGAAATTCAGGTTAATCGCCAGGCCATGCAATTGTCATTCACAGCCCAGGCTCGAGCTGGAGCTGGAGCTGGAGCTGGAGCTGTGGCCACTGATTGATGTGTGCTTAGCCAATTTTTCATTTCACAGCGCCTCGCAATGAGGCCAAGCTAAAAAAATATCATATTTTCTATAATACTTACGATTAAGTGCAGCGCGGTGCACAGAATTCGAGTGCTTGACTTCATTGTGGCAGCTGCAAAGAGACAATACAAAGAGAGAAAGAGATGATTAGAGAAATGATAAAAAAAACTGAGCAAAGTTTTGGGATTAATTAGAGAAACAAGCAACATGGCAACAAACCGGTTGTCAGATTGCGATAGCTATAGAAATCGGATTATATTATGCTAAAAATCATATGAGCCAAAATAAAATTAATGAATTTTTGATTAGCTGTACGTGTATGTGTGTGTGCGTGTGTGTGTTTGTTTTCGCCCAAGCTGAAAGCCAAGCTGCGCCCGAGGCGAAACTTTCAAGCCGGCACAGCCCTGGCAATTGGGTCAGCCAAGCGAACCTGACTGGCGGCTGCCTCGTGTTGCGTGCCACCCGAAAATGGGTTAAAATCAGCATATAAGCCCGAAACATCCAAGACATAACGGTAAAGGCAGGGCCTAAACTGGCAAAAATCCTCGAATACAAGCCAAAGAGCTTCCGTCAACAGCTGCCACTCGTCGCATGCAACACATGACAACAACAACAACAATGACAATGAAAACAACACCAAAGCGGGCATTAAACAGATATCAATAACCAAATGGAGCACATGATAAGCACTTTTTTCTCCAGTTACCAGCTTCCTGCATAATACGCTGTGTGCTGTGTGAGAACATTGTTGTTGGCCAAGTCATGGCCAGGAAGAGGCCCCAGCCTCCGAGTTGTTGGTACAGCAATCCGGCCCGATCATTATCGCGCTTGGCCCGTTGCGACCTAATACCAAAAACAACTTGCCGCGGCTTACATAGATGGCCGGGCGCATGATAAAAGACGCCAATGATTTCTGCTTGTTGTTTACTCTCTCACCGATGATGTCACAAGACGGACGGACGGGCGGAGGGACGGACAGAGGGACGGGGGACGCACACTCACCTATTGATTGCCAGTTGCAGCAGTTGTTGCAGCTGCCTATTATCCAAGTGCTATAATCTCTATGGGATTTTGGTTATTATTAAACTGTTTGTTTGCCAGGCAATTGGGTCATGTCTTGACAAATGGCCAACATCATGTGGCGTCAATAATTCCAATCAAATATTTGTCAATGCCAGGCCCACACAGTCTATCGAGCAGGAGAGAGAGAGAGATTCAGATCGCAGCTCCAACCGCGTGGCTTCAGTCGCAGCTCGCAACTGACAGCCGCCCAATGCAAATTGCCAGCTAACACCAACAACAATAGCAACAACAACTACAATGAAAGCAGCAAACAGACAATGCAATAAATTAGCTAAAATTAGACGCATGACGTAAGCCCGTTTAGCGGCATAGCGCAAAAATGTCACTAACTCGGCTCTAATAAAAAAAAAAAAAATACAGCTGCTCAAAGCTGAAAGCGCAGCTCATGCACGTAAAACACCATTCGAATAATAATAAAATATATTCATGACAAATATCGAATACCCTAACAGACGAACTAACTAAACTAAAGAGTGAGAAAATGAAAGTAGGCGCAGTCTAATCAGCAGTATCCGACTAGGAGATACCCTTGTGCCAATCACAAGTTGCCTTTAGAAATATTTTAGCTTCCTTCTGAACAAAAACACACTAATACAAACGAACACATGCATGACAGCCTTACGTCCTGGCAAGGAACCTGCTAAGGAGGCAAAGAAGAAGGAGGCTTAAAAAGACCTATCCTATATAGACGTGGCCAAACGATGCCTTAAGTGAAGCAAAATAAACATGTACATAAACCTGCTACACAGTGTAAATATTTAAGCTAAAAACAAAGCTTCCCGATCCTCACGCTGATAAAAGTTGCTAAGCTGCAGTGAGAGCATGTCAGCTGTAATTAAAAGAATTTTAATCCCAAAAAAAAAGCGCTGCAGCTGTGCCTCTCTTTCCTTCCATCCTCCCCATGCTTGCGAAGAACAGTCTCATTTAACTTCGTTGTTTATAGGCCAATCGTTCTGAAACTTTTAGGGCTTAAATATGGCATACAAAAGTGTGCATAAGCCAAAGTGCGAATATTTACATTACAAAATTAAATTTTTTTTAATTATCTCTCTTAGTTAATCTCTTTTTATTATTTCTTATACATGTATTCTATACTAGAACCTATAAAGCATATACATATTTAAGTGTCTTGCTCTTATAATCTTCGAGCTATGATTTAAAAGCCTTGTCTCAAATCGACATTTAATGATATTATGCAAATGAGAGAAGATGTCGAAAAAACATGACGCAGATGCTTTTTTCTGTTCATCTGTTTTAGTTAAGCAATTTATCCGGATAACGTTTAGTTCATATTCGAGTTTCATTTCAAGTCTCTTCACATATATAATTTTCGAAAAAATGTGTCCCTACATTTTACGTAGCCTGACACAATTGTAATACCCTCTGCGAGCGTATAGAGCTAACAATAAAACTTTGAATAAAAATTGTTGCGCATTGCGCTCAACGGAAATTATGAATAATGAACTCTGATTGGCATCTGCTCTCGTTACCCAGTTTGGAGAGCTTGCAAAAAAGAAAAAAAAACAAAAAACCTTTGCAAAAACCCAATGAAATGGGAGCCAGTGACCTTCAAACTGTGATCAGCTCGCCGAAAAGCAGGAAACGACACAGAAACAAGGTAAATCGTGGCCTTATCAACTGGAAATTAGTTATAAGAAGAGTTGCTAGTTAATTGGTCATTAGTTAATAGATTTGCATAATATTTATGCGGCTTGTTATGTGTTATATGAAATGCGTTTAAGTCCGGCCGTAAAGTCTATGCTTAAACCTTTTGAGAATTAGAACCAAAAGATTTGAGCATTGAAATTCTAACAAAACAGTTTGTTGTTATAATAAATAAACTTTTAATATGCTTATATTGTTGTGTGTGAAATACTTTAAAGTCTAGCCGTCTGTGCTTAAACCTTTTGAGAATTAGAACTAATAGACTTGAACATCGAAATTCATTTTATAAGTCTCTTGTGTGTGATATTTACAGAAAAGTCACCAGTTAACAAATTTTGCGTTTAATAAATACTCTCCATAAACATTGTGAATCAATGAAGCTATATAATGTTATGATTATATGCCCAAGTACATATATGGTTAAATTTATGCATGTGTCTTGTTTTAGCATTGAGTATTCATCATGAAGTCATTCAATTGATCATCATCAGCGTCATCATCGGCAGCGTGCGTTCAGCTGTAACGGATATTTTTATGTGGCTGCCAAGTGTCGAATTCGTTTGACACACATTCCGTAACAGCAACGACAACAACAACAACAAAACCTTTAAGCCAAACAAATACGAAAAATAGAGAAAAAAAGCCGACAAATGGGCCGTGCAACTGAATAAATTAAGCGAGTTGCGCGTGCACGAGGCAGCACAGCGAAAATAAGAAGAAGAAAAACAAACTCTAAAAAAAAAAACAAAACAAAAACGAAAAACAAACATATTTGTTTAAACAATTGCATTTTCATTTACGAGTGCGTAGCCAACTGAACGTAATGTGGCGACTAAATGACCTCGCGTGTTGCCATTACCAAAGCACACATCATTTATTTCGAAAAGCCGCGCCGCATAAACATATGCAAAATGCCTTTTTTTTATACCCTGAATCCGTTAAAATTGTTTTGAAAAGGTTTAATGATATTGTGCAAATTTATGTAATAGGCAGGAAGTATTTTCGAGTACATAAATTCTCGCGCAGGACGAGAATCCTGCAAAATCTAGCAAATTAAAATTTTAAATATATGTATATATTCTCTTATATCATACACATAATGGGATTATAGTTCTATAATTACAATTCTCTTCTGTCAAACACAGAACGGTATTATAATTATTTTTCGATATGTCCTCCCATTCGCATTATATTGGTCAATATCGATCTAGAGACATGGTAAGAGCTGAAAATATTTAAATATATCTTTCATTAAGATTCCCCTCGTGGGTAGGTCGCAGGGGTGTAGCCTTTTGGAGGCGCCTCTCTGTGATAGGGGTTGCCTGTACCCTGGCAACCGCGCTCGGATCAGAGAGCAGCTTGTCGACAACTTCAGCAGGAAGAAGTTGCACTGATCTCCGACCTGTGTTTGGCGGAGATCGCATTCGATCTCTTGGATTTACTAAATATATTTAAGTTTTCGTATTGTATACGCGTTAAGAAGATTTCATATTTGGGATAACTCCCCGGTTCCCACGAAAATGGATCTAATATAACTGTGATTTGCAGCTAAAGCCTTGTGCGAAGGGATTTGCACTCATTCGGACGTCAAATTGATGCCTCTTAAAAGTTCCAAAGAATAGATAGTTAACATCAAAGTTATTCAAGAATTTCTTCGCCATAGTGTCCATATTAAGTGCTTGTATATACATCTAAAGAAGGAGAAGCTCGAATGCTGGCAAGGGCAGGGCATCACCAAGTCGTGTACTTCCCTGTAAAGCACCCTAGCTTATAATTTAACATATTTTACTTTATTCAATTGTTGTTTTTTAGTTTTTTTCAAGCATGTATAATGTTAACAGCTTTCTGCTCGAGCGATATTGAAAGGAAACAAGCTGTAAAATGTGTTGGCAAAGCGCGTAACTGTGCGTAAAATGCGTTTAATTTACAAAAAAAAATTTCATGTGCTAATTGAGCAGCAAATGGGCATAGTTTTTTTTTTTTGGGTCAAGCAGGAATGCTAGATGATGCTGGAAGATTGTTCCACACAGCGAATGGTAATCAAAGTGTAATCTAGTTTGCGGCATCTGCACCACTTCATTGGGCAAATTATGCTGTTCCACATAAAAAGAAGCACATCAATCAAAGACGAAAGACTTAAGACGCAAACTTGCGCACCGCAAATGACTGAAGACACAAACCTGGGTGCGCTCGCGATTAAATCGGGGGCGAAGCGGGGCGCCGACTTGATTAGAACGAGCGTCGCTTACAATTAGAATATCACACGCTTAAAATCAGAAAACACGGCCATGCAAATTGCCAAAGGCAATACAAAAAGTGTGTTAAGCACACACACACACACACACTCGCACGCACACACCTAAC